ATATATATATATATATATATATATATATATAATTTTTTATTTAATTTTTTTAATTTTAAAAAAATATATTTATGATATGATATTTAAAAAAATTGTAAAATAAAATATACCATAAATGGAGGGATGTCCTTTTATGTAATTTTATTTACAAACAGCTAACTATAAACAGCTAAAGTTGCCAAACACTTAAAATTTAACTGCTAACAGAAACAGCCGGTCAAAACAGCTAACTCAATCAGACATTCAAATCAGCTAACATAAACCGCCAACAGCCAACTGCTAGTATCCAAACAAGGCCAATACTATGTATATTATATAACTTTTATTTATTTATAAATTAAAATTCAATCAATGGAGGTAATAATTGCGTGTGTGCGCGTTCAACTAAGTTGTGATTATTAAAAGTTTGAAAATGGGAGAGTGGAGTTTGTGACAGCTATGGCTTATTGTTAGGCGCGTTAATTCCATGGTAAACACTCATTAGTCTATTGATTACATTATCATTGTAAAAAAAAAAAAAAAAACTCCTCCCTCTCAAATTTTTTTTTCCGCATTAAATATAATATGGAGTACTTCCTTCGTCCCTGAAAATGTTTCCCTTATTGACTTTTTGGAAAATTAAAGAAGTGATATTTTTGTGATGACTTTCCAAAAATACCCTTGATGTAATAAGTAAAAGTAAGATGTGATGTGTAGATTATAAGTAAAAAGGTATGATGTAATATATAGGATATGAAAAAGTAAGAGGTAAAAATAGTTTTTTAATAGATAAGGAAACATCTTTTGGAAATAATAAAAAATGAAAGAAGAATATCTTTTAGGGACAGAAGGAGTTTAAGATTTAATGTGAAATGTAAAAATAATTTACTCCAGACTTTATAATTTTGTTATATAGATCTGACGAGTGCAAGACATAGTGGATAGCGGGGGAAAAGTCGAATACTCATTATTTATTTGCTAAGTCAAAAAAAAAAGTATGAGACAAAGAAAATCTTTAATCTTTTATATATAAATTTGAGACTCCAATATTTAAGAACTTGATATGTGACATATTAAAAACTTGACTTGTGGCCTATTAAGAAGTTGATATGTGGTATATTAGAGGAGAATTTAACAAAACTTACTCTCTTCCCTTATTTCACCTTTTTTGTTGTATTTCTGAAATATGACAATTACTTATTTTGAACTCATTAATCTAAATTTAGAATTAAAATTATTTTTTCTATAATTTGTAATTTTTACTAAAATATTTTTTCCTCACAACTATACGTAAAAATAATTTTAATACCTATTTCGGATTTGATAAATCTTAAAATTTAAAAAACTTTTGTATAATAAGAATAAAATACACTCTTCACGTATAAATAGAAGTCATATAAGTTTATTGTATATACGTTTACATGATATTCATTTGATTATATTTATTTAAAAATTGACACCTATTAAATAAAATATGTTCTTCACTTATAAATAAATTTTATATTTATTTTAATGCCGAATATGTCACCTAATTTAAGATATTGGCATGAATTCAATATTTTGGTATGAAATCGTTGAATAAATTTAATTATGAAAGAGAAACATTCATTTTTATGATAATATTCTTTTCAATTCAATGTACGAGTAGTATTTTTTACTCTCTTCATTTATCAAAAAAGTATTCATAAATAAGATGATTTCTTTCGCATCTAAATAACTTTCATATGAGTATTTATTTATGATATGTTATAATGAAATTAGTTTGGATTATATTTATTTCAATAATAATGTAAAATGAAAATCAAGCAATACGTTTTCAACTACATGTTATGGATCGGGAGCTGCCCAGTTCGAGTAGGCCTTGGCGGAGCGAGAGGATGAAGCGTACGCCGAGGTGGCAACAAGAGTTTGTTATGGAGTAGTGTTCTTTCAGTACTATTATTATTCGTATTATTATTATTATCCGTTGTAATTTAGATTTTCCTAGGTGAGCAAATTATAAGCTCCTTCGAGGGTTTCTTTACGGTTCTTTACCTCGTCGCTTTTCTTGAACCGTCAGGGTAGAAAACGTAGTTTTTAGGAACGGGTTATGTATAAATAAGGCCTAAGCCTATGCTTAAGAATAATAAGAAAATACAAACCCTAAACCTCTCTCTCTTTCTCTGCTGTCTCCCCACTGCCGTGTGCATCCCAGCCGCGGTTTCCCCTCTCCTTCTTCCTCCTCATCTTCCTCTTCTGAGCAAGGAGACGCTCGGAGTCTCCCCTATCCGACACTTAACGTATCATTGGCGCTTTCATTGAGTTGAACCATGGCCTCCACTTCTGTAACCACAGCCGACTTTCAAGAATTCCAGCAGCAAATTGATCGGCAACTCCATGACCACACCGCCACCATGCAAAACCTACATCATCACATGGAGCAACTTCACCAACGATTTGAGGAGTTCCTGCGCCGTGTTGACAGACCTCCTGCAGCCGGTGGTGCGGGGCCTCGACTTCCTGGTGGTAACCCCCATGACAACGTGCCTGTCATGTCCAAACTCAAATTAGAGATGCCAAAGACGGACGGCTCGGATCCATTGGGTTGGTTATTCAAAGCCCAAACAACAACAACAACAACAACCCAGTTGAATCCCACTACAGTAGGGTCTGGGGAGGGTGTGTGTACGCAGACCTTGCCCCTACTCGGAAGTAGGGAGGCTGTTTCCAAGAGACCCCCGGCTCAACCTGCACAAAAATATGGTCGGTTATTCAAAGCCCATGAATATTTTATCTTTTACGCCGTCCAAGAGGAGTCTCGCCTTCCGGCTATTTCCATGATGCTCGAAGGACCGGCTCTTGATTGGTTTCGGTGGCGCCACCGGAACAACCTCGTTACGACGTGGGGCGATTTTGTCACCCAATTCAAGCTTCGGTTTGACCCGCTCAGTTATGTGGACTACTTTGCTATTCTGTCCAAAATTCAGCAAACGGGATCCGTCTTGGAGTACCAACAGGCTTTTGAGAAAGTGTTAGTCAACGTCACCGGCGTGGCTGAAACTAATTTGCAGTCCTTATTCCATGCCGGTCTCAAACCCCATCTCCAACACGAGGTAATGATTCTCAAACCAGATTCTCTTTCGGCTTCCTTTGCCTTGGCCTGGGAACTTGAGGTGAAACATACCGCGTGGACGTCCGCCATGCCGCACCGTTTTAACCGTGCCCCAGCCCAACAGACAACAACCCCTCTTTTGCCAACACCTGGGCCGAAGACACCTCTGCCTGGGACAAAACCTATCGCCGGGCTGCCAATCCGTCGCCTTTCCTACGCCGAACGCAAGGAACGCGATGCCAAAGGGCTTTGTTATAACTGTGACGAAAAGTGGGTCAAAGGCCACAATTGCGGTCGGTTCTTATTACTGTTGGAGGACGACGAGGGAGACGAGCCTGCTATACCTGACTTCGACGACACCATCTTGGCAGCGGATGTCTCCTCCCTCAACAGTCTAGCCGGCGTGACTGCCCCTCGGTCGTTACGGCTATCCGGCATGATTTCAACCGCGGTCGTGGACGTGCTAATCGACGGAGGTAGCACCCACAACTTTATTCATCCGTCGGTGGTTGAAAAGTCTCATTTACCGGTTCTGGATGTGCCCGCGTTTCGGGTATATGTGGGCAACGACGCATCCTTGGTTTGCACGCAGAAGTGTTCCAACGTCGAGCTCTTGTTACAAGGGTTTACCTTTCCAGTGGATGTGTTTGTTCTTCCCATTCATGGTCCCGATGTGGTTCTGGGTGTTCAATGGTTGCAACTTCTGGGCTCCGTGACGCATGATTATGCACATTTGACAATGGTTTTTTCCTGGAAGGGCAAGGAGGTGACTTTGCGGGGTGATACCTTGGCTCCCCGACCCCTGTCCTTGCACCATTTTCACGCCTTATTTTCGGATCAATCTGTGGCCGCTTGTTATGAACTCTTCATCACTCCTGCCCCAGTAGCCGAATCACACCAGCCGGAAGTTTGGCCGCGGGATCTGCCACCCGACATCCAACGCGTGCTCCAGCGCTATGCATCGGTTTTTGCACAACCGACCGGGCTACCCCCACGGCGACTTAGTGATCATAGGATCTTTCTCCTGCCAGGGACTAATCCGGTGAATGTTCGCCCTTATCGGTACCCACACTTTCAAAAAACCGAGATTGAACGCCTTGTCAAAGAGATGCTCGATCAAGGCCTAATACAGCCGAGCCGTAGTCCGTTCTCCTCACCGGTCCTTCTTGTCAAAAAAAAGGACGGGACATATCGCTTTTGCGTTGACTACCGGGCTTTGAATGCTGTCACCGTCCCGGACCACTTCCCTATTCCGACGGCGGATGAATTATTTGACGAATTGGGGTCGGCCCGCTTCTTCTCCAAACTGGACTTACGCTCGGGGTACCACCAGATTCGTATGCATGATCGTGATATCTATAAAATCGCTTTCTGGACACATGAAGGCCATTACGAGTTCCGTGTCATGCCGTTTGGCTTGACCAATGCGCCATCCACATTCCAGGCCTGTATGAACCGCCTTTTTGCAGCTTATCTCCGCCGCTTTGTGATAGTTTTTTCCGATGATATTTTGGTTTACAGCCCCTCTCTGCAGGACCATGCCACCCACCTAGATGTGGTTCTTAACCTCCTGGACACACACACTTTTTTCGTTAAAATGTCTAAGTGTTCATTTGGCGCAACTTCCATTGATTATCTTGGGCATGTGATAACCGACGGGCACCTCGTCGCGGATAAATCAAAAATTGCTTCCATGCTGGAATGGCCCATACCCACGTCTCTCAAACAGCTTCGTGGATTTTTGGGCTTAACAGGGTATTACCGGCGGTTTATTCATCATTATGCACATCTCGCCGCTCCTCTCACTAACCTTTTGAAGAAAGATGGTTTTGTTTGGACGGAGGCAGCCACCACCGCCTTTGAGGCCCTCAAAACTGCCCTTTCCACTGCCCCGGTCCTCCGTTTGCCAGATTTTTCTCGTCCTTTCGTGGTTGATACGGATGCATCGGCCACAGGCATAGGGGCGGTCCTCCTTCAGGACGAGCAGCCGGTGGCCTATTTCAGTAAAAAATTGGGGGTACGTCGTCTGGCCGCATCGACTTATCACAAAGAACTATACGCCATCGTGGAGGCGGTACAAAAGTGGCGTCAATATTTATTGGGCCGCGAGTTTCTCATTCGGACGGATCAACGTAGTTTGCGGGAGCTTCTGCAACAAGTTGTCCAAACCCCCGACCAACAATTCTATATACGGAAGCTTTTGGGATACCAGTTTCGCATTGAATATAAGCCAGGTCGCACTAACTGTGTAGCGGATGCCTTATCCCGTCAAGCCGAGCCTACGGAGGAGAGCCATTTTTTGGCATACTCCCAGCCGTTTCCAGAAATTGTCGCACGGATCCGGGCAGAAAACGCCACCCAACCCGACCTGGTGCGCCTCCACCGTGACCACCAGCGGGGTGTTTTGCAGCGACCCTTCGAGGTACTGGATGGACTTCTACACTATAATACTCGGTTATGCATTGGGGAGAATTCAGACATTCGCCAGGAGCTGTTGCGGGAATACCACGACACGCCTACAGCCGGCCACACCGGAGTACACCGCACCTTCCATCGTTTGTCCCAGTCATTTTATTGGCCTCGGATGCGTTCCGATGTACGTCGTTACGTCGCAGCATGTGCCACATGTCAAGCCACCAAGTTCTCCACTCAACCGCCCGCGGGGTTGCTTCAACCTCTTCCAATTCCCTTACAGATTTGGGAGGACATTAGTATGGACTTTGTCACTGGACTGCCCACTTCTCGCGGATACTCTATCATTTTTGTGGTCGTCGACCGGCTGTCCAAATATGCACACTTCGGGTCTCTTCCGGGGGACTTCAATGCCCACAAAACCGCCGCGTTGTTCGTTGAAATGGTGGTCAAATTGCATGGAATTCCGAAGTCCATTGTCTCGGACCGTGATAAGGTGTTCACAAGCACTTTCTGGCGGGAACTTCACACGCTGAGTGGCACCACATTGCAGCATAGTAGTGCGTTTCATCCCCAAATGGACGGCCAGACCGAAGTCCTTAACCGCACGTTGGAGCAATACTTGCGCTCTTTTGTTCATGCACGGCCTACCCGCTGGACAGTCTACCTTCCGTGGGCAGAATACTCCGTCAACACCAGCTTGCATCACGGCTTAAAGATGACACCGTTCCAGGTCGTTTATGGGCGAACCTCGCCGGAATTGATTCCTTACAATCGGGGCGACAGTCGGGTCCAGGCGGTCGATGATATCTTGGCCGGAAGGGATGAGTTGTTGGCTCGTTTGCGGGCTGATTTAGGGGCTGCACAACATCGGATGAAGATGATTGCCGACCGTAAGCGTCGGGAGGTAGAGTTTGCGGTAGGCGATTTGGTGCTATTGAAGTTACAACCGTATCGCCAACACTCGGTGGCGCGTCGGGTTTCTCAGAAGTTGTCCCTACGTTTTTTTGGCCCTTTTGAAGTTCTTGAACGCATTGGTCCAGTGGCGTCTCAAGTTACCAGAGTCGTCTCGCATCCATCCCGTGTTTCACGTCTCCCTCCTACGGCCGGTTAAGGGTGCAAGCGGTCAGGTGACCACGTTACCGCTGCCTTCGGACCTACTGGAGGGCCGGGTGCCTTCCATTCCAGTTCAAATCCACGCAGTACGGCAGGTCCTACACAACGGGACACCTGAGGAGCAATTTTTGGTACGTTGGAGCGATGGGTCGTTGGACGACGCCACCTGGGAACCGGCAGAATCAATTCGAAGGCATTTCCCGGACTTACACCTTGAGGACAAGGTGGTTTCTGAAGCGCGGGAGAGTGTTATGGATCGGGAGCTGCCCAGTTCGAGTAGGCCTTGGCGGAGCGAGAGGATGAAGCGTATGCCGAGGTGGCAACAAGAGTTTGTTATGGAGTAGTGTTCTTTCAGTACTATTATTATTCGTATTATTATTATTATCCGTTGTAATTTAGATTTTCCTAGGTGAGCAAATTATAAGCTCATTCGAGGGTTTCTTTACGGTTCTTTACCTCGTCGCTTTTCTTGAACCGTCCGGGTAGAAAACGTAGTTTTTAGGAACGGGTTATGTATAAATAAGGCCTAAGCCTATGCTTAAGAATAATAAGAAAATACAAACCCTAAACCTCTCTCTCTTTCTCTGCCGTCTCCCCACTGCCGTGTGCATCCCAGCCGCGGTTTCCCCTCTCCTTCTTTCTCCTCATCTTCCTCTTCTGAGCAAGGAGACGCTCAGAGTCTCCCCTATCTAACACTTAACGTATCACTACATTAAAAAAATTTAAAAATCAATTTATGACTAGACTAAAATTGAAAACACATTTAGTGGAAAAATAAAAATATAAAAATTATTCTGATTCAAAATACTGAGTAGAATTTTATAAAAATGTTTAAAATTTTGAAATGTTCCATATGAGCTCATGAATAAAAAAATAATGTAGAAATTAGTGGAGTGAATTTAGTGTGTGGAGTGAATTTAGTGTTTGGCGGGATGTGACTATCACCACCATCATAAAAATTTACTTGTAATATCTAATACTTAAACAAAAAAATTTACATGAAACATACAATATATATTTTTAGAAAATCAAAATAAATGGAATTATATATTAAATAAACTAGTAAAATATAGTAAATGAAATTAAAGTTGCTACCTCAGACTATTGGATAAGTTGAGAGATGGGGATGACATTGAGGATGTTTTAGAGTTATGCTTGCATGGTCTGAAGGTGTAAATTTAAAATGTGAGTCTTCTCATATCTTTTATGGGCTTGAATATAAATAATTTTTTTTTTTTGTAAAAGTCCGACCTTTTTATGCTACAAATACACTAAGAAGCATAAAATGAACATGCACCTTAGGTCAACTGAAAAATTTGTCAATATTTTATAATCTTTTTTAAATTATAGTAAGAAAAATCAACTAAACATATGTGACATTTTAAGTCCACATGACACTTATTAAATGGAGGGACATTTATGCCCTTTCAATTGTAAAGAGACAAGAGAAAATCCCATGTCTTATTTATATACTCATATTATTCTGTTCAAGTAAAAATATGTTACTACTAACAATCAAAATATTACATTAAACATCACAAAAAAAATATACAAAATTGCAAACAACTCAATGCAAGACAAGTGGAGTCCATCAATGCTAATTTGAGGAGTATAAGTTAGGAATCACTTTTAAGGTGTGAACACTTACTTTTGAGTATACGCTTTTTTTCGACACAATTAACATATTTATAAAAAGTACATGTAGTGAGATGATCAGCTAGGTTAGGTATTTTATATGGATTGAATCAAGCTAATTAACTTCAATTCTAAACATATGAACAACGAACTTATAGTTCAAGACATATGAACAAAAGTCGAGTACTATATATTTTTATTAGATATATAAACAATGAGCCAATACATCCAATATAACTATAATACAATCATCATATCACAGATGATATTAAGGTTATCGTTATTAGTGTCTCACAAACAACGATTGTTTTACACACAATAACGTTTTGTGTGTGATTATACGTGATATTGCTAATATTGCTTGCATTTCTAAAATTATGGTAACATTTTCTTATTTAAAAATAGAAAAATATCTAACTAGAACTAAAACATATTGCATATACTTAAATATGATATTTAATATTTTTATGTCAAAATAGAATTCGTAATAGAGTGAATTTCTAAAACAAATTTTTCTAATAATGTGTTTCACTTAGGTGATCATTTATAATTAGATTTATTTCTTAAATGGTCATTTGTTGAAAATTCTATCAAATGTCAGTTAAATATAAAATATTTTGGTATTTTCTATCATCTAGACTTAAATTATGATCTCAAAATGTTCTTTTACAAGTGTTTTCTCAAACTAATAATTTGTAAGTGTTTTTCCAAAACAGAATCCATGTTCTGACTTGGGGTGAGACTGTTCTTTATGAGGCATTCACTTAATTGAAAAAAATCATTTTGAACACTTATTCATAATTTAGGTGATGGAAAATACTAAAATAACATCTATTTAACTATCATTTAATATGCATTTTTGAAAAGAATTATTTAAGAAATACATATCAACTACAAAGCAATTATTTTTTATTGAAAATTAATTTGAAATAACACTTTATTAGGAAAGACTATTTTAGAAATTCATTCTTTACAATAACAAAATACTCTATGCACTTTTCTTAGTGGGCCTCCAAAACAGTGGCTAAAACATCGGGCCACTTTCTCCGCCTTCATGCTCTTTCTTCGCGTGTCCAAAGAGCCCAAAGTCTTCCTTGTCTCTTCTCCAGTGTTTTTCCTCTCTGCTCAAGCAAGACTCTCTCTCTCTCTCTCTCTCTCTATCTCTCTCTCTCCATTGATAAAACAGTCAAACTTCCGACAAGCTTCACTGGCCGCCTCATGTTTCTCCAGGTATAGTGTTCTTATATCACGCTTCAATGGCCTAAACCTTCTGGTATTCATTTCATTTTGTTTTTTTGATTCAAAGTCGGTGAACTGCTCTTGAATGGTCTGTTGGTGGTGATTTTGAACGAGTTCTTATTCAGTATTGGAGTTTGATCGGGTGAGTTGAGACGCTGGGAGTTCTGATTTTGCAATCCCCGCATTTGGGGGGAGGAGGAGATGTCGAGTTTCCAGGGCGTTCTCGTGTCTGATCAATGGCTTCAGAGCCAGTTCACGCAAGTGGAGCTTCGCAGTCTCAAATCCAGAGTAAGCATATTTGTTTTCCCCATGATGTTGTGTTTTTTTTTTTTCAGTTGGATTTCTCAATGTTAGAAAACCTGGATTCCTTGTTTTCAGTTCATTTCGGTGAAGAATCAGAATGGGAAAGTGAACATTGGCGATTTGCCGGCTATAATGGCAAAACTGAAGGCGTTCAGTGATGTATTTAATGAGGAGGAGATTAGGAACATGTTGGGAGATTCTGGTAATGATGAGATTGATTTTGAAGGTTTCCTCAGGGTGAGTGATCAGTATGTTCATCTCTTTTCGATGCCTGTTATTGTTATTAGTATTATTTATTGTTGGGGTTGAATCTGGAACTTTTAGTTTTAATTCAATCCAATGAAGAAGTAGCTAGTGAGATTGAACCTCTGTTAGGATGTGTTTAGGATATAATCCAACATCGAATACCTAGTAAAAAAAACTAATCCGTAATAATAGGAGTTACTCCTCTCATTTCCAATTGGTTTTGGGTCGGAATCTCACAATTCTACACGGTATCATAGTCTAGGTTTAATAGCTCAAAAGAAAAAATGCTCAGGTTTATTCGAGCCAGTTAAACATGAGTGAAAAAGACCAAAGTTGCACTTAAAGGGGATGTTGAGTATAAAATCAAAATTATACAGGATGTAATAAAAAAGGAAATTAGTTAGTACTAGGTTTTGCAATCTGTATTTTGTCCAAGTGTTGTAACCATGTATGGATCTTCTAATCTTTGGTGTGCAGACATACTTGAATCTGCAAACTCTAACTGCATCGAAATCAGGTAGTTCTGGAAGCCCTTCGTCGTTCCTCAAGGCCACCACAACTACTCTACTTCACACCATCAGCGAATCCGAGAAGTCATCGTATGTTGCTCATATAAACAGCTATCTCAGAGATGACCCGTTCTTAAAGCAGTTCCTGCCTATAGACCCAGCATCCAATGAGCTGTTTAATCTTGCAAAAGACGGAGTTCTTCTATGGTATTGATTACTAAACATGGAGCTTTTATGATAGTCTAAGTCTGTTAGTTAGCCTATGGATATAGAGTTGAATTATTTACTTGAATTCTCTTTCGACTTCCTACAGTAAGCTGATCAATGTTGCTGTTCCTAATACCATAGATGAAAGGACAATTAATATGAAACGTGTACTCAACCCATGGGAAAGAAACGAGAATCATACGCTTTGCCTCAATTCTGCAAAGGCTATTGGATGCACAGTTGTTAATATAGGCAATCAGGACTTAGTTGAAGGAAGAGTGAGTTCTAAGGGTTGATTTTTGAGCTTAAGTATCTTTGCATATGTCTCTGTAACAGTGTAATCGTAATATTTTTCCATTTTTTGCAGCCTCATTTGGTTCTTGGATTGATCTCTCAAATCATTAAGGTTGGTATTCCGATTTTATTTTACTTTTTCACGGTTGATATTTGTATTGTAGTTTGCAAGACAGGAAACAACAAAAGTTTATTTTAATTTTTTTTCAGTTCAGTCCAATAAGATCAAATTGACATTTGATGAATTGCTTTTTCATATTTGATTTTCAGATCCAACTTTTGGCTGATCTCAACCTTAGGAAGACTCCCCAGCTTGTAGAACTTGTGGAGGACAACAATGTACATGAAATCTCACATTGTTATTCATTTTCCTTCTTGTATACTCTCTCCATCCCGAAGAAATAAGATTACATAATGGACCGGACACAGTTATTAAGAGAAGTGAAAGTATATGGATAAATTTTGTACATAGGAGAGAAATTCTGTGAACCTCACAATTCCTTCCTCAATAGGAAACAAGAACTTTTTTGGACAAAGAAAAAAGAAATGTAGAATCTTTTTATGAAACAATGTGAGTATTTGCTTTATTTTGAACTCTTAAATTTTGGTGCGGATGTTATTAATTTTTGCAGGATGTTGAGGAGCTTATGGGATTAGCCCCAGAAAAGGTTTTGTTGAAATGGATGAATTTTCATCTCAAGAAAGGAGGCTATCAGAAAACAGTAACCAATTTTTCATCGGACTTGAAGGTAAATTCTTGCATTTAGGAATTAAAGTAAGGTGAAATAGATCTAAGAGGTGGTCAAACAAGACTTCAAGAGTCAATAAATGAGCTTGAGTATAATGAAATCTTTAGGGATCAATGGAGGGAAATCATTGAGATGTTGGAAGCATTAAATTATTGTGAAGTAGAAAGGCACTAAGGGGGTATAGGGAAGCTATATTTTTAAGTTGTTAAATACAGTCAGGGAGAGGAAGTTGGTTTTTAGGGGAGTAGGAGAGCGAAGACTAGCAAAAATCCGTGCAAATGTATCAACAAGGTGAAAGTGAGGGTCACACCAAAGAGGAGGAAAATGGCCTAGCCGGTATGCTAATTTATGATTGAGACATTATAGTGCTTGGGGTAAGAAGGAATGCATTGACAACTAACAAGCCTCTTTAACATAATCCTCAAAATTGCCATGATGCTTGAGCCTTGAAGAGTGGATGCTTAGTGTGTACCTTGGTGGAGCCACTCTATTAGAATAAATGTGCCGCACAAAGATGCAATAACTACCACATCCTCAAGTTACTCGCTCACCGCTTACTAGGTCTAGGGGCTACAACTATTCTGGTTTCATGCTAGGAAAGCCTAGAATTGAGTAGTTGGGGCAATCTACCTTTTAAAGTGTCTTTTAGAGAGGCATATAGATCTTGGTAAAGATTTGCCCTTGGTATTTATAGCCCTGGAGAAAGGCCTATGCAGGTGTCACACATGAATTAGTTCATCATAACTTGGAGGTCACAGGGGTCCCACAGATGTACATGATGGCGATGCATGAAATGTAAGCGAAACTTAGAATGTTTCTACGTACTCCAAGCTTTGCCAAATTACCTCACAATGCGCCCTGAAAGACTTGGGTGGGGGACAAAGTCTCCTAGTAAAAATCGTGTTACACCAAGGATCGGTGTTGAACCTACTTTTTGTAGCAATTTTGGATGTTATTCCCTTAGGATCTAAGAGAGTGTTGGTGTGTGCTATCTACAGATGACATTAAGGCCCTGCTCTTTTGGGTTGAAAAATTAACTTTTAACTTCTTCCAATTCTTTCCAGTTTCTTTCAACACTATCCATTCTCTTTCAACTACTTAAAAAAAGGTATTTATATATGATGAACATACGGTACCATTATATATCCAAATTTATAGCATACCATCTCAAACACGGAGAAAGTTGAATCCTTTTTTATTCAAAATTAAAGTTTTCTTGTATATTTATTTGGGTGATCATTTAATTGAATGACTTTTTAACATTTTTATTCTTTCATCATTTTTCAACTCCTAGTCTTTTTCAACCCTTTCATAGTCATCAAGGCGTTGCCTAGGCGATGCTTAAGCGTCTGGGTGAGGTTATATGGATGCCAAACTGCTCGCCTAGCTTATTTTTTGTGGAAACATGGGAGAAGAAGATGACTGGAAGAAGCCTGATAGAGGACGAAGGAGGAGAGGATCTGAAGACGAAAGAGAGAGACACTTACTATTGGAGGAAGATCGACTTTACCTTACTTTCCGATGCAGATTCATTGTCGCAACTCTTGAGATATCCAGTGGCTTCCTCTAAACCCTCCGACTCTCCATAGTTATTTAGAGTAGTGTGCCTTTACACTTATTAAGTATAGCTCTTTATTAAAAGAGTATTGGGCCCAAATTTGATATCACTTTAAAAAGTTTAAAAAGCCCACTAACTTACTAACTTAAGTAAAAAATGTTTACTAATTTTTTTTAAAACAACATTCATTCATATATTTCGGAACATCTACTCTATTTTTGGGTACATAGGCACTCTTTGATTACTTATTTCATATTAGATGCTTTTATATTAATACCGATAAAATATTAAAGTTGTCATAGCCAACTCGCCCAGATGACGCCTAGGCGGGTGCCTAATCGCTTAGGCAATTGGAAGGTACCCTAGCGCCTAGACTCGCCAAGCCGCCGTAATAACTATGCACATCAGCACTGGTGATGAGTGTGGAGAGCATTTTGGTTGAGAGGATCAAAAGGAGACTAGGAGAGGCAAACCACATAAGATGTGTAAGGAGCAGTTGGGGATTGGATTTGACAACCTTACATGCTTCTTTTTTGGATTAGGGTCGCAGATCTTGTGGGATGCCTCTAAGTTTTGTTGGGATTCGTTCGCTGAACCCTTTTGTATTTCTCTTACCTTTTCACTATTGACACTACATTTCATTGTTTATTGGGGCGCCCTCGGAAATAACCTCTCTACGTAGCAGAGGTAAGATGGTGTATCCCTCTCTCCTCTCCCAATCTCTCTTATGAGTGAGATGTACTTGGTATATTTGGTTTTTCTAAAGAAAAAGTGAATTTCAATATTTCATGCTACTGCTTGGGGGTGATGACAACTTCATCATCTGAAATGAAACAAGACTGAATTCGCCTTCTCAGTGTCCCAAGCAGAGCAGCAGAAACTATAGTGTGGAGTTGTACATGAGCTACGGACACTGCTCTTGAACAATGAGGAGATGGTGTCTTCTGGCCTTGGTTTTATGTATCAGTTTCTTTGGCAGTTAGTGTTTCTTTGGCAGTTACAGTTTCTTCTCATGGTGCAGGATGGAGAGGCATACACTTACCTCCTTAATGTGCTTGCACCTGAATATTGCAATCCAGCAACCTTGGATGTCAAAGATCCTGCTGAAAGAGCAAATCTAGTCCTTGATCACGCAGAAAAAATGGACTGCAAAAGATATTTGAGTCCAAAGGACATTGTTGAAGGTTCGGCTAATTTGAATCTTGCCTTTGTTGCTCAAATCTTCCATCAAAGGTGTGAATACAGTCCCTTTTCTTATTTAAATTGCTTAGTATAAAATAAGAACAACACACATCAAGAAAAAAAACAATTTTTTTTGACAGGAATGGCCTGTCTATTGACAACAAAAAGATCTCCTTCGCGGAGATGATGACGGACGACGAACTAATCTCACGAGAAGAAAGATGTTTCCGGCTATGGATCAACAGTCTCGGCATCAACTCTTACGTCAATAATTTATTTGAGGATGTCCGAAATGGGTGAGCAGTATCCGACCATATGCTCAATTTTGACACTTTTGAAAATCAATAGTTACTCCCTCCATCCCAAAAAGAGCAGCATTTCAAAAAATTATTTGTCCTGCAGAATAGTAGTCTATCTTTTGAAATCAATTTTTATTTTTGAGTAATATTCTTGTAAAGCCTATCAGCAAGCAGTTTTTGTCAATTCCCCAAACAACATTCTTGGAAAAAGTTTTAGGGGCATAAGTGACCATTCATAACTTGCAACTCCTAAAATCTTGTACCTTATTTAAGCAGGCTAAAAGTATAAAGTCATACATTACTCAAACATGATTTTTTTTGGGACTGAGGGAGTACTTTGTTATCTAAAAGTTTCTGACTGTTATTTATAATGATTTTGTCAGACACTGGCAGTTTAGCCTGAATTCGTAACCCTCGGAATCTTCTCACTGTCTGTATGATGTATCACATTTTTAGATGGGTACTCCTGGAGGTTCTGGACAAGGTATCTCCTGGATCAGTGAATTGGAAACATGCAACAAAACCACCTATTAAGATGCCATTCAGGAAAGTAGAGAATTGCAACCAAGTTGTCAGGATTGGGAAGCAGTTGAAACTCTCCTTGGTGAATGTAGGTGGGAATGACTTTGTTCAGGGGAATAAAAAGCTTACACTTGGTAATATGCTCAATCAATTTGGTCTTATTTGATATATTGCCTTAATTTATTCTTTTTTCTTGGCCAAATCCACTAGTATATATAGAAATCTCTGAAGCATCCATCACCCCTTTCCCTGCTTTCCAGCATTCTTGTGGCAATTAATGAGGTTTAACATACTTCAACTATTGAAGAATTTGAGATCGCGATTTCAAGGCAAGGAGATCACTGATACTGATATCCTCAATTGGGCAAACAGAAAAGTAAAAAGCACAGGAAGAACATCTAAAATGGAGAGCTTCAAGGTTCATTTTGTGTTTTGAAGTATCATTATCTTTTATACTATGGGTGCCTCGTGAGAGATGATGTGATTCTTGAATGGCTGTTGATTTAGGATAAGAGCCTTTCATCTGGGCTTTTTTTCCTAGAGCTTCTCAGTGCAGTGGAGCCACGGGTTGTTAACTGGAACCTTGTTTCAAAGGGTGAAAGTGGTATGGATTTCCAACTTTTTTAAAACTACTAGCTTTATGTTTTAATCTAGAGACTGAGTTGACTACAACTCAGAAGCTTCCTATGCAGGTTGGTTTTGGCTTTGTTTGGCCTAACATTAAAAAAACTGTTTTTGAGAAAATACGTTTTGGTTAGTGTTGTATAGCATTTAATATAGTGCTTGACCTATCTGACGAAAAGTGGTTTATAAGTTAGATTATGAAAAAAATTCACAACGATTTTATTGACAATTGATCTATTTAAAGAGATTTTTAAAGGTGGATTTCCAAAAGCTCTAGATTGAAGCTTTTGTAAATGGGGCGAACATAACCTTGACGTTTTAGACCCTCTTAGGGTTTGCTTTGTTTGAGGGGAGGAAGGGATGGTTTAGTATATATCTTGATGAATAAATGTTTCTAAAAACGAAAGGACCGAAGGTGATTAAAATGTTACACTATCACATATTAGATTCATATTTTCCTTTTATATCTTATAAAATCTTACACCTACACATCTATACATGTATATATCGAGATATATGCTAAGCTCTCCATAACATTTCCCTCTAAAACCTCCATCCAAACATGTTCTAGAAGTGCTTTTGAATGTGGAGTCTCTTATGTGGTTATTGGTCTTTTACCATGATGATAATTAAATGGCCATTGCGTTGATGACTACATATTTATTTTTTAATTGCAGATGATGAAAAGAAATTAAATGCGACTTATATCATCAGTGTTGCTCGAAAACTCGGCTGTTCAATATTTTTGCTGCCTGAGGATATCATTGGGGTGAGTGCAGTTTTTTGAGTGGGAGGGGGGATAAATTAAACCCATATCATTATTGTTCATAATATAAATACATTGACCAGAGTTCTTTTGACACCCGAGTGTCATAATATGACACCGTGGCCCTACAATGCTCCGTTGGGACCCACTTTGGGACTCAATGGAGCATAAGGTCTTAGAATGGCCTATTCATCCTTGCTCATATAAACAATAACCCACTCTAAGTATTTGACATTATGTACTTACAGGTCAACCAAAAGATGATATTGACACTCACTGCCAGCATCATGTACTGGAGCCTTCAGCAACCAGTGAGTGATTCAGAATCATCCCCTTCTCCTTCTGTAGCACTCTCCCCAGACTCCTCCCCAGCACCATCCATCAACGGCGAAGATGAAATCTCACTCGATGGACTGTCAAATCTGACCGTCGATGATGCTGCCTCTTATTCAACAGTCTCATATTCACACGCCGAAGATGAAGATACTGAATCACAGGAGGCCTCATCTTCTTCGCCAGTTGAGAATGGGGACACCCAATTGCAGGAGGTCTCATCGTCACAAGCTGGGAAAGAAGATGATACATAGTCAAAAGGTTGGTTTTAAACTCGGGTTGGAGTGAAAAATATACAGGAAAGTGTTATAATGTTACAGGAAATCTCTCCTTATAGTCTCCTTTTTAGTATTATACCCACACACAAATTATAAAATAATGCCCCCCCTTGTTAATCAAAGATTCTGAGTTTTGTTAAAGTGATTGTATGTTGTAAAAAAAGTACGATAGTAGTCATTTATATGCATTCTTTGGTTGTCTTGAAAGAATTGGTCATACAAACAATGGCCTATCGATATTTTTTGTCGTTAGGGAGAATATATGCATTCCAATTTTCTCTTGACGTACTTCAGTTCATCGGGTCACCGTTGATGAGCTGTGGATTAAGATGATATGGTACTTAGAAGTAGGTAGGCACTTTGTTAGAAAGTTGTTAAGGTGTTGTTAAGTGTGTATATACAGATGCAATCTTCAATTAAGGAAATAATACAATCAATCTTTTCCTAAATTTCTCTCTCTCTCTCTCTCTCTCAAGTTTAGAGTTTGAAGCTTTAGAGAATGATTACAAAATGAGTTTTATAGATCCCACAAAACAGTCTTCTTTAACGAAAGTGTTTATGTGGAAAGAGATGAAGATATATGAATCCTTTTGTGCATTTGGAATCCTATCCTTTCTCTAGGGAAGAAGAAATGAGTGAGGGAGTTAGTTACTATCATGGACTTTAGATCAACGTTCATACATGCTTTGTCATGTGGGGAAAACATTAAATTAAGAGTAAAACATGGAGAATATATCAAAATATGTGCTTCATATTTTAAAATCTAAAAAATATGAGTATATATGGTGACATGTCACTGTACAATATCATCATGTTACAGTGTAAACTTTTATTGTAAGAAAAAAATATAGATATCACCTTAAATAAGACTCAAATATAAAAAAAGTATCAAAATAAGACTTCTATGTTTTTATTTTCGAAACCGCAAATTGCACTGTGGTAACGTGAAGGTAATGTGTCACTGTACACGTGCATATTACTATACTTTTTAGTAATGTACATGATCACGTTTGGTAATGCAAATACATTTTAAGTCCTATTTATAAAATAAAAACATGAAAGTCTTATTTTAGTATATTTTTAATGTTTTACTTCTACTTTTGTTTTTTTCCTTAATACATGACTTTAGAGACACGACCAAAATATTTCGATTTTTAAAAGATAGAAAACAAATTTCTATCAAATTAATTATCCTCTTTCGAATAATGTTCAATTTCTTTTGTATGGAAAATGTTGGGATTTATTTTGGGCCTGTTTTCGTATGAGACCTAACCCGGGGAGGAGTATACGAAAACGTAAAATCCCTTGATTTTCAATTGGTTATCGCAACAAGCTTCTCGTCTACTCTCGCCTCCATCTTCAGTGTTCCCTGCTTCAGCATCCTTCCTTACCAAAGTGTATGTATTCTCAAGCGAAGAGTATGTCTTTTTCCAATTTTACAGATACGAAACACAGTTAGTAACATTAATGGGTTTTACTCGGTTTTAGTAGATGTTTTTAGCGTATTAATGATTTTTAGATGGTCAGAATTCGATCGAAATCTCAAACACTGCTCTACCGATCATTTGTTAGCCCTAGTTTTTGAAGTTTCGTATGAAATACAGCTCTTCGTATTTTATTACCACGTTTTAAACAAGTTTTTGGGCTGTTATGTATTTTTTTTTCACTTTGAGATGTTTTTTTTTAGTCTAATGCAGTCTGATGACTTTATCTTGAGTTCGTTTTGGTCTGAATTGGGCAGCACAAACTGCATTATCATAAGTGGATATGCTTTTACATCCTTTTCTGATACCTATGTTTTTTTGGGGTTGATGTTTACTGTTGTAAGATCATCGAGAGAGCAATTGGGGAAAGGGAATGGCATCTTCTGACGATGAAGCCGAAGCAGAGATAAAATCTGTATCAAACTATGATTTTGTAGATGATGACGATGAGCCTATATCATTCTCGGTGTTACCAGTTCAGTGGAAAAAGGACGAGCTTTTGGGTGGAAAGAGGAAGCACATATTTTTGTGCGGGGATGCTGATAATGGCAATATGAAGATTTATGAAGAAGTTACTGCCTGGAAATTTGATTTGTCAAGCCCAAAGCCTAGCCTGTGGGTACTGCATAAAAAGAAGAGCTGGATCCTGCTTGAGAAACCAAGGAAGGCCTATGAGGATACAATTATTAGAACAATAGTGGTTACTCTGCATTGCTTGCATTTTTTTCGAAAAAATCCCGGCGCTTCTCTTAAATCCTTGTGGGAACTTCTGCACCAGGTTTTCAGGTTTCCATCATGATTCTATACAAAACTCACCTTTTTTTTTTTAATTTCAGAGTTTTAGTTTTATACTTTATTCATCTGTGTATGCTTGTAGTTTTGAGCCAAAGCCTTCGGAGAACGACCTAGTGGAGCACATTGATTTTATTAGTGAAACTTTGAAGCATGATGAACTTCTGGCCAAATCTAAGGTAGATACGCTTCTTATGATTCTTCTTCAGTTTTATGAAGGTGTCTCTCTCTGTTGGTGCTTATTGGCTTATTTCTTACAAGTAGTTTTTGACTTATAAGTTGTTTATTGAAGTATTTATTGTAAAGTAACTTAAATGAGAGGTTAGTCATTTGGGGATATTCATAAAAGGTTAGGGATAGTTTTGCAAATGATTAGGTCAATATTGAGAAACAAAAAATAGGCTTAAAAATAAGCAGGTAAGACCTACTTATTTTTTCTGACTTATAAACACCGAGAAGCACACCATCAAGTGACTTAGGCTGCATTCCGTTCGCTTGATCTGATTTTTTGAAGATTTGGTCTGATCTGGTCTGATGTGATCTGATTATAGTTATAATTAAAGGTGTTTCTGATCTGGTCTGATGTGGTCTAATCTGGTCTGATCTCATTATAGTAAGAATAAGTAATAAGCAGAAAAAATAAGTTGAACGGAACGCTGCCTTGCTCCCCCCGTCCTTAAAAATTATCACAATTTGACTTTTTGGTCAAACAGTGACACCCATTAACCACAAATTAGATATAGTTTAAAATAATTAAATATTATAAAAATTCGATATTTCAAAAGTATTTAAAATAAACCCAATTTTACGAATTTTACATTATAACTAAATATACTCTTTCCACAATTTGTGGTCAAAGGGTGTCACAGTTTGACCAAAAAAGTCAAAATGTGGCAATCTTTTAGGGATGGAGGGAGTATATCCTAAAAACAGCTTATAAGCAGTTTTGACCCATTATATAAGATATTTGAAGGTTTTCTTTTAGATTAATGAATGATATTTTGGAAATTAAAGTATGTCTATGAATGTTTTTTTGTGAAGAAGCATGGAAAACATTTGGTTGTTAATGCATTTTGCAACATCAGTATTAGAATGTTGTTTGTAAATATTTGAATCTTCAATCTTGAGTTACAGAGTGCTTCGTGCTTTCTTGTTCAGGTTTTAGTTACATTCCTTAAAGAGAGGCCTACAAAGAAGAGAATTGTTGATGAGGTCAGGGCCACTTGTAAAACATCATATGTTTATTACAGACACCTCATACTTTCTGCCTTGTAAAAATTTGCTAGTAGATAAGACATGGGGCAAGTATAAAGCTGCCTAGTAACTTATTTTAGCATTTGTTTTGTCCCAGCAGGTAAAGGATAAAACCCTTTCAGGGTTCATAGTTGACGATCTAGGTGATGAAAGTTATGAAGGCAGATCTGATGATGAGGAAGATGATCAGTTTGAATCTGTCTGTGCAATCTGTGACAATGGTGGTGAAATTATTTGGTTTGTTCTTTTTTTTCTAATTTACATGCATTAATTGCATGTTTCATATTTCTTTCCAACATGTCTATGCTTTTCCAAAAGAAATGGGAAAAATGAAAAAATTGCAATGGCATTTTTATAAATAAATCAAACTTTTCTGTCACTGCTGCACTACTACAAGTGTAAAATGCATCATAACCAAAAATGCACCATTCTCATTTCTCATAGTAATGATCATTCTCACCTGAACACTATATATATATATATATATATATATGTATATATATGTATGTGTGTGTGTGTGTGTATCTCTTACTCCGTAAGTTAGGATCCGTGATTTGCTTGTTGGGTTTACAATATCAATCTTTTTTTGAACAATATCATTCTTTTAATGGAATACAGAATTAAGAAAATATCTCAACTCACCATTGTTGTTGATATTTTCATTAAATGTGGAAATAACATATGATGATGGTTTAAGATTTTTCATCTCATTAATACTTTGAAGGTTGCAACAAGAATAGTATCTGGCATAAAATATTGCAACTATGCGGTTTTCATGGATTTGTCACGTTAATCAATTGTATACAACATACAGTCAATTAAACAAATTAAGTATTACCAACCCCAACTATTTAAGAATAAGGCGCTAGTAAATGATAATCATGATGATGACATTATATCTTCCGTATGTGACAACTTTTGGCATCTTTGTAGCTGTGAGGGGAAGTGCCTGAGGTCATTCCATGCTACTGAAGAAGCTGGCAGTGATGTGGACCCCCCTTGTGAATCTCTTGGATTGACTCACGAACAAGTTGAAGTAAGTCTTGATATCTTCTTAATATTTAATGCTTAAAGATGTGCATGTATGGAAGTAAGTCACCAGGCATACTTTCTCAAAGGAGTTAGATTTATAGGGAGAAGTGGATAACAAGAGCATGTTTGAGAAGAATCAAAAGATGTCTTGGTTCTCCATACAACTTTATGCAATCTATTTAATTTCCTTTTCTGTTTTCTTATCCCCTCCTTTATTAATTTTGGCGTTAAAGCTATATTAATAGTGTTATTTATTTAACAATTTTGTCTTATTATTTTCTATAGTTTTCATATGTTAAGCGTTGTAGCAGAATATTCGTAGATGGGCTTGCAGTGATTTAGCTTGTCGTAAACAACTCAGCAGTTAGTAATATGATGGCTGTCATTTTAGCTATGAGTGTGTGAGTGCTTGTTGGATAGATTCTGCCCTATAGATTTTATTCTTCTTTTTGATGCATTACTTATTTTCATAGGTTTGGCATATTGCAAGCTGTAGTAATGTAATGTGGCTGTACCAATCCATGCACACATCAGCTTTTCTTTTCTTTCACTTCTTTTTTTCCTTCTTAAAAATGTGAAGCATCTTGAGTATATGTTTACCTCTTGCTATACATCCATGATTACTGCAGGATATCCAGAAATTTTATTGCAAGAATTGTCTATACCAAAAACATCAATGCTTTGCCTGTGGAGAGTTGGGGTCATCAGATCTATCCTCTGGTGCTGAGGTGCAGATATAGTCAAATAATCAATTTACATATCTTCAATTTGGTTGAATGCATTCAACTGATTTCATGCAAACAAAATGTAAACAATAATACGGAGTATAAGTTAAAACCCATAGGTTTTTTCTCATTTTAATGTGTACAGTGTACTTCTGCTATATTATGTAAAACCTGCTCTCTATGTTTCCTATCCCATTAACTTCCAACCAGCGCATTTTCCAGTTGAATGTCTTTCAATTCTTCTATCTAAAATTTGCTCTTTTTTGTCTGTTCCAAAATAAGCTTACACCTGTCAAATTTCCTTTTTAGGAAATGAATATGTGGCTCACAGCATCCCTTCTTCTTTAAAGATATTTTAACCACTCACTTTTCAACACTTCTCTTAAATTCCATGAAGTCAAAGTGTCAGGTTCATTTTGGGATGGAGGTAGTATGTGGTATATCAAATTTGGGAGACTGCATTTGTCTTATATCATGTTTGCATCGATTCTTGGTGCTGATTCAAGAATGTGCACTATCATTCACAGTTTTGTTTTTGTGAATTTCATTGATCACTTTGAGTTTAAAAATCAATTGCAGGTTTTCCGTTGTATTAATGCTACTTGTGGTCGCTTTTACCATCCACATTGTGTGGCCAAACTGCTCAATCGCAGTAAGAAGTTAAATATGGACAGTCTTCAGAAAAAGATTGCTGCTGGAGAACTGTTTGCTTGTCCCATGCACCAATGCTTTGTTTGCAATCAGATTGAAGACAAGAAAAATAAGGATATGCAATTTGCTATCTGCAGGCGGTGCCCTAGAGCATATCATAGGAAATGTTTACCAAGGTCCCCCATCCTGTTTTAGAATTTTGTTATTACTGTTTTGATCATTATGACTATTTATCATATTTAGACTGATTGGTTCTCTCTACTTGTCAGTGAGATTGTATTCGAAGATGATGAAGAGCAGGATATTGATGAACAACAGAATACAGTAGCAAGGGCTTGGGAGAATCTTATTCCTAACAGAATATTGATTTATTGCTTGTAAGTGAATTAATGTTGATTCCCATTAGAGCTAAAAGAATCAATAGCAACAACATTTTATTATTTAAGTTTTAGGCACATAATGTACTAAATTTGAATTGGCACATAAGCTTCATTGCTTCTTACTTTCTATGAAGTTTTGGCTGCTAAATGAAACTGTACATCTAGGGTTTAAGAGAAACATCCTCTCTGTTTTTTTATGGTGGTAAGATTGCTTCCATGTTGACCCTAGACCCCAACAGAGTTGGGATTATACTGGGTTATTGTTGCTTGTAAGTGAACTGAATCTGAATAAGTTCTCTCTTTTGCGTTGTGGCTGATTTGAATTTAATCTTTCACAGAGAGCATGAGATTGATGTTGAAATTAAGACGCCAGTAAGAAACCATTTAAAATTTCCTGGGGTTAATAAACATAAAGTAAAGCAGAATACTAAGATGCTGGAGAAAAAAAGGATCATACGGAAAAGTAGTGGCCCTTTGCATGAAACTGAAGATGTGAGCCAAAATAGTGTTGCCAAGCACTCAAAAGGTCTGCATAAGCCATCCACTGGATCTGTTGGTGTACTTTCCAAAAAAAGAGAGGGAAAGTTTCCCCCACCCAGTATTTCTAAGAAACAGAAAGTGATGGGTACTACCAAAAAGAGTGCAGATAAGGCTTCCTCTGCTAAGTCTCAACCTGGTGCAGCTGAAGGCAAAATGACTTTAGGGCAAATGCTATTTGAGCTGAATCAACAAAGGTGCAGTGATGCCGAGCCAGTGGATTCGAATAAAGTGACTAGAGTTTCACTTGCAAAGGAGGAACCAAGCAGCTCATCAAATCTTGATGCTGATTCAGAAAAAAGGTGAACCAACTATTCCAATATTTTGCTACAAGCTGCATCTCTCATCCCATCTATCAGTGCTTCATTAATCCGCAAAGGATTGAAAATGAATTTTATCCAAGTTCTTTTTATTTAATGAAGTTGTGTAAAAGTAGTCATGCTCATTTGACTACTTGAATTTTATTATGTTCTACATGAATTAATCAATTGTTAGATGAAGTCCTTGAGCAGTTAATGTATTTGCGTCTGCACTTTCATTTTACCATAAATTGCATGATTGATTAAGCAGTCTTAGCTACTCTTACCCCGGTTTTCTCTTTTGCCGGGAGTGTGGACTAATACTAATTTGGCCCATTTTTATAATTTCTTTCAACCTCCCAGAATACAGGATCTTATGAAAGAGTCTTCCAAACTTACTCTTGACGAGGTTTTGAAGATGCTCAAAGTGCCAACTGAACATGCATACTCTTCAAAAGTTGCAATAGATCGCTCTATAACCTTAGGAAAGGTTGATGGGTCTATTAAGGTAATTTCTATTCTTTCCTTTATTTCATAACCTTAGGAAAGGTTGATGGGTCTATTAAGGTAATTTCTGTTCTTTCCTTTATTTCATGAGTTCTCCCTCGAGTATTTGAGTCAGTTATACTCAGTAATTTGATTGCAGGCAATTCGTACAGCATTACAAAGGCTAGAAGAAGGGGGAAGTGTTGATGATGCAAAAGTAGTTTGTGATCCTGCTCATCTTACACAGATAATAAAATGGAAGGTAGTTTACCCTATACTCTTCTCATTTTCATCAAGCATGCCATTTTTTCATTTTTAATCTGTAGTGATATACACATACCATATATGGATTATGTGATATTTGTTGCCCTAAGGGGAACAGATACGGACAATTAAATGCCTTAATCAATATGGCTAATTAATCAGGCTTAAGCTACCGATCATCTACTGATCATTTCTATGGAATATCAAAAGCCACTCATGCAATTAATATACCGGAGTTCATTAGTCATGACAAATACGGAGAAATATGTAGGCTTCATTTGGGAATTGGGATTGATTCATGATACCTTTTACTTTTAATTTTTATAAAATTAAATTATATTGCTAAAAATATAGTAGTCTAATTAAAAGTATTATTTTAAAAATTATACTCCATATAAAAAGGTCTACAAATTAAGAACTGAAATAGTAATACATTTTCTGTCCCGCAATAATATTTATATTTCGTTTTTAGTCCATCCAAAAAATTGAAGTTTTGATATTCACTATGAAAAAGGGATTGTATTTATTATTATTTTTCTCTTTTCTGTATCACTTTCAACCATACAATTTATACTAGAATTTCACAATGTCTTGTAGCATTATCTAAGCAGTATTGAAATTGCAAGTCCTATTTTTATACTCCATATAAATTATAGAATGTCCTATTTAGAAATTTCTCAAATATCATTTCCGTTTTAAGATAAGGTCTTTGTTGGGCCTTTCACGGTCTCCAAGAGTATATTTTGACCATTAATTTTTTTATAACTGATAAATAAGTTTTATAAAAATATAATATTGTAAACTTGTTTAAAAGGATGAGCCCCATCCCCGAGGGCCCTCTTAGACCCGGCTACAAATTTGACTTTAATCGCAGAGGGTGCTAGGGGAACCTCACTTAAGGTACACCAAGTATACACTAAGACAAAAACAGACACATTGACACTCAATGCTTGTTGAGACACATATATTTAGTGTACGCCAAGTGGGGTTCCCAAAGAATTTTTCTAAATCAAATATACTAAATTTATATATACTCCTTTTGTTCCAAAATAATATTCTATATATATTCGAACAACTTGTAAAATTCGTGAATTTTAGAAAAAATATTATTTACAAAAAGATATATTAATAAAAAAAATAAAATTTACATCTTTAAAAACTACAGTAAAATCTACACAAAACAAGAGGTGGGAAGAATAATTTATTTATCAAATTATAGGATATTTTTGAGATGGAGAAAACAATTGATAATCAAATGTACTAATATGGGACAAAGAGTTTCAACTTTCCATTATTTTAAAAGTTGACTAACAATTAGTACACACGACTCCTCTTAATGAGGTGAGTTTTTGGCACAACTTTTGACAATTATTACCTCTTATATGTTGCCCTTAAGACACCAAATAGATTTTGCCATGGATTATAATGCCTTTTTTCCTGTTTCTGTCAAACATGTTCTATATTGAACATCTTGGTTCGTTGAAAAAATCTTCTTTGTAAGCCTCTATTTGAAATTTCACTTCGTAGCATCTTCTGGAAGTTTTTGTTCTAATTATTTCGTATTTTTATTTGTAGAACAAGCTAAAAGTGTATCTCGCTCCATTTTTATATGGCATGCGCTACACCTCATTTGGTCGCCACTTCACTCAGGTGGACAAGCTAAAGGAGGTATTGCATGTTTTGTTTGGTTGATACATTGTTCACTTCATTACCAACTATTAACCCCCCTAGCAAGGTGGGAAGGGTAGGAAGCATATACCGAATCAGAAGAGATTAGAGGCTAGGAACTGGGGGTTTTTCACCTTTGCGGTTCCGGGGATGCATTCATGTATTTAAGAAATCAAGTTGATATGGATATCACTAATCAGATACTAAGCTTATGTATTAAGGCATCAGATATTACATTTTTTTGGCTTTTATCTTAATTTTTATTAGTTATTTATTATAGTTACATGTTGGCTAAATTCATTAAATATTACTCCCTATGATGCAATATTATTAGTTTTGCAATAGAATTATGACCATTCTTTTCTGTGGCTATGTATATTAAGTAGGCAATTAGATGGACACATCTTTCCTTTAAACTGAGGGGGGTGATTTTTGGTGTGTGGTCATTATTTTGAGGTTCTTAGAGCCGATAAAAGATGAGTATCCTTTTACACCTAACCACCTTGGTGTTTATAGAGGATATCAAATTGTGTTAAAGATGATGAATCAGTCATTTTAAACAATTTTTACTCCAAGGCTGGGGTAACTTAGATTTCTGTAGGTTTTACAGGAGATGATCCAACTCCAGTTGCAGGATTGATTTAATATTTATTTCATGCTTTTTGCAATCATATTTAATTTCACCATGTAGACCTGTTATAGGGCATCACACAGAAAAACGGCCTCTTATTTGCGAAGTAAAGAAAATAGTTCAACCTTTACTTACCCCTTTTGCTAACCATTCGATTGCATATTATTTGTGCAGATTGTGAATATGCTTCAGTGGTATGTTCAAGAAGGTGACACTGTAAGCATCTATAGTGGCCCACATTGATATATTACACAAATTTTCATAAGTCTCTCCTAGCCACTTCACAAAATAAAAACATGCATACATGCCATGAATGCCATGTAAATCTGCGATGCTGTATACCAAGTTAGTCAAATCTTGATTTTTAAGTTTCTTGTTTGAACAGATTGTGGATTTCTGCTGTGGTTCCAATGATTTTAGTTGCCTTATGAAAAAGAAGGTCGATGAGATTGGGAAGAAATGTTCTTTTAAAAATTTTGACATTTTGCAACCAAAGGTGAATTGTACTACTTTACATGCTTTTTAAATGGCAATTTCTTTCGATTTGGTGGTGATATTTGATGGCTGAGGTGTATGTGAGAACTTATTGCATGTATTTATGAATTCATCTCCTTTCCGTGTAGAATGATTTTTGTTTTGAGAAGAGAGACTGGATGACTGTCCAGCCGAAGGAATTACCCCCCGGGTCAAAGTTGGTGAGAATCCTTGCTTCTTGAAATATTTTTCAAAATCTAACATCAAGCCCTGCAGTTGCTCACATTTTTTCATCTTTTTTTGGGGGGTCGTGTGCAGATTATGGGGTTAAATCCTCCTTTTGGGGTGAATGCAGGGCTTGCCAATAAGTTTATTAACAAAGCCCTTGAGTTTAAGCCAAAGCTCCTCATCCTTATCGTCCCCCAGGAGACCCAACGGTACAAACCTTTTATTTTTAATCTGATATTCTTCAGTAGTTACATGTTACCGGTTGCGATATCTCCATTTCCCATGCATAGATACATGCATACAATTTGGTTTGTAATGTGGTCTGCTTGTCCATGGCTCACAGACTTGATGCTAAAAAGAATGCTTACGATCTCATTTGGGAGAATGAGGAGCTACTAAGTGGAAAGGTGATGGATTATTTTGTTAAATTTTATACTGTATCCCGCTTCTCGGGGAGGTTTCGTTGACACTGGCATCCAATGTCAACGGATGACACTTGCCCATTTGACCCCAAAGTCAACTAAACATGCAGGGTGTACTTGACGGGGTGGAGGGATGGGTTCTGGTCGGGATTGGGTGTGGGAGGTCATAGGTGTCCAGTGTCATCCGTTGACAGTAATTTGCACTGTCAACATAACCGCCCACTTAAATGATGTAGGTAGATATTGAAATGGTAGGGATGTGAAGTAAAAATACCAACCAATCCCCATACTACTGTGATTTCTGCAGGCTTTTTATTTGCCGGGATCAGTTGACGTGAATGACAAAACATTGGATGATTGGAACGTATCGGCACCTCCCCTTTATCTTTGGAGTCGTCGAGATTGGACCTCCAAACACAGAGAAATTGCTGAACAGCATGGGCACCTGCTGCCGACTACAAAGGAGGACAGAAACCAGTCTCAGAAGACCACCGCCGCCGCCCCTGTCCCTAAAAAGGAGGACCAAAATCAATCTGAGAAGACCACCACCACCACCACCGTCCCTGTCCCCAAAAAGGACCAAAATCAGTCTGAGAAGACCGCCGCCGCCGCCGCCACCACTACCGTCCCTTCCACCACCCCCACCGCGGATGATGATTCCAAGCCACCCTCGAGAGAGGTAGTGGTAGAAACTGAGAAGGCCGAGTCTACCCCACCCGCACCAGCAACAGCAACTGTTGAAAAAGTCAAGAATGGTCCTAAACCTGGAAGTGGGAAGAAGCAACCTGACAACTTTAGGGGGAAGGGTGGTGCGCTTCGAAACTTCAAGAAGCAACAGGGCAGGAGGGACTCTTTCGTCAATCCACCGCCACCCGCAGGTGCGAAAGCCGCTTTGCCAGCATCCCCCAACCCATCACCCACCACCGTCTCCCCTGGCGGTAAGCGGCAGCCACCACGTGGAGGCATTAATAATAATAAAAATAACAACAATAATAATACTAATTTACGTGGGCCCACTGGAAAAGCCGCCATGCCACATCGTCCTTCGCCCAATTTCTCCGCCAGGAAAAGAGCAATGCAGTGGCGGCGAGAAGGAAACAATAATAACAACAAAGCCGGGGACATGCCAAATCATCCCTCAGCCAACGTCTCCACCAGGAAGAGATCAATGCACTGGCGCCGCGAAGAAGAAAACAACAACAACAGTAACAGTCCTCGCCCTAGTTCCTCGCCAGGCTTAGCCCATATGCCTCCACCCAAGCGCCACGACAGAATGCCGCCGTCCGTGGAGTTCGACGTGGTGAACAAATACTTGGGAGACAGATGGGATAGCCCTCCGAGGGGCCCACCGGAGTACGCCCCACCGCCTCATCATCATGCTCCGCCAGCTCATATGTACGGCCACCACGATCACCTCGGCCGGTATGGCGGCGGTGGGCCCGGCTTTGCGGACCAAGCCCATGGCTTTTATAATGGGCCGCCGCCGCAAGGTCGCATGGGGTGGGGCCAACCGGAGCGGCACGATGTGAGCCAGTCGAGGGTGAGGACGATGGATGGGTTTGACACTCCCCAGGGCCCTCCTCCTCCTCCGACTAGTAATAGTTTTAATTCGCTTAGCTTCGCGCAAGGCCCTTACCGCCCCGCTCCACATAACGACTCTGGCTGGCTATATGAGTAGATGTCTTAGTTCTCTGGAGGATTAGTGTTTTTTTCACTTTGCTTGTCATAATAAAACTGTTGTAGTAGTAGTAATAATAATGATTAGTGTTTCTGTATCTTTTTTTTTTCTCTGTAATGTTTTTTTTATTATTCTTTTGGGTAAAAAAGATGCTAACATGTTCAAAACAGGGCACTCCCTTCGCCCAAAAGTTATACAACTCTTTTGGTTTCAAAATAAAATGTCGGTGGGCGTTGCACGGTTAGCAAAGGCAATGAATAACAAACGATAAATTTGAGTTTGATTCTTAGCGACTGCATTGGGAGGCAATTATGCTAATTGCATAACTTCTGCAAATACTAGATATAAACTAATTTTTTTTCCTCAATCTGTGATTAATGTCAAATTACCATATAAGAGATCCCTCAAAAATGAGTCTCATTTTATTTAACAGAAGGTTCAAACAAATTTTCTCTTGTTTAAATACTTTCACGCATCAATATCATTGAATTATGCAATAAAAATAAATACTTTCTCTATTCTACAATAATTGTCTACTAAAAATTACTCCTTCCGTCCCATTTTATATTGCCTGTTTTAGTTTACGATGTTTGATTGAAATTATTTTCAAATCATTTTATATGAAAAATGGTATAGTTAAAAAATTACATAATAAAATATTACATCAAAAGATCTATAGTACTTTATTTTATCAAATTGCTAACGGAAATAGAGAAAGAAAGTGAATGAAGTTTGACCCTGTAAATAGTGAACACGCATTATAATTTGGGACAGAAGGAGTATTAGGTACGGGGTATATTATATTTTAAATGAGTGTAGGTTTTAATTATGTCCCTATTTGTTCAAAAATATAGAATATGTGTAATAAACTTTATCACTATGTTTGATTCAAAGAATTTCAAAAGGAAAAAGAAAGAAATTAGAGTAGAAATCAATTTTTCCAATCTGATTAGAGAGGGAAAACTCAGTAAAGTAAAAGAAAAAATAAAACGAGAAAGAAAAATATACTAAAAGAAACGAAAACCAAATTCCTCTTATTCTTTAAAGAGAATTCTTTTCTTTTCTTTCAAAATTCTTTAACCAAACACATTGTAAAAAGGGAGATTTTTAAACAAAACAAACAGGAGGTTCAATCTCCGAAACCAACCCGGCGTTTGCTGCAGGTCTCTAACTCTGTTGGGTTGCCGGAAAACAAGGTTCGATTTCCCCCAGAGATTTTTCAACATTTAATTTATCTATAGATTAATTAATCGTAAACAGCTTAATTTCTAGCAGCGATCGATTCATGCGTTTCATAGTGTGATCTGATTGTTTGAATCTTCGTCTTTCTTCATTCTGTTTGGACGATCAGGTTCATCACGGGGAGTTATTGAACTCGCTTCTGGGATCTGTTGCAGAAAGCTGCTGGCTTGGGCCCTGGGGCCGCTGACATTGATCCGAGATGGGGATTATGGTGACGACGCTTGTTTTTGTCGCTCTTGGGGTGCTTGCATCTTTCTGTGCCACAATTTGCTTTAACAGGGGGCCTTCCACTAATCTGTACGGATCTGTTTTGGCTCGTTCTTTTTCTATATTGAGTATATGGTGCTGCTAATGTTCTGATATTTCACTTCTAAGCATTTTTTGTGATGATTTATAATGCTGTTAAGTTGTCAATGAAATGTAAATCTTGACGCGTTTTGTAAGAATTGTTGCAAATGAAAACTTTGGAGCGAAGAGAGAATTGGTTAGAAGGATTTAGATGAATTAGGCTGGGATTCTGGTGATTATTTCCATTACAAGATTTCCCTTTGTACAACATGGTGTACACCAAGAAACTTTTCACCTACAATACGTGTCTGTCTGAGCAATTTTCACCTGCTTGTCGGTGAAAGTGCCACCCCTATACGTGTTGTAGGTGAAGCGTCTTGGTGTACACCATGGTGTACATAAGGCATAGTTGTTTTAATTCACCTAAAAGCTTGTAGAGTTGTGCTAGATATTGTGTGGACTGTGGTTTCCTAAATTGCAAGTATGAGCTAGCATTCAATCTGTGTCACTGGCCTTTGTCTTCCTTTCATTAAAAAAAGGTACTTCCTACGATTAATATAACAGAGGCATCTCCAGTGTTATGGTTGCAGATAGTTAATGGTCTGGTCATTAGACCGGAATGCCACATGAAATTTACTTTGTATTTTACTTCTTATGAAGTTATGGCCTTTTGGGTAGTAAATGCAACAATGCATCAATGGTCGAAAAGAAGCAATCTCCATGTTTTCTTACATGATATTATAATGTGTTTTGTAGTTATCGATAAACTTCTGTTTCTGCTTTGTATAGAGCTGTTTTTTTTTAATAAAAATATGCTTTCTCATGCAGGTTACATGTGACATTGATCGCCACCGCAACAGTTTGCTGCTGGATGATGTAAGTTTCATCTTTAGCCTAGTAACAAACCAGGGCATATTTCACAAGCTATATTCTTAATGTCACGCTTGATTCTCTATAATTCAGGGAAATTCATCAAAGGATAATGGACAGTATATGCTTATTTGCCTTATTGCTGTCATTTTCTCAAATGCCTTTGGTTAGACCTCAGATGACAACTTCAGTATGAAATTGTCTTTCCATGGGGTGGGGGTGCTTGGTATACCTTGAATAATCTACTGTATTATTAACAGACCTTGTTCTAGTGCTTTGAACCAAATTTGTGCTAAGATGTGTTTGATCTAGATTCAAACAAATGATTTTTACTAGAGCAAGTACATACTACATAGTGCACTTTGTATTTCTATAATCTTTTCAATTAGTTGTGGACTCTATCCAGTTACTGTCTGGTGTCAGTGGAGCTAAAAGAATCATTTTTCACAATGTTTTAGCTTTGGATGAATAAATAATGGACATAATCAATATGGCAAATTAAACTTCCTTTGCTTCTTACTCCCAATGAAGTTTTGGGAAACAATCTCTTTGCTTTTATGAGGGTAATGCTGTGTATATCTTGACCCCCTAGGCCCCAACTTGAGCCTTGTTCTACTCAACTTTTAGTTCCAATTATTCAGAATCCTGTCCTGACTCCAGGCTCTAGTTACTAATCTTCAGATTTGAGTTACGGAACTCCAAAGTTCAGTTCAATTTAAAACTGCATTCAGACTCCTGATTCTAGCAACCAGACTCCACAGTCATTAGACTCCTAACTCTAGTTCAAGTTAAGGCATATAGAACATGCATGAAATTGAGATTATACTCAAATTTGTTGTTGTTTGTGGTGGACATTCCCCAAATCCTACCCTACTCCTGAGTGGGATTTACTTGATATGTTTAGTTTGGTAAGTTTGTTGTGGACATTTGTTAATTTGTATGAGTATTTTGTAAGGGTGTTTATGGCAGCTTATTTCTTTCTCCACAATATTCGTCTCCTTTTCCTATTTTCAATAGAGCTAAACTAGTCATTGGACAGTATTTTAGCTTTGTTATTTTATAATGGACTAAATCAGATTACACATTGAACTTTCTTTCCACTGCTCCTTGCTTTCTATTGTCTAGAAAAATGTGCTAGTCTTTGCAACAATTAGTTATTCATGTTTTTTCCTTTACCAACCCCTCAAAAACAAAGCAAAATGAAAAAAAAAATGAAGTGTAGTGAGAAAGTAACCTAATTTGTGTCTTTGGACAGGTGGGGAATTGTTTATCTTGCTCAGATGAAGCCACTCATTGTTCCCATCCTAAGTGAAGGGGATTGAAGAACTATGCACAAAAGCCTAGGCATTCCTTCTCTAAGGCCACTTTTTTTTTTTTTGTATTGTTGATGGGGAAGAGATGGAAAGATTGCAGACAAAATATGTTGGGGCCTTGTTGAGGGACTGCATCAGAAGAACTTGTAATAATAATAATAATTTCACATGTGTGGACACAACATTTGCTTCATTTCTATATGGTTTGTTTTGTTATCAGTTCTTCTTGAGAGAAACAGTAGTGGCGAAGTGTTGATGATATAAAGTCTTCCATTGAATATGAGTTCCTCCTTCTTCCCTTATACAATTGGTTTTGGGATTGAATCTCACAATAATATACTACTTCTATCTCAAAAAAAATTCACATTTTGACTTTTTTGGTCAACGTTCGAAATATTATTTTTTACCAATTTATTTCCAATCACTTATTTTCTTTCTCTTTTCCTTCAATACTTCCCGCTCAATGGAGAAATCATAGAAAATTATTTTTCTCGCCAATTTTTCTACTGACCATACAAAATTACAATTTTGAATTTCATTGGTTTTTTTTCTTTTCGGGGTAATCACTAGAAGTAAACACAATGCAACAAGCAAAATAATTTTTTCAAAAATTAAAATGTTCACATTGATTTCTTAAAATTCAAAAGATTTATATGAATATTTACACAAATTTTCATTTTCTTACGGAGTAAAAAGCAAATGAATCCTTTGTCAATGCTTTAAATGAAAAATGACTATGAATCTTAGGCATATTTACAAATTTTTCTGTCATAAAATAAAATGTCATACAGTTTCATTCTTTTAAGACAAACAATTATTGTTACTACTATTTTTATTGAACATCTACGGTATTGAGCTGCTGAACTTTCCAATATACCAGAGGAAAATATTAAAAAAAACGAAGAAGACGAAGGGAAAAAATGGCTACCCGGCCAGGAGTAGGTAATGCAGCAGAGCTATCATCGTCTTTGTGGAGTCCTCTAGGGTTTCCTCAGAAGAACACTCCATCTCCATTCATCTCCGGACAACGCATTTTGCCTGGCCCGCGAGGAAGGAGCTTCTCTGTACGACACCGTTTGTGCGCTCGCAGTTCCTATCATCCCCCCTCCGCCTCCGCCTCCGCCAAGATTAAGGTCCTCGGTGTGGGCGGCGGCGGCAACAATGCCGTTAATCGCATGATCAATAGCGGCTTGCAGGTTAGGTCATTATCTCTTCTTCCCCAAATTTTCAGTTGGAATGCTATATGGTAATAAATGATTTGAGCAAATGAGTTTTAATTACTCATAGTTAATGTTACCGTCCTTGATTTTTAAACAAATGTTTAGGTGTTATGAAGAGAGACGAATTCCATCATGTGAAACCTTTATTGTGGTCTTAAAAAATAAATTCTAAAATGGTACTATCAGCCAATAGGTTGTCTTTCCACATCCATCATAGATAATGTAAATGTATAGAAGTGAAGAATGCATTAAGAGACTTTACTCATTTAGTATACGTGATGGGACTTTCGAAAACAACGTCTAAGTGCCGAAAGTTCTTTTAATGAAGGGTCATACTGGGTTTCAATTTGCAGGGTGTTGATTTTTATGCCATTAACACTGATGCTCAAGCGCTACTGCTTTCAGCTGCAGAGAACCCAATTCAAATTGGAGAGCTTCTGACTCGTGGTTTAGGTAAGCATTCTCTCTTTCCCGAAATCTATCTGTGTAGAGTTTTCTATTTATGGGATTTTCTCATTAAGAATCTAAATAGAATGATATTGGATCTTCTAGCCTCAATATCCATCTGCATTTGAATACTTGGACACATAGACTAGTTTATTTATTTGACTGGAAGTTCTTGCCTTCTTGTTTTCTCATGGGAGAAGTGTTTAACGTTCATGTCTTTGTATAGTTTTATTTTCTTATGAAACATACTAAGGGACTAGACACTTGACACGACACAACGAGGAAATGAAGGAGTCAATTTTGAGATAAATTAGGATTCATTATTATTCGTAGGAGGATTAGTAAATTTCTAAATAGTGTAACTAGAAAAAGACTATTTAGAAGCTATTTAGTGATCTAGTCTAATAGTTATTCTTGGTTATTGAACTTGTCTAGGACTAAAGTTGTTGTATTTAATTTGCACCAAGTATACTCTCATATATTGGGGTATTTTTTCTTGGTGATGGGCAGGCACAGGTAGTAATCCTCTTTTGGGGGAACAAGCAGCAGAGGAATCAAAGGAAACCATTGCAAATGCACTGAAGAGTTCAGACATGGTGTTTGTAACAGCAGGAATGGGTGGGGGTACAGGCTCCGGCGCTGCTCCAGTTGTTGCACAAATATCAAAAGAAGCTGGTTATCTTACTGTCGGGGTGGTTACCTATCCTTTCAGCTTTGAAGGTCGCAACAGAGCATTACAGGCAGGTGCCTTTGTTTTTACTTCTGACTTCTCTCTCAATTAATTGAAAAAATAAATTCCAATTTAGTTTGGGATGTAAAATCTTCTAAACCGTGGATACTTGAGTTCATTTGGAAAACATGAAATGCTAGCGGAAAGAAAATAGAGGGAAAAACTGAAGGAAGAATTTTTTGGGAGGAGTGGAAATATATTTGGGATGTGCATTCTTCTTCAGCTTCTTGTTTATCCTCCCAAACCATGGATACTCGGGCTATGCTTGGAAAACAGAAAATACAAGGGGGAATCAGGGAAGAAAATTGAGAGGATAATTGGAAAGGAAAGAAAATTGGAGGAACTTAAAAGATGGGCCCAAACCCAGTCAATTTATTTTAGATATTTGTTCAATCACCTCCAGACCCTACTCTCGTGGGATCCTACCGGGTTGTTGTTGTTCAATCACCACTCATTAGCATAGGCAGATCTACTAAGGGTGATCCAATCATTAAATTATCTAGATCCCTACCATATTACAATTTTTTCTAAAATAAATACACCAAGAAAATATGATGATGATGATAATAATCATAATGATAATAATAATAATAAGCCTCTACTGCCTCAGCATCCTTCTTTGAAGAATCGATGCAAAATTATTTCTGCCGACTTCATATCCACATTCTCTTTCTCCTTATTCGCTTTAGGCCTTAGAGCAGACTTGGCACTCCTCGTTGATTTTGATTCATAAAAAAAAATGTGTAGAATAGGTGGGTGAAATTGTTGTTAAGAACATCAACATATTTCCTAACATACTTTGGCAGAGATAGTCTTTAGGTAGTCCTACTACAACCGCTCCGGCATTGTTCTGCTTAAGCTGCAAACAGATGAAAAAATCGGCCCTAATTTTTACATTTGTTTGCAGATTTAGCAGAACAACACAGGAGCGGTTGTACTAAAACTACCTAAGGGCAGCAAGCAGATGTCAAAGCATGTTAAGAGATATGTTGTTGCTCTTAACAAGAAGAACAATTTCTTCCACCTATTCTACACTTTTGTCGATGAATGAAAATCAAGTGAGTGCTAAGTCTGCTGTTGGGCCTAAGGGGAACAAAGAGAAGGAGAACGTCGATATGAAGTCGGCAGAAGTAATTTTGCATCTCTTCTTCAGAGGAGGACGCTCAAGGGGTAGAGGCTTATTGTTGTTGTTGTTTTTAATATTATTATTATCATTGGAAAAAAAAGTAATATGGTAGGGGTCTAGAAAATTTAATAATTGGATCACCATTTTTTTAAATAATTACATTTCTTTTTCCAAGGTCAATCGAATGTAAGCAAAAAAGAAACTTAAAAAAAACGTTTCCCCTTCCCCTTGCATTTTCTGAGATCCAACATTCCCTTTAATGCAGACACACGCATGAAGAAACATTTCATCTGGCATGAAATTTATATTCTTGTTTGTCTTGTGGTCTAACTATTCAGGCTATGGAAGCTATCGAGAGGCTTAAAAGAAACGTTGATACTCTTATAGTGATCCCTAATGATCGTTTGTTGGACATTGCCGATGAGCAGACTTCCCTTCAGGATGCTTTTTGTCTTGCCGACGATGTACTACGCCAAGGTGTCCAAGGAATTTCTGATTTAATCACAGTGGGTCTCACACTTAATAGCATCATATGTGGCTTATAGCTTGCTTCATTGAGTACTCTGGAGTAATTATTTTTGCGTTCTTTTTGTTGCAGATACCCGGGCTTGTAAATGTTGATTTTGCAGATGTGAAGGCAGTAATGAAAGATTCAGGAACAGCGATGCTTGGAGTGGGAGTCTCGTCTAGCAAGAACCGTGCTGAAGAGGCTGCAGAACAGGCAACTCATTCTCCTTTGATTGGGTCCTCTATCCAATCTGCCACTGGAGTAGTTTATAACATCACCGGAGGAAAAGATATTACGTTGCAAGAAGTGAATAGGGTCTCTCAGGTATGTGTATCATGTTGTGGGTATTCTCCTGTGTGTGTTCTTTGTTAGTCGGGTTTGGTTTTGAAGACCGAAACGACCAAACAGCACACTCATGTAGCCCTACAAATCTTTGGTGTCTGATCATTGGTTCATCAAAGATAAACAGCACATTCATCCCAGCCGTTGGACATGGAAATTCATGCATTCTTGTCACTTTCTTCTAACATTCGACTGAGTAGTTCTTCAAATAAAATTATGTCTAAAGTTCTATCATTTATGTTCCCAGGTTGTGACCAGTCTTGCTGATCCTTCTGCTAACATTATTTTTGGAGCTGTTGTGGATGAGCGCTACACAGGGAAAATCCACGTGACTATAATAGCCACGGGGTTCCCACAGTCATTCCAGAAGGCTCTTCTGTCCGATCCCCGGGGGGCTGCAAAGGACAGAGAGCTTAGCTTCTTCAACCACAGCCCCTTCTACTGTCAGGTGGCCTCCTCGCGGAAATCGCCTCTTTTGACCTCTTTTTTTCTTTCTGAAGATTTTTCTTCCCCTTTATACATTCTCTGCCCAAGGCATATTCATATGTCATCCATGTAATTGTAAGATATACATTATGATTATTATATTATTGTTATTATTATTATTATGGGGTATGATTCAGAGTGCTAATGAACCTGTCATCCCAAACTTCAAAATTGTCATAAGAATGAAAGTAATGCATATATATTGAGATAAACAAAAAAAAATTAAAAGTAAAAAGCTGGAAGAATATTGATTTGTAGGGCTATGTTTAAGGTGAGACGAATTACCAATGCTAAGCATGATGTTCTTCTATCTACTAATTATTCTTTCCTACTTACCAAACTATGATCACGGCTCAACCTATCTATCCTTAGACAATTATGAGAAATGGGGTTCATCCTTAGCTTAAGCATTTGTTTTGGACTAAGAGAGAAATTGAGAGGAAATATATTAGAGAGAAAATGAAAAGAAGAGTAATTGAATGACAATCATGCCATCTACTAAAGATCGATTCTTACTTATCAAATTATTATCGTAGTTCAAATTTTGTACCTTTAAAAAAATTCTAGGAAATGGGGCTCATTTTAAGTCTTTACTTTGAATGAAGAGAAAAATTAGAGGAAAAGAAATCAGAAGGAAGAAATTGGAGAGAAACGAAAAGAAAAAAATCTTGTTTGGATGAGTAGAAATTGAAGAGAAAATGAAGAGAGAAAAAAGTATAATATAATAAAAAGACACTTTTACCCTTACACTAAAATAGATTTTAAATGAAAATAGAAGTTAAGTGTCATTGGGATAGAAAAAGTGAAAGTGGAAGTTAAAATGTCATATTCTTATACTTCTTTTGTTTCAAAAATATTTTCTCTTTTATTTTTAATCTTTTTCATTAAAATAGTTCTAATTTCTATTAAAAACTCACATTTATCCATACTACGGTGTAATTTAGTATACTTATCACATCATACTTTTCACTAATAATCAACTAATCAAATTTTACATATATTCATCACATCAAAGTCAAAATTGCATGTGAATGCACTAACATGAATTGGTTTAAGCTTAATTATGTTATAAGACCGGTAGATATTTTGACTTTTTGTCAATTTAGGGCTCGTAGTTTTAAATACATGACACTAATATTATTCAATAAACAACAATCTTATATTTTTATAGAGTATAAACTTCAACATTTAGGCTTTCTAAACAAAGAATATTCCTTGTTTGAAAAGCCTTAATGTCGAAGTTTATAATATGTAAAGATACAAAATTTTTTATTTGATAGTGATTGTATTTAGTATTTTTTCAAGATTTCTACTCGACCAATAATGAATATTTTTTCACGATATCTCCTTTCAATGACCGTCCGACCGGGTCTGATGGGCCTCAACCCTTTTTTGTATCTTAAAAAAATGGATGTTTGTGAATGTTATCATAGATAGCGTGTCGAATTTGTGGTTTTGCATACTCCCTCCTTTCTTAAATATTTTCCACACTTGTATTCTCGAGGCAAAATATCAAGTTTTTCCAAATCATTTTATTTACATATTGGTATAGAAATAAAAAATAAAATTTACATATCAAAAAACTACATGAAAAGTTCTTCGAAATAAGAGGTGTCAAGAATATTTTATTTTATCAAATAACCATTGAAAATGTAGAAACAAACGAAAGTTCCCGCAACTGCTAAAAAAAGCAAATGTTTGCAATTATTTTTGGGATTCAGTATTTACCAATCATATCAATCGTATAAATCTTCCCAATCATCCACCGCCCAGAAAAAAACCTCCGAAAAATCGGATCTTTTACCATATTCTTGTTGAATCAGCTCTGTAATTAGCATCTCCATGGCTGCATCCTTTTCGATTCTTGCATCTCTACTTGTACTTCTTATTTCTCCTTCGAATTCTCAGCCAAATTCCAGCGGAGAATATATCTCCGTGGAAATATCCAATAAGGGTCTGGATTTTGCCAAGAATCTATTGGTTGAAACTGCGGAATCTTCTCTGGTTCCACTTGAGCTGCCTGAGATCAAGAAATCTGTGAGCATCCCAGTCGTGGGGAAAGTTGATATGCTTCTTTCTGATATTGTTATAGACAGGATTGATGTGAATTCGTCCACTGTCAGAACTGGGAATTCTTGCATTATTATGGCTGTTTCTGGTGCCACTGGTAATATGACTATGAAGTGGAAGTATTCCTATGACACTTGGTTGCTTCCTGTTACTGTCACTGATGAAGGAGATGCCTCTGTTCAGGTATGGGTCCCTGTAGTATAAATATTTTCTGGGCTTTCTGAGCTTTGGTTGAGTTGGTTCATTAATCCTTGCAAATTTGAGTTTAAGGTTAGGTTTGCTAGGATTTATTTCTGCTGGCTGAAATGAATGTAACCAAGCACTTTGAGTGTCTCGTTCCAAAAGGGGCCTAAATGAAGTGCTCTTTCTGCTCAGGAATAAAAAAAAGATTCATGTTTCACCAAAGGGACTAACTTTTCATATAATTTACAGAAGAAACATGATGCGAATAGGTTAAATTTTGATTAATCTAGTTAAACCCAAGAGTAAATTTGGACGATGGAATGAGCATTCGCCACTAACATTGAGGAAGGATTTGTATTTGCAAAGTGATGTGTATTTGTCCTTTCCTATTTACACTTTGAGTTCATAGTAAAATTTGGGAATATTATTTCCAAGTAGGGATAAGGCTTGCGTACCCTAATGTTTGTGAGATTTTACTGAGTTTGTTATTGTTGATTTTGCAAAGGTTGAAGGTATGGAAATCGCTCTTACTCTCAGTCTGCAAAATAAAAATGGATCTCTTTCACTCTCTCTTCTGGAATGTGGATGCTTTGTGGAAGATATTTCTGTGACCTTGGATGGTGGAGCTTCCTGGCTATATCAAGGGTATTATCATGCTCTTTATCTTCTTCAGATCTCTACTCCCTCCGTTCTTAAAAGCGTGTCTATAAAAAATGCATTTTGTTCATAAATAAGTCGTCATTTAGCAGCTCAATAATGTAAAACACATACCCTTTGCCCTTGAATTATGTTCTACCTTTGGTCCGGTACGGTTACTAAGAGATGTGATATTTTGTTGTTGAGAGTTATGCAGAAGAGGCAAATAATACGAACCACATAAATTTTAGTTAAGAATAAAAGTGGAACCTTATTAGTTATTACGAAGTATGAGATAACCAAGCAAGAAATGTGGAATCTTTTTCGGGTACGTTGAGAGAGTAGTACTATCAATCAGAGTTGATCTATTCTGCACTATAGAGACATGTTGAATTAAGTTATACCTAGTTCAACATGACTCTATATATTGAAGCAGGTTAATACTATTCCCAGCTTTCATAGTTTCATTTCCTCTCCCTCATGGTGGGCTTAGATGTGATGGTCAGTCCCTTTTCCTGCTAGGGTTCTAGATGCCTTTGAAGGTAAACTAATCTCTACCGTTGAAGATGCAATCACAAAGAAAATAGGAGATGGTGTTTTGAAGCTTGATTCGGTTCTGCGGTCTCTTCCCAAGGAACTTCAGGTCACCAAAATTGCTTCTATGAATGCCACTTTCGTTGGGGATCCGGTGATTAGCAATTCTTCTGTTGCACTTGCAATCAATGGTTTATTTGGTGATTCAGATAAAAGTATGTACCGTGGGCAGCAGTCACCTTCCATTGCCTGCAAGGATTCAAATGAAATGGTTACAATGTTCTTGCACGAAAATGTCATCAAGTCGGTGTTGTCTGTATATTTCAAGGTAGGGTTGTGAGTAATTCATAATCTACTTAAAGTTCATTCATGGGTTATTGCTTTGCTAATATTTAAAAAAATAATCTTTCAAGAATACATGCATGAAGACCACTACTTGATCTATAATCTTACCAAGCGATAGAGTTATTACCTGATTTAGTTCATTGACTGAATATTGCTTAGTTTGCTTCGTTCATATTTTTCCCTAATCAAGAAGCATATTTATGCACGCCGGGGGGGACTCAAGTCCTAAAATGTTGTTTCATCAGGCCGATAAGATGCAGTGGGTTGTGGATCAAGTACCTGACCAGTCCCTACTAAACACTGCTGAGTGGAGGTTCGTTGTCCCCAAGCTGTACAAACAATACCCTAATGATGACATGAGCCTGAATATTACCGTAACCTCAACGCCGAGTGTCAAGATTGAAGAACGGAAGATGTACGCGACTATTCCTGCTGATCTCATCATAAATGTCAAACATCAGGGCGAAGTCGTACCTGTTGCGTGCATTTCAGTGGTAAGCCTTTTTTTCCCTTCATTTGTTTTATTCGAAAACCTTCAAAATATTCTACTTTGTTTGTGCTATTATGTGGCTACTTCAATATTTTGCTCAATCAAAGTGTTCTTATTATGGGTTGTGGTCATGCATGGGGTTGATGGGTTGCTTACAGGAAATCAATGGATGGGTTTTTGCCGCGGTGTCAAATGGCAGTGTGGCAGGCAGTGTCAAGTTAGATAACATTGCCATGGCTTTGAAATGGAGCAACATTGGCAATCTCCACTTGTTTCTTGTTCAGGTACGCACGTTGCCTCATCCACCCATAGTCCTCAGCTTGATGAAAGACAAACATAACCTTTTGTGGCGATGCCTAGTCGGATACTTCCTCCGTCCTTAACCTAAAAGGAGTTTTTTTTTTGCTTTTTCACGGAGTTAAAGAAAAATGAAGTTGTATGTTGGAAGTTTATGCAGAGCAGCGAGAAATAATGCAAACCACTCATTCCTTTTCCTAAATGGAATGAGAACTTCTTTTGGGACAACCGAAAAGTAAAAAATAGAAAGCTCTTTTAGGGATAGAGGAAACATTACTACTTGAAACAAGAAACGGTATCCATTGTTGATCTCTATGCTTTTTCTTCGCATGAATCCATTCTTCAGAGAGTAGCATCCACACTGCTGAAGACTGTGGTGCTACCACTAGTGAACCTGCGGCTGGAGATGGGATATCATCTGCCATTTTTCCATGGCTATGAGCTCCGGGGCGCTCAAATCTTCTTCTCCGATTCCTGGATCACAATATGCAGCGATGTGGCCCCCATCAAAAACATTAACCTCCCCACCGGCTGGGCATTTTTTACTGCAGCAGCAGCAGCAGCACAAGGACACATTGTGATGTAGAAATTCACGGTGCATTCAACCGTGAAACTGTAAAGTAAAATTGCTCTATTAGGTTTGGTGTGTGTCTTCTTCTTTGGGTAAATTTTCTTCACTTGTAGCAGCAGCATCATCATCATATGGGTAAATTTTGTTCATTTTCGTCAAGTTTTTTTTTTGTATATGTGCTCCACGCATCTTATTCTGTGTAATTTGGGTTCAGAAGCAGTATAAAATTTAGAGTTTGTAGTACTATAATGTAAATACATGTACAAATTATTTGAACTTATATATGTAAATTATTCATCTATTCTTCTTGGCCATCATCTTTATTGGCATTCTTCTAATGTTAAATTATGCTTGTGTTGGTTGTTGGAGTAGATAGTTGTGTTGGCTCTTTTTGTCTAAAATGTATCCTAAAATGAATTGTTTTTTTCTCGGTTGTTTAGAGTATTTTTAATGCATCAACATGTACATCAAAAATGTTCTTTTTGAAAAAAAAAAATTGAAGCTTTTCAAATTTAAAACTTTCTCCATTCATAATGTTTTTGAATGTTATTGGCTCTATTACAAAGTAGTATTTGTTCATATTATTCTTAGCCTAGTGACACACAAAGAACCAATGTTTTTAGGGGTGAATTTTCTCATGAATTCTAAAGAGTGGTTTTACTACTACTCATGCAAGGGGAGAAATTCCTCCTTTCACAATGTTTAATGTTTTTTTTTGGTCTGGTAATAAATTTCATAATTTTACTTCGTAAATGTTGAAAAGATTATTGAAAAATAAAAGATGGTGAGCTAGAATTCTTCAAGAAATATGAATTCCGTATAGAATTTAGGGAGTATTAAAAACTACCATGGCGGTGAGATAACGATCTTTCTGCCATGGCGATGGTAGTTACTACCCCTCTCGATCTCGGCAGATTGCAGCCGCTTCATTTCAACCTCCGCACATCTCCTCCCCGCCTTCAAAACCTCCGTCCCCAATTCCGTCAGAGCGGCGGTCGCAGGTTTCGTTGCCGGATATTTTGCCAGACGAACCCTAATCGTAATCCGGCGGAGTGCTGTCAAACATCTGAATCTGCAGAAAAGGTTTGCGATCTTTCGTCCCCTCTCTTTCTGTTTGCTAGTTATTGCGTTTATTGTGATTCAGATCGCTTCTTTATGCGCGTTAGAAGGATTTTTGTGATTTATTCACTGTGTGAAACTGAGTTGTAAGTAGATTGAGCACACCTGATTTCGTTTGAATCTACCTTTTTTTTACTCATTTGTTGCAAGTATAAATTCATTAGTGATAATATATGGTTAGTAATATGTTAAAGTATCTCACGTTGGAAAAACAAAGAATGGTTTAGCCCAAGTGTCTTATGAACCTTTTGAATGAATTCTACCCAATCCTAAACTCCATGAGAAGTTTATCTTGGAAGATTTAAAAGCAATAGTTCATAAGATCTTGAGTTCGACTTGCTAATTCATTGAATTTAATCTTTTACACTATGTTTGTGGTTCAAGGAATTTGAGAGGGAAAGGAAAAGAAAATGAGAAGGAAAACATTTTTCTTGTTTGGTTAGAGAGGAAAAGGAAAGGAAATTGGAAGAAAAATAAAATTTTGCCATGCAAAATTTACTAAAGAGGAGTGAAAACTAAATTCCTCCCATTTTGGTGAGGAAAATTAGGTAAAATTATTTTTGTTTCTTTTCCAAATTCCTTGAACCGAACATAGTGTTAAACTATTTGTGTGAGCACAAAGGTGAATTTTTGACTTGCCCTTTTTTGCGAGTTGTTAGACAATTAGACAAGGGTGATTCGCTTTTCTCACAATTTTGTTATTGAAATGATACATAATGTCTCTTATGGGCATGAAATGTTTTCATTTTTAACTCTTTGATGGGTGTGCAAAAGGAACAAGAAGAGCTTTGTACGGAGCCTGGTTCCTCTAGCAATGGTGTTGCCAGCAGTGAAGTTCCAGGTTCCTCCAAAGACACTGGTGGGCTTCTTGAATATCCTGACAGAAATTTCAATAGGAGGGTAGCACTGATATCTGGATTTGGAGCAGTGGCACTTTTTCTGTCACGGCGACTCGATTTAGGCGTCTCTTTAAAAGATCTATCTGCTGCTGCTATGCCTTTTGAGCAGGTTTGTCATCTGTTGTGTATGAATAGAGCAGATTGTGTTTCAAAGTTTTCACCATTTACACGATGTTCGGTTCGGGGAATTAGGAAGGAGATGAAAATGCTAAGGAAAGGAAAAGGAAGCGAAAAAACCAAAATAAAAATCACTCCTTTGATTGGTTGATAGATGAAACAGGGGAAGTAATGGTTTGGGGGTGGGGGGGGGGCAATGTTGGGACGAGGAAGAAGAGTTTGTTGTATTTCTCCTTTTCCTCAAAAAAAGAAATACAAGGAAAGTCATATTTCCATATTTACTTTACATTTTTTCCACCTTTTCTTTTACTCCCAATTTTCTTTTCTTTTCCTTTCTAACCAAACAGCAAATTTGTTTTTCCTTACTAATTTCTTTTTTGTTCCAGTTTTCCCCACTGTATTCCTTGAACCAAACAGAGTGTTAGGGTATGTTGTGATCACGGAAAATGTCGTGGAAATGGGGGAGAAAGTGAATGGAAGTTATTTTTTATGTTTGGCTTTACCTTTGAAAATGTAACATGAGATGAAACAAGATTTTTTTTGGACTGCCTTGCATATACATATTTAGATTTCTTAGTCTTTTTATAATGTACTACTTTTGTGTTAGCAAAGGCCCTTTCAAATGGGAAGCCTACTGTGGTTGAGTTCTACGCAGATTGGTGTGAAGTTTGTAAGGAATTAGCTCGAGACGTGTACACGGCTGAACAGCAATACAAGTAATTTTTATTTCAACCTTTCAACAGAAGAGCCTACCAACTTCAACCCAGCTTTATACTCCGTATTTATTAAATCTTTTAGAAAGTTCATTTTTATAAATAATGTGCTACTGCTTCAAGTTTCATTTTTTAAATTCAATGTCTGTTTAAACCCCATCCCTAGGGTACCCCTAGGATGGTTCGGACAAAAAATGACTAATTGGGCTATTTATTGCATTACACTCCTTAAATAAACAGGGACAAAGTGAATTTTGTAATGCTGAATGTGGACAACACAAAGTGGGAACAAGAGCTTGATGAGTTTGGGGTTGAAGGCATCCCTCATTTTGCATTCCTAGACAAGGACGGGAACGAGCAGGGTAATGTTGTCGGTCGCCTTCCAATGCGGTACTTACTCGAGAATGTGGAATCCCTAGCCCGGGGAGAAACGTCCGTACCCCACACGAATATGGTGGGCCCATACTCGAGTGCGGGATCCCGCGTGGTCCATCAAGTGGTCAGTCCTAGAAGTCATCATTCATAGTTTAGTTGACAAAGCATTTGTGTAAGTAGTTTTTTTTTCTTTCAGAATACAATTGTTTGGTTAGTTATAGTAACTTTTTGCATCATTTCATACTCCCTCCGTCCCCTAGTTTTTGTCCACTTTTGACTTTTGGTACTGTTCATCTACGCACTCTGACTCATCAAATTCTCTCAATGTGTAAGTCTAAATATAGTCATGTGTGATCTTGTTTGATTTGTCTTAACATATAGATTATTAATATATAATTTTTATAATTTTTTAATATACAAATTACAAGATAAAATGAATTAAATAAGTGTATTGGATGGTGTGTAAAAATGAAAGTGGACAAATACTCTGGGACGGAGGTAGTACATGTTTTGAGTATATTATGTTCCCATCCCAAAAGACTTTACTCCGCTTGAATTTCAAAGAGTTTAAGAAAAATGTTAAAAAAATGAAAAATGTATTGTTGGAGTTGTTTAGATGAGAGAGTAATATTACGAGCCACATGTTCAGTACTTAAAGAAAAGAAATAAGGTGAGAAGTGTTTTTTGGAATATTCAACAAGAGGAATAATTACCTTTTGTTTGACGTTGAAAACAAAAGGCAAGGATACAATGTTAACGCTTTGGTCTTTTCAGTTGGAAAATTTAACTTTTAATTTTTTCCAACGATTACTTAAAAAACGTATTTACGTATGATGATTATACAATAACATTATATATCTAAATTTACAACATGATACCTCAAACATGGATAAAAATGAATTTTCTTTCATTTCTAAAATTACTCCCTCCGTCTGAAAATGTTCTTCTCATTTGACATTTTACGGTCTCCAAGTTGGCACTTTGACCACAAATATCTTTATTTATACATGGATATATTTTATAAAAAATTGATATTTGAAAACTATATTTCAAAATAAATATATTCATATTAAAGTTATATCGTAATACAATGTATTTTTTCCACATATCATAGTCAAAGTTTACAAACTTTGACCAAGAAAAGTCAAATGGGAAGAATATTTCCAGACGGAGGGAGTAGTTTTGTTATTTATTTGGATGATCATTTAGTTGAATGATTTTTTAATACATTATTTTTCCAATATTTTCCAACTATTTCCAGTTTCTTCAACTCTTTCCAGGTTTTTCCAACATCCAAATTTAGAATTTCAACCGAAAAGAACATAGCCAGCCTTAATAATGTTTTCTTATATCAAGGGCATAACACTCTCTTTTCAAGAAATTCTGAGGTAAAAGAAGATGCTAAGAAAATAAATGCCTCATTGATGCGGTTCTTATGACAATAAGTTTTGATGTCATATTATGACATCGGTGCTTCCATATTGCCCTCCTCCCTTGATTGTAGAAAATTATTGATAAAGGAAAGGGAGGGGCAGTATGGGTAGGAACTAGCACCGTAGGTGCCCGAAATGGGCCAGGACGGCGGTGCTTGATGTCAAAAGAACCTTACCGATGCCTCACATAGTCACATACAATAATTATTGTCTGCGTGATTGAGTAAAAGATTTAGTATCACCCCTTGGGTTAAATAGCATTTCCCAATCTTTCTTTTACAACAAATACTATCTGGTAATGACTTGAAAATGAATCAATCTTCCCCTACCATAATCAAGATCACTTCTTTGGTAGCACTCCGTAATATATACGGCAATGGCGAGTGATCAATCATTTTGGGTGGCGCTTTGGGAAATGCAACTTGACGAGGGCAGGAAGTTCGCACAGATCAACCTTCGACTTTCCCAACAGCACACTCTTCAGTTGTTTGTCGCAGTTGACGATGTTCTTGTTGTTTGGATCCTTCAGAAGACAAAAGATCATACGTACCATCAAATGACAACCAACCTCTCAAAGAGGCAGATTGGTCATATTTGAAAGGGGAAAAACAGGGCAATCAAGGTTGAAGATATCGGGTTTCGGTGCATATTTTGACATGGATATCGGGAAAAAACTACATTCTGTGAGTTTTGTTTTCTTTCTTTTGGCAGAAAAAAAATGATGAAACTATATGAAACCCAAAGATGGTGAGTTTACCTGGAGATTGTTGTCCTTGATGTAAGACCAAATGCGGATGAAACAACCTAGGCGGGAGGTTTGGGAGTGTCCCATGAAATCTCTCAGCGTCGAAGGGAGATTCACAATGTCAATCAAGTTCCCTAGTTTCTTTGGGTTCTCCGCAACGAAGCTCCTCATCATCTTTGGAGCCACCATTTTTCTTCTTTGTTTTCTTAAAAAATATCTGATCCCCTGCATTGATGAAGAAATCGTTAGTGAATAAATGTATCTTAGATTTTAAATTCAAATCTTTACTGCAAAAAAAAAGGCGAGGTCTTTGTTGGTTTCAGGCTGGTGCCGTCAGAGGCATTTTATCGAACACCTTGAGTGCACCTCGAATTCCAGTCAGTCTTCCAGACCCAGTTCAGAGAAGGGCCAGAGAATTGACGGCGGCGTTACGGTGGTCGGAACAAAGAAAGGGAAGAGACAAGAAGAAGCCGATTATAAGACCAGGAGATTCCGGAGAAGGGGAGATTTAGGAATTGCAGATACGAGGAATGATTGATTGCTGTGTACCTGAGATTGGCGTCTGCGGTAGTTTTTTTTGGGACCCTTAGCAATTGTCCCTCAAGTCGTTCGTTGGAAGACTAAAATAGGAGGGAAAAGAGCAAATATTCTCTATTTATCTACTTTTTATTTTTCAGAATAAAATTAGTAAATTTTGATCTCAAATTAAATAAAAGTAATATTGGATATTGATACAAAATAATTCTATTAGATTTATTTTATGAATGATTTTTCAAAAAATTATTTTATCTAATTAATATACAATATATATTTTATTTAATTATAAGTCGGAAGTTAAAATGATTGATTGTAAAAAGTGAAAGACAAATATTCATGGATGGAGATAGTAGCAAATAGGATTAGAACATAAAAAGTCAGGTTTGTATTCAAAAATAAGGCTTATAATGCGAATAATAATACCAACTTATATTACCAAAAAAAAATGCTAAAGAATGTTACTATACAATATCATACAATTACAATACAACAATTGTATTTTGATGCTAGAAATATATCACTCTTATTTTGGGCTATATTTTGCTCTTATTTGAGTGATTTTTTTTCTTTTTATCTTTTTGATACTCTGTATTTTTTAAAACTTTTTGAAAATCAATTATGAAACACATACTCTCATCCTAAATTATTTGGCCTAGTTACTGTTTGGGACTTTTTATAATAACATTCGTTCAGAGACGAATCTAGGGATCCAATTAGATGGGGGCACCATTGGTCGGGGATCCGAAGGCAACAACCAGATTTTTTTGAATAGGCAATATGAAATGGAAAATAATAATAAATACTCCCTCCGTCCCACTGTCTTTGTCCACTTACCTTTTGGCACACCATCCAATGCACTTCTTTAATCCATTTTATCTTGTAATTTGTATATTAAAAAATTATAGAAATTATATATTAATAATCTATATGTTAAGACGAATCAAACAAGATCACATATGACTATTTTTAGGCTTACACATTGAGAGAATTTGATAAGTCAAAGTGCTTAGATGAACAGTTCCAAAAGTCAAATGTGGACAAAGACAGTGGGACGGAGGTGATATTATTTCAAGGATTTATTGAATGTGAAACTTCTTTAATAGGCAATAAATACAATTTACTAAAAAATAAACAAAAAAATTAAAATTAGCCTAATTATATGAGGTCTCCTTAATTTTTGTTGAGAACACATACATAAAGTTAAATTTGTTCTTTTTTACCTTACATCACTGCATTTGTTTGCATAAATTAGCCCCCAACAAATTAGGCTCCATCCGTCACTGCATTTGTTTGCATAAAAATTTTCATTGATCATTTCATAAAATAAAATAGACATGTCACTACTTATTTTGTAAAGTTTTTGCTGTAATTATTAAATATGTAAGTCATTTTTTATTTTCATACCAATTTATAAATAAAATTAATTTAAGGAAGGGAGAGTAAGATTTTTATGGGAGGGTGGTAGTAATTGAATGTAATGTCATTTATTCCATCCCATTTTTTGTTGCATAATGTTTGTCGATTAGGTTTTCTGATGTGCTTATCATGTAATGTCAGGCTAAAACACCAAAAACACAAGTGATTCTTGGTAAAAAGAAAATTAATGAAAAATTAAAAGGGCCACCATAAACGTCTCTTCTCTTCCAACAATTTTTAAATGGCTGTGTACCTAATACAGAGTAACGACTGCCCAGTTAGATTGTCAAGAAATGTTATTACACAATACAACAAAGGTTAGGCTGACACCGTCACGCTCTCAGACCATAGACATTAAAGTGTGTGTCCGGGCGTGATTTGCAGTGTCAATCTTGATGTCATCCTTGGGGTGAAAGTGTCGCATTTTCTGTACAACAAAATATACACGCCATTTGAACCGCAGCCAGCGCGCCCCTTAAGATGTGTCTCTCTCCCTAGTCATAAGGATTCCTGAAAGACTTGAGGAGGTCTGGGATGTCGTAGCCAAGCATGTCGTCTACACATTGTATCAGTTTGGGCTTTATTTTCTCAAACTTATCGATGTTGTAACCGCTCAGGTTTTCCCTGAATTGTTCCACGCTTGGAAAATCTCCGGCTGGCAAACGGTGTTCCCTCTGTACCTGTTTAGATGATTCGTATGAAAACACATAATCATTGCAGAGCTTTCATACGCATCCTATCCATCACGGCGAGAGATAGGATTTTTTTGGGTTAGGGATGATAATGAGCCGGGTTCGGGTCAGGTTTTGTTATACCCAAACCGACTTAATATTCGGGTACGACTTTTTCCCCCGAACCAGGCCCAACTTTAAACCCGACCCACTTCATACATAAAGTTTAATTTTTACTCAATGGCGTCCATAGCATTTATACAAAAATAATATTTGATGCATGATTTGTAAGCAATCAAAGTTGTCAAAACTAATATTTCACATTTATTTTAATGACGGCTCGAACTGTGCGGGTCAGTTATGAGCAATATCCAATCCCGAAAATTTGGGTTTTGATTTTTGGGGTCGGATTTGAATATTTGAAGATCGAGTTGGGTTCGGGTTGGATTGTCATCCCTAGTGTCAGAAGTGGGGGGGACTTACCTTTGCAAATTCGTCTTCCAAGTTGTCAATAAGTCTTTGTTGGGTTTTGGCTTTGCCCATCATAGCAGGCATCTCCTTCTTTAAATGACTAATGATGTATGCATGAATTTTAGCAGCTCTTGCCCGTTTTACAAATTCATTAATCTGCAAAGCAAACAAGCATTTGAATAACTGTGTCTTTGGCTCAAGATTTTCACTGATGCAAATAAGAGAGAAAAAAAGAGAGGGAAAGAGAGAGAATTTAGAACTAACACGACGATCACAAGATTTCTTTGGTATGTCTCTCAAGTCGTTCAGAAGGTCATCCTGCTCCTTTTCAAAAAGTTCTCTGCCCATCGGACCATCAGCAGCAGATTCTTTTATTGGTCTATCATTGAATGACCTGTGAAACTCACCAACAAACTTTCTAAAACTCAAAGCCTTGGTTTCAAATTAAAGTGGAGTGAAGGCAGACTCATAACTGAGAGAATTATAGGCTCCAAGATGTTTTATTTCTATCCCAAAAGACCCAAATTAGCATCTTTTGCCTTCTTAGTTCTTACACACTTTATAATACTCCGGTACATAATATAGGAAGGACATGTGCTCAAAAATCGTGCCACGTTGAAAGGTCCCACACAGTGGGAGGTCAATAGAAAGGATAATATGGTACACTTTTCCCTTAGTTTTTAGAGATGGATTTAAACATTGGATCTCTAGGACTGTTGAAAAGTGTTGTACATTGACTAAATATAAAACAACAAACCAGCCTTGTAAAGGGGTCAAGGAGAGAGACTCTACTCTTCATCTCAGCTTTACAAGCTAAAGTACATGTATGCACAGTTGCGTTTGCATGCAGCCGTGCACACACACAATGTGTCCTCATTGATGGCGTACATTTTTATTTGAACATTTAAATAAAGCTTACTTCGATACAATATCAAAAGTAAGGAACATTTTGAGTTCAAATGCCACAGACAATACACAACCAAAAATCCTACTTGAAGGGATAAATTTAGGCCATTAAAACATTGAGTTCAAGCATGATGGGATGAATTTAACCACTGAGACAACAAAATGAGAAAATCGTAGATAGCATACCCAATATAAACACGCATAACTTCTGGAGTATTCAGAACTTTCCCCAAGGACCACATCAATGCACCATAGACCCTCATGAGCTACAATAGACAACATAGTGAAGTGAAATAACTAAACAAATAGAAGTAATGGAACATTAGTTGATCACAACTGAAACTTAAAAAGACTTCGTAGGCATTGGTTGTCTCACTTGTTGAGTATCTACTTGATCGGCCTTGTTCAGAACCACCCTTATCTTATCATCATGGCCTCGTAAAGATGAAATCACACGCTTGAATTCGTCACTAATATCGAGTTTGTGAGGATCAAACAATAGCAAGATGAGGTCACACTTGGCTGCAAACCAAGATGTTACCCCAGTAAAGTCGTAGCTCCTTTGGGTGCGTTGCTTTTCTCCAGATAAAACTCCAGGAGTGTCGACAAATGTTATTTGCTCTAACAGCTTTTGTGTTTTGACCATTCCAAATGACAACAGAAAAATCCAGAAGCAAACGAATAAAATCAGTTTATATGAAAATCTTTGGTGAAGTGAAAAGAAGATAGTAACTCACAGGATGAGGCATTTGAGAACACTCAAATTTTGACAAAAACGCAGTTCCAAAAGTTGTAAGGCCGCTGAATGGCATATCTGCTTGAACAGCAACGGTGTTGCCAGGAATACTCCTTTCATCAGGCCCATTCTGTAAAAAAAAAAACTTTAACACTGTTTTTACAAAAGAGATATCGACAGTATAGTGTTCTGAATGCCGAATATATGAGAGTTGTCAAATAACTGATAAATCTAATGGGGGTGTTAATTAGAGGATAAAAGTTCATTTCCTAGAGTATAAAAAAGCACCACACAAAGAAAAGAAGCAAATGTGGAAATTAAGTCCTCAAACTTTAGCTACTAACAACTCAAATTACTCGATACAAAAGTTCATTAGCACATGATGGAGAAGGCTTTTGGTGACACTCACGCCCACAACTACCTTGTGACTGATATAGCGCTCTAGCATCTTTCTGTTCAAGAAAACACTGAGCACCAATTTGATTTTCTATGAAATTTAGGGATTCAGTAATACTCTGCATTAGCAATCAAAAGATGTTCTTGCAACACACTCTCTTGTCTCATAAAAAGCTTACACATTTGATCAGGCGTGGTTATTAAGAATGTGAAAATTGTGTGGTTGAGATTTGAGTAGAGAATTGAAATAAAATGAAGCACACAATTATTTCCTTAAAAGGAAAAAAGAAAACATATTTTTAGAACAAAAAAGAAACTAGAAACCTTTTTGGGGCAAAGCAAGAATGATTTAGTGGAAATGCTATGTGGTCATGCATGAGCTAGCATTGTTACTTCATCATTTAGAAAAAAATGTATAAAATAGAATCATACCATGACAACCACAAATCTATCTGTAGTAGGTTCTGGTCCAATATGAGCTCCTGCAAATGTACTATATAATGAGTATCAATGAGAACAGCAACCAATTAACTAGAAGATGAATGTGAATGTGCAAGAAATTGCAAATAATGAACATTGAGGTGTGGTAAACCTGGATAACTGCTCTTGAGTAAATGTTTGATGAAAGTTGTCTTCCCTGTGGAGTATTGACCCAAAAGCATCACCATGGGCTTGCAATCAAAGTCACTGTTTGTCTACCACCAAATTATGCATAAGCAATAGAAATAGATCTCAATTATGCAACTTTTTCCCCAAAATAAACAAGGGAAATGCATAAATCCTTTTGGAATAAGATGTAAAAGTGAAAAACATCATAGTGGAAGACATTCACTAACCAATAAGGGAGAGACAAAATCATTAAACCGATATGTAACTTCTAGGGGCTTCAATTTCTTGATGTACAGCCTCTTCAATCCATCAATTATTGAAGTAACCGATGTTGAAGAGATCTGAGCAGATACATGGAAGAAAATAACAAGTCATCCCAGGAATGAAGTGTTATAGAAACGCGAATTACAAAATAAATATAATGTCAATGGCTCAATGCAAGAGCATAAACTTATTATATGAAAAAAGAAAGAAACAGCAATAACAACAACAACCCACTTGAATCCCACGAGAGTATGGTCTGGGGGTTTGTCTACGCAGACCATACCCCTACTCAAACGTATGAACTTAATAAATATAGTAGGAAGCCAAGAATTATAAATTTCACAAATCATCTCTTAAGAATTAGAATGAAGTCCTAAGGATTAAAAAAAAGATTAATGTGGTCACGTAAAAAAAGTGAACAAATAATTTGCATGCCTTGCTTTTCTAGAAAACTAAAAAACAAAATACTTCCAAAGGCAAGCATACATGATATCTAGAAATATTAGATCCCTTAGAGTTAGTTTCAGGGAATTAAATTATGGAAAAATTTCATAGAACGAACCATTGGAATTTGTATTCGGTCAAGAATTCATTAGTAGATCCTTGATAGTATTTCATTAAAATACACAGCTGAGAGGAGCAAAAGTTTAGAAGGATACCTTTGCAGATTTAGGTGATTGAAACCAATTAGCTGTAGAAGATTGCCTAGGAGGACTACCTGCAATATAGTAATTACAGTTAATTTCAAATTCATTGGATATGGAATTCATCTCCACCCACACACCCGTCCTGTGAAAGTTGATACATAGATACGTATATAGCCTTACCCTCGTGTTCATGTCTAGAAGCACGTTTTTTCTTCTGTGTGATATGATTAGAGAAGTCAGGCCTTTTCATGGTTAACCAAAAGATCAATCAGACAGTGGATCTAACATACTTACAGCCAATAGGACATCCAAGCCTTCCATGGTAGGTGGCTCCAAATTTTCAAAATCAACTGCAAATTTTTCCATAGTGTGATCATAATAAGGAAACAATTTGTTTTATACTTAACCAAGAAATACTTATGGAATTACCTATCAGAAAGATATCATGTTATCATGGGGAAAGAAAGAAAGTTGCTAAATACACTAGTTACCTTCAGCTGTTGAATAATCATTTGTCGCCCTCACCACATGGCCAGCTTGTGCCAAAGAGATTAACTACATTGACGAATCATATCCCAGTAATCAATCAATATTTGAGAGAGATCATAATTCTAAAATGGAAGGCTGAAGATCACAAAGAGAATCAGAACCTGCATAGCTGCAATGAACTCTTTAAAACCCAGAAAGCCTTGACGCTTAGAATCTGCAATTGCCCAAACCTAGGGCAAGAGAATAAAAATAAATCAGTGATGACCAATAGGTATCAGTCGAATGCATTGAAAATGAGCTGATTACACAAAACTTCGATTGCATAGAAAAATTAGTAATTCAAAATTAGTAAAAGAACCTGCTTGAGATCCTGGCGGGACAACTTGGACATGCCGAAGAATTTTGTGGCGTCGCCTCCTGTAAGTCGTCCATCTCCGTCTGAAAAACCGATATCCATTGCTTTCATTGTCAAACTGTGATGAAAATCTAACCTAAAACAGAAAGAAATTGGATAGCAGAAGCTGGGAACCTGAATCGGCCAAGGCGAACCATTCCTGATAGATCTTCTCGTGCGATTTAGAACAGCGGTAAACGGGAGCATCTTCGATCTCCATTAACGACTCACCTCCTCTGCTTTGCGCCTTCCCCTTTGAATCATCCCTTCTGAAACTGCCGCCGTAGCCGTACATCGCCGCCGGGAGAAATTATGGTTCCCTCCACCGCTTGAAGTAGCCCTTCCCTAATGAATTAAGCTACTGTACACCCCAGCACCAACATGGGTACCCCAAGTCTACACCAAAGCCAACACAGACACACATAGGGATGTAAACAAATCAAATATTTTAAATTCGATTCGCGATTTGTATTCGAATATGATGATTCGAATTCGCGTTATTCAAATACAAATTCAAATTCAAATATTATTTTTGATTCGAATATTAATCAAATACAAATACAAATAGGGATATATTCGATTTGGATGATATTCGAATATATGTATATATACACAGACCATGTTTTCAACATCAAAAGTCAAGCAAAGTAATATAGTATAAAGTGTATTTAAATACTAAGAATTCAATAAATTAACATAACACGAAAATCTAAAACATATGATTTTTAATAGTTATATTTTATAAAATATAATTTGTGTAAGATACAAATGTATTAATGTTTTTATATACCGAATATAGTATAGTATAAAGAGTTCCGTAAGTTAATTTACAAATTGATGTTGGTCCATCATATAAATTACATAGTATGATTATTCAAATATTCATTTATGATTCGATAACTATTCGAATATTAATCAAATACTTATTCAAATCTTATTTTGAATTCGTCTCATATTCGAATTCGGATTCGTATTCGAAAAAATTAAACAAATTCAAATTCAAATATATCGGTATTCGCTTCGATTCGGTTCGTTTACACCCCTAGACACACACAGACACAAAGTGTCTGTGTTTCACAGACATTTTGTGTCTGTGTGTGTCTAGGGATGCATACAAATCAAATAAAATGTATTCGATTCGTGATTCGTATTCGAAAAGAATGATTTGTATTCGCTATATTCGAATTCGAATCCGAATACAAATCATATTTTAGATTCGAATTATTTTCGAATTCGAATACAAATATTAGTAGATTCGATTCGTTTATTATTCAAATTATTCGAATATTATAATTTATAAATAAATTTATATATATATTCTAATATATTAAATATTTGTGTACATATTTTAACATATTTTAATATATTAAATTTTTGTGTACATATGAATTTATATATATTCGAATATTATAATTTATAAATAAATTTATATATATTTAACATATTTTTACTACATTTTACATTATTATAAAATAATAATTTAATGTCTTTAAGAAATCTGTTTTAAGAAAAAAATTACTAATATTTTCGAATTTGAATATTCGAATACGAATTCAAATACGTCAAATATCTATCGAATCGAATACGAATGTTTTTTAAAATTCGAATTATATACAAATCCGAATTCGAATACATATCACTTTAATCGAATACGAATCGAATAGTGATACATTTGCTTCGATTCGATTCGTATACACCCCTATGTGTGTCTATGTTGGCTTGGTGTACACTTGGGGTACCCCATGTTGGTGTACCCCTAGCATTGCCCTTCCTAATTCCCTCGTTCAAATTACTTTTTGAAAAATAAATCATAAATGTGCCTTGTACAGAAAATTTTAAGCATTTACGGAGTACTCTTGACTCTTGAGCTCCTAAAAAATTTTTACAAGTTGAGATGAAATTAATTGCTTTAGACTTATAAAAATGAGTAAATTCTCAAAATAGGAGTTTTATATTTTTATTCTTGAAATAAGACTTAGCATTGTAGTAATGTGGCAGTAATGTGGCACTGTACATGCGCACATTAATATACTTTTTGATAATGCAAATGATCATGTTTAGTAAATGCATCTTAACTCCTATTTCGAGAAATAAAAATATGAAAGTCTTATTTTAATACATTTTTAATGTTTTACTCCTACTATAGTCTTTTTTTCAATATGTTTTTCTTTGTCTTTTTTCAGAGTTTAGACACGTAATATAACCTTTTAATTAAGTTAAAAAACCAAAAACGTCACACCACCTAAATTTTGGCCAATTGTCATTTACTAAACAAGACCTATATAGTCTTGAAATTATCTCTAATCCATTGTCCGACCTTAATAATTTAGTTTTCACATTATTATCCTTAGGCCTTTTGAAAAACAATTCTCCTTATATAACTGTGATTTTTTATTTATCATATATATATATATATATATATATATAGATATATATATATATATATATATATATTTGCATTCGTATTCCTAATCTTAATATTTAAAGATCGTCCAAGAAAAATTAAAAATAACTCCAATCAAATATCATAAAAAGTAAGACAACTTAAAAATATGGGACATGCTTGTTTGCAAAACTCCAAAAGAGCATATCACTATACAAATCAAACAACAAAAGAGTTGTACAATGATGGGTATACATTATAATCAACAAAACAAAACAATGGAAATATAATTATACAGCCTTTACAATCCCCCTTGGATCTGATCTTTCACCATTGATGAATGGATGAATGAATCATGAATCTCTGCAGAATGAATGATCAGTCAAGAAATGCCCACGGTTTTACCCAGCAACCAGAGCACCAACGACAATTCTATGCCGAATATTGTGTGAAGCGATGTCCGGTCCAACATGAACCCGTAAACCGTTATGCCCGCTCTGTTGTTCTCAAAGTACGTAACTGCACCAAACGTACCGAACACAAACAATCGTTAGTTATATACTTTAACACGTCCGGTCACGTGCAGATGAAGTCTCTTTGTTCAGTTCTTGCACAAGAACACTATGGAGTAATTTTTTTTATGAAATTTGAACTCGTGGACTCTAGGTCAAGTATCCTCACGTGCAAGGCACATTGAACATTTTCTTTTTTAAAATCTGGGTTTCGAACCCGTGACCTTTAGGTCAATAACACTCTAATACCCGGAGTATCATATATCAAAGAACAAGTCAACCAAAAGCTCAAAGGGAGAAAGACCAAAATAGGACTAAAATATTGAAAATATATCAAAATAAGACTTTCATGTTTTTATTTCCGAAAGAGGACTTACATTACCATACATGGTCATATACATTACCAAAAAAGTAAAGTAATTTGCACATGTACACTGTCACATTACAACATGGCAAAGTCACATTACCACAGTGCAAAGTCCTATTTCGGGAAAAAAAACATGAAAGTCCTATTTTAATACTTTTCTCTATGTTTTAATCCTATTTAGAGTGATTTCTAAAGCTCAAACTTGTGATATTGAATGTCCCAAAATGCTATTACGGAGTATATCCTAATAGAGGCTGAACATTAGAGATGACTTACCCAATGCTTGTCTTTTTTGAAAAGAGATGGTGCTATTAGCATATGAGCGGACAAACTTGGTGTTGTCTAGCTCGTCTTCTTCGTCCCCGACATCATCATCACCATCATCATCCGCATCAGAAGATCCATCATAGCAACTCGTCGGCGTAAAAGAGTGGGCCCCACCGCCGCTCTGAGTGGCGGCGGTGGGAGTCTCGGCTTCGACGGATTCGAACGAGTCTATTGTGGCACACACGTGCCACTTGGCAGCAAGACATGTCACGCCTTGAGCCTTGTGCGTGATTCTTGTTGCACTTCTCAGCAGAATCATGAGGCCCGCGAGAAGGCTCACCGAGCACAACTGCATTGGCATATATGGTATCAAGAAGAAGTGTTAGGGCCTATGGGTGTTCACCGGTTCGGTTTCATCGACATGCACACATGTCATTTAAAAAATCACTTTTGCCCCTACTAATTCTTAGTCTACCTATCACATCAAATTTTTCCACTAATAATCTACCCATCACATCAAAGGCAAGATTGGAAAGTCAACTACAAATATACGCTCATTGTTTCTCCCATTAGTCAAAATAAGAACCGTTTTGGTGAACGGGTGGAGTATTTACAAGGTAAGAAATGGGCGCACCGCAAGTTCACCACTCTTGTAGATATGGAGATCGGCAGCGGAACGTGTGGTGACGAGAAGGGAAGCAAACTGGCTGGCGGTGATGAGCACGAGGGCCCACAGGATGAAAGCGCGGTACCTGTGGCTGATGATCCGCAGGTACCGCCTGATCCTGAGGTGCTCCCTCAGCACGGACTCCACATTGGAGTCCTGATGGAACACCTTGGCGAAATCCTGGAGCCTGAGTATCTGGAGGTAGCAGATGAGGCGGAAGAGGACGCAGACGAGGAAGAAGACGGCCGTCCTGTAGAGCCACGAGCAGAGCTCCAGCATGCAGGCAACGACGTCGCTCGCGACGGCGTTGCCCAGGAACGGGATCTGGGTCCCGCCTGAGGCGTACCACCATATCTTGTATGCCCCTTCAGCGGCAAGACAAGGCAAGACAAATATGAAGAGGACTTCCAATGATCTCTGCATGTTTGTTGGGGTAGATGGAGTTATCCATTTGGTTCTTGACAAAACGGTTTGGTGATATTTTCAAATCAGCTTATTGAAATATAAATATAAAATTAAAAAAATATACAATTTTTATATTTTGAAATTCAGAAGTTTGCTTGTTCTCACACAAATCTTTATTTATTACTTTAAGAAAATGATTGCCTAAGTAATAAAAAATTGCTTATTTGGCTTATCTAATGTCTATCATGAACCTTTGCTTTAAAAACTGCATTAAAAAACCTACAAAATAAAATTTAAATGATGCAATAAACTTCATTTGTTTGCTCTTATCAATGAAATTTTGGGTGGTAAATGTATCAATTCATCTGGGGTTTAACCAAACAATCATTTTTTACAGAGGTAAGATTACTTTTTACATATAACTTTGTTGTTGGTTCATCCTAAAAGGTTAAAAAAAGATAATAAAGTCAACAATAATTACTGTAAAGAAAAACCAACTGTCATTTGTTTGTTAATCTTTTCTGATCTGTTTTGCAACAACATTCTACATGCTTACAGCTGGTAATCTCCACTTTTTCCCTTAATTCTCCAAAGACAATTGATTGCAATGACTATTATTCTTTTCTCCAAATGTTAGGAAAATATAATTACAAATAAAATTGTGAGTTTAGTTGTTATGCAACAAACATGTAAAAAATAAAAAACAGAAAAACCAAGAAATAAAAAACAGAGACATAATGATAAGCAGTTTCATTTTTTGGTCATGCTACAAATGACACTGAAATTGATAATCATTATCTCACACACAGTGTCTGTTTCTCAGGGAAAATAACATTTTCTTTCATTTTATTCTTTTGCCCAAAGAAGAAAAGAAAACAGGAAGAAAAACAAGATTCAGAAAAAGAACACCCACAGACATGCTCTTCTCCACACCAATTACCAAAGATTGAATTTTTATCATTGAATCCATTGTCAAATTGCAGCAATTGTTAAAACTTAGTTTAAAAGATTAGAAAAAAGAATCTTTAAATTATTAAAGATTTAATCTAAAAAAAACCATGATCATGAACACTAAATTTAATCCCCAAAGAATGAATCTTTATCATTGAATTCATTGCCAAATTGCAGCAATTGTTAAAATTTCGTTTAAAGGACTAGTAAAAAGAATCTTTATATCATCAAATATTTAATTTTAAAAAAACCATGATCATGAACACTAAATTTAATTCCCAAAGAATGAATCTTTATCATTGAATCCATTGCCAAATTGCAGCAATTGTCAAAATATCGTTTAAAATATTTAAAAAAAAAGAATCTTTATATAGTCAAAGATTCAATAGAATACCATGATCATAAACACGAATAAAACAAACACTAAATTTAAAATTTTTATTAAAAAAACTCACATTGAGCTGTTGGGTATACCATTGCCGGACAGCCTCGCTCTCATCGCAGAGCTTATCGAAGAACAAGAAGCGGCGGAGGCCGTATTTGCGGACGAAGGCGGAGAGGGAGACGAAGGAGAGGGCGGCGACGCCGCTGAGGGAGATCTGGACGACGGCGTCGTAGGGGCGGCTGTGGCGGGCGTCGCAGTCGGTGCAGGCGAGGAAGAAGTGGGAGAAGCAGGGGACGACGACGGTCATGGAGACGAAGACCGCCCAGGAGAGGGCGGCGGACCGCCGGTCGGACTGGTCCACGCACATCCATTTCAGCCATGACATGAAGCTGTGCAGCTCGTCGAATGCGTTCGATTTTAATCGCCCAAATGCTTTGTTGGGATTGATTTCTTTCAGCAAAGCTTTCCCTTCCTCTCCCATCCTTCTTTTGTTTTACTCCCCCTCTCCTTCTTAAAAGTGGTTATATTCTAGTACTTGTTTTATTTTTATTTTTTTGTAAATATTCTAGTACATGTAATTCCAAATTAAATTAAACTCCATGTAGCCATTGTTCTAATTTAAATTGTCAGTTTCGATTTATGATATTTGACTGAATTTATTTTTAATTTATTCTATAAGAAAATTAGAGCAGAATTAAAAAATATATATTTTACATATTAAATAATTGCATCAAAAATTTTACGAAACAAAAAGTTACACGAATATACTATTTTATCAAAGGAATAACAAAAATAAGAAAAAAATGAATGAAGTTTGGTATTGTTATTGGTAAACATATAATTTAATTTGAGACGGATAGAGTATTAAATTATGAAAAAAAATCATTTTGACGCAAACAAAAAAAGAAAAAATATTTTTTTTGGGACGGACAAAATTTTTATCGATGTTAGATTTGATCAAAGTGCGAGCTGAATCGGTTATAGTGCAAGACATTGTATTTATACTCCCTAGTATATTCTTCTAAGTCCGCAAGTAAGTCCACAAGCTTTGGACCGACCCAGCTCGCTTTAAAACTAGATTATAGATAATTAAAAAAATACAATGGTGAAAGGAGTTGTGGACAAGCTCTGGTCCTCAGGGTATTCGTCTTGTAGAAAGGGACGTTAGTGTCTCTCGGAGGATGAGCTTCATTTACCTTTTTAGATGACTTAGTTGAATCGCCCTCCATTTACCTAGGATGAGTAGGATTCATTACGAGGATGTTCAGAGAAATGTGAGAGTAATTCTTGTAGATAATAAGTTGTGTGAAACCATGCCTGGATAGTTTGAGCGTGTAATGAATTCTCCATGACTAAGGAGGTGCGAGAGGGTTGTGATATGGAATGTGAAGATGGGTAGGAAATAGACATGTGTAAAGCTTGAAAGATATGATGTGAGAGTTAGACAAAGAAAACACGTTCTTAGTTTATACTATCTCAAACAAAGAAGTTATATACTCCGTATGAAATAAAGTAATTTCTACTTGTTTTCACAAAAAAAAAAGCAATTTATACTTATATGTTTGATTGTTTGTCCTATTCGTATTCTCTTTATCTATGCTACTTTCATTTGTGGTTATGTGCATGTGTTGAGCTAAGAATTTTATTAGAAATTGTCTATCTACTTTTCTCCTAAGACTAAGGCTCCGTTCCGTTCAACTTATTTTTTCTGATCTGATCTGATTCTAATAAGTTCTGATCTGATCTGGTCTGATCTGATATGATCTGATCTGATTTGATCTGACCTGATCTGATTGGATCTGATCTGATCTGATTGGATCTGATCTGATTGGATCTGATCTGATCTGATCTGATCTGGTCTGATCTGATTAATTATGATTTAATTTAAAATTTCAAATCAATAATTTAATTTGACTTTATAATAACGTTTGAAAATTGTAATGATAATTCATATTATAATATAATCAATATTTTTTATTTAATGATTATTTTTTAAAAAAATAAAAATAGTTAATTCATATATTAGAATAATCATTCATATTATAATGTAATAATATTTTTTATTTTATGATAATTTTTTTTGTAAAATTAGAATTATACATTAGAATAAATATTTAATTTAGATATACATTAAAAAGTAATTAAATTTAGATAATCAATATATAGAAGAGATATTATTTTTATTAAAATATCTCATCCTTATAAAAGATCAAAAGTTTAGAAACTCAAACTACAAGTAGCAATAAAAATATATTTTAAAAGTAGAATTAGATTGATATTGTCAATGTATTTTAAAACTAATTTTTCCGACGTCTAATAATTAAGGATTACTTTCTCAGTTTTCTATTTAACCTATTTCTAAAGTTTATTCTTTTTCATTTTTAAGAATAATAATAATAATAATAATAATAATGATGATGATGATGATGATGATGATGATGATGATGATGATCATAATAATAATAATAATAATAATAATAATGATGATGATGATGATGATGATGATGATGATCATAATAATAATAATAATAATAATAATAATAATAATAATTCTTGATGAGATCTGATTTTAATAAGTCCTGATCTGATCTGATCTGATAGGATCTGATCTGATCTGATTGGATCTGATCTGATCTGATTTGATCTGATCTGATTCGATCTGATCTGATCTGGTCTGATCTGATCTGATCTGATCTGATTTTAATAAGAATAATAAAAAATAAGAAAAAATAAGTTGAACGGAACGGGGCCTAAGTCTTGCGTATACACAATTGCATATTCTCTCCAGGTCCCATTAAATGGATTCAACACAAACTATTGGTGTTTTTTTAGAACAATTTGTTATAATAAAATAGTCTAAGGTATTCCTTATTTGATAGATGGTAGAATTTTAATGTTATATGTGTGTGTGCGCGCACTTTTATTTGTTAAATTTATACTAATGCATATATATAAATCGAATCAGACACAATTTTTCTTCAATATTGTAAGTTGTGTGTAGATTTAATCAATGACGAACAGAATAAGGGCCCGTTTGATGAGCGCAAAAAATATGAGTTTTGATATTTTTCAACATCAGAATCATTTTGTTGTATTTGGCGAAGTCTAAGCATAGTTGAGAACTTGAGATTTTATATCATTAATATGAAAACTCTCTCGAAGCCGTTTTGATATTTGATGTTTTAATTTTGAAAAATATCAATTCAAATATTTTGATACATCTCTCAAAAAAATTGTTTTAAGATTTGAAAATTTATCATTTTCTCCAAATTTCGATATTAATATCATATCCACCAAATCTCCAATAAACTTTGTTAAGGGAAACTTTAATTAAATTGAGTAATAACATAATAACATAATCATAAGACCCATGTGAGTTTACAGTTAGGTTCATCCACCATTTACGGAGTACTTATATTTTCCTTTTTCCGTGATGACCGTTAACTAAAGTGTGTTAACTTTATTCTATTTTTCTTCCCTTTTAATTGGAGTTTTTTTTAAATTGGAGTTTGGAAGTTGCAAATTAATATTTTAAATTGGGATATAATCCCATTACCCCGAAATATTTTTCTCATTTAATTTTTCACGGTCTCTAATATTATACTTTGACTATTAATATTTATATTTATACATAGATATATTTTATAAAAGTTTGATTTTTTAAAACTACGTTACATTGGAAAAATATTGATATTAAATTTATATTATAATAAAATATATTTTTTCCATAAATTGGAGTCAAAGTTTATAAATTTTGACCAAAAAAAGTCAAATGTGAAGAACATTTCTGGTCGGATGGAGTAATAATAGTTTTAATTGGAATTCGGATGCTGGATTTGAAATTTTGATGGTGTATAATTGAAATTAAAATTGAGGAGAAAATGTTATTTATATATAAAAAAATCCAACACCAAAATAAAAATTTTCTTTGTTAGACCTTTCCTCAAACGCAAATTTGTAGTTGCACGGTAGCTCAACGCATTTTTTGTACCAATTTATCTCCTTTCTTTTTTTTAATAGCTTTTGGTGGTTACATTTTGTGGGTTATGTATATATTTTTATAAAGTATTTTTATATTCTAATGGATTTTTTTAATTACAAACTATAAAAAAAGTGAAAATTTGATTAACTTGATTTGTGTTTGAGTTTTGAGCAATTGGTTGGAGATGAATTACTGCATTTTAAGTTTGCACAATAGTTTGGTACATAGATCAATATATGAATTTATTATTCACATATTTGGGGCTTTCGATGCCTCGTTGGGCTTAGGATCGATTCACGCTCTGAGGATTATTCTTGAGATAGAATTCGATCCCGAGCCTAACGAAATACGGAGTATTGTTTAGCCTGATGTCATTTTTTGATATTTAAAATTAGTGTAAAAAAGAATTGTTATTAGGAAAATTTGCAAACATGCCTATATTCCCTGAGGCCACATATTAAGCCATTATTTTAACAACAAAATGTGTTTTTCTATTATTTAATTAATAGATTAATGTCTTCTGAACCTAATCATCCATTATAATACATCCCTAATTAATGAATATAGTCAGGTGCAACGTTTCAGAAAAACAAAAACAAATAAAAGTTGTGTTGATAAATGTTTGTGCTTTGCACAGCTGAGCTGTGTTCGGTATTGATGTTACAATTTTTTTTCTCTTTTTTTTTAATGAAGGAATTTTTTTTTCTTTTTTATTTCCTAAGTTTCGTAAATATTTTTATTCCGTAATCAGTTCTTAAAAAAAAAATTTACTCGTATTACGTAATCTCAGCCATACATTTATAATAACAACTTTTATTTTTTACTTTCAATGAAAATAGTATAAAATGAGATTTATTTATGAGTTAACTTTTTTTAATGGTTCCTGGCTTCCTGCCCGGGTTAACATTTCACCCCGGTCCGACCCAAATCGACTTTCCATCCCCTTCAATTACACTTGTCAAATATTTTTACCCAAAAATTAACTAAATTTGGAAGGTACAATTTATTATTTATTTTAGTGTAATTAGAATGACTATTTAACAAATTTGGTGGTGCATAGTGCACGCTTCGTTGAGTTTGTTATGTTATAAGTTTCGTTTTAACGCGAGTTCCAAAGGGGCAACTGCAATGCTTCTTTGGCAGGGGTTCGGGGGCAGCGCATTCGAGAGCGGGGTTTGAGGGGCAGAGCACCTAGCTTTGCACAAAGTATTATGTTAAAAATTCACTTGACTTTTATTTTCATAATTGAATGTAAAGGAATTTCGAATGAACGTTCCTTCTCCTTTTCGCGCGATTCGAGGCAAAGTTTAGAAGAGAGGCGCAAACCCAATTTCTTTTCCTTCCCTGCTTCTTTATAAATCTCGCAAGGCTTGGTCGAAAGGAGCAGTTCGAAAATTCATCACAATTCATACTTGTTCTTGCCCAGTGATTTGAGTTTTATCCGATTAATTTTTCGATAACGCCCAAAATAACCAATTTGAGAGTGTTATCGCGACTTTCAGATCAATCAGTGTTATTTAAATTCTCCAACAAAATTCCAAATTGGACTAGAGTTGCGGGAATCACCGGAGGGATTTAATTTGAAGTAGAATCGTCAATTTTACAAATAGAACACCATTGGTGTTTTAGTCAGAGCCAATGTCATATTATTATATGGGTTTCGAGAGACAAAAAAAAGAAAGCTTTTTATTTATAGAAAATATAAATAGTTCTTCATAATTTATTTCGATTGTGAAAAGTTACATTCCGTTTAAATCAATAGAAATATACAAACAAACAAAAGTTATCGAGAAGGAAGAGAAAATAAAATTACAATCAAAATGAGATGGAGGGAATAAGATATTTGGACACCACTTTTATTTGACACCGTTTGATCCTATTCCACAACTTATTTCAAATGAGCCAATTTTATGGAACGAAAAATTTATTATCTTTTGGAGAACAAAAAATGTATCAAAAAATAAAAATACATGGTTAGAAATTACATGCACGAGAAAGTCTTTTGAACGACGAGGACTTAAGCCAAATAATATTCTCCTGTTCCAAATTAAATTACATATTTACTATTTATAGAATCAAATTTCATTCATTTTTTTTATTTTTTCGGTAGTCATTTGATAAAATAAAATATAAATATCACCACTAGTTTTATACCCGGAGTAGATCTTTTAATGTAGCATTTTAATACATAATTTTTATTTTTTTAATTCTACACCATTTTTCATATAAAATAATTTAAAAATGATTTCAGTTAAACATCGTAAACCAAAATAAACAATATAAATTAAAACAGAGGGAGTAGAATCGTAATGAACTTGTGACATGAAACTAACTTTTTTATTTCATTATTTAGAGTGTTTGGAAGTATAGTACGGAATATATTAATGAAAAACCAAAATTTTAAAAACTACGGAGTAGGAAAAAGTAAATAGTTTTAGTTTCGCTTAAAAGCTCTTCTAAAGCTAATTTTAAACTTTAAAGTCATAATCTATAACCAGAAACAAATTCACAACTACGATAAATGACATTTTAATGAAACACAAGTTCAAAGCAGTTTTTAAACACAAATCCAAACACGTCTTACTCTTCCTTTTTTAGGCCCGGGAACATCGTTTTTCGTTAGAATTTCAGATAACTTCTAAGAATGCAAATTAACTTTAATTATAAATGCTAAACACTATCATTAATTCATTAGATAACTTTTTAAAAAATGATAAAGCTAAACGCTAAAGCTATTGCCAAACAGACACTTAAGAAACCAATACACGGCCTCAATAAAACATCTCGGGTTCAAAAATTCCTACAAAGTGTGGAGCCTATCCAACCTGGATTACACTCCGAGCGAAGAGAATACCAAGTGCTCAAGCACGGGGGACGGGGGGTTGGGGGGGGGGGGTATCTTCTTAAAATGCATAGTGGCAAAGAATGCATCAAATAAGCAAAGCATTAAGCATATCAGCACTCACAATTACTAAGCATATCAAACCATAACAATTACTTGCCATTTGCCAAACATGAAAACAACCCTATAATTAGCACATAATTAAGAATCAAATCCCAGTAAGTGAATACTTAAACTTTCAAAGGTTATAACATAACCAAATAGGGAGCATGAATGTAACCCTATGTGCACACAGTCAACGGCTACAAAGTACAAACATTAATAACCCAACAACGTAAGAAAAACTTTTGTTTTCATAGTATCACGTTACGCTATATGGGAAACCTTAGGAGCCATGAACCAAACACCTCCCAAGTAATTCCAATATCACATAATGTATATATATAAAAGATGCAATCTTTGATGCACAAAGTCACTCTATAAAGTTCTTTATGAGAAAGAGGGAGTACAAGGTAAAGGCTTGTTTTGTAAACGTTATTTCAGTGACATGAAATGGTTGAATTATCTAAGAGGTAAAACATTTGGTAGAGTATATTTCAGCCAATTAAAAGGCTACATAAAATAAGCATAAGCTACCATAATCAACCGCTAACCTCAACATTCATTATAAGGCAATCAAATATCCAATACCTACAATATTCTTGGAAACCCGAGCCTCACTACACGCGTCAAAATTTATTACCTACAATATATCAAAACGAACATAGAATGTTGTTCAATACCTATTAAGAATCTCCAATCATCTCGCAAGCCTTCCTCATCCCCACGCGCGGAAACTTCATACTACAAGAAACGGTTGAATGGCGACAAGCCGAAAATTTGTTGGCAGCATTGATTGTTAAAACTACAAAATACTTTCCTTTTGATAAATACGGAGTACCAAACACCAAGAAAAATGACATCGCTACACGACAAACGTCATTAGTATAGAATCATATTACAATGTTACAAGAGAAAAATTCAATCTTTACCATGCAAAGATGTCCACAAGCTAAAGGCACAATAAGCATACTCCATAACAATCAAGAAAGATTGTCAACAAACACACTCCATAACAATCAAGAAAGATTATCAACAAACATGCTCCATAACAATCAAGGAAGATTTTTAAAAAACATGCTCCATAACAATCAAGAAAGATCAAATGAGCACACATATCATGCAAGTGTAAGAACAAACAAACAAACAAACAAACAAATGTGAATTCACTTACTATGCTAAAAGGGACATAAATGGCAATTATATAATGATTATGAATATCATGATCATAACATAAGAGCAAGCAGAAGACATAACATCAGATAATATGCATCAAACAACACTGAAACAGGCATCATAATTGATTAACATGAAAATCCACTTCAAAGAGCAGACTCATCACAGACAAACCATTTGATAAAAGGTTCAGTCTTTGGCTCTAATAACCATGATCCACTGTCTTCCTTCTTGATTCCCGGCCTTCTTCCGCGCCATAAAGCGGAGATGGTAAAATAAAATTTAAAAAGTAAAAGAAAAAGAAAAAGTAAAATTAGGCAATCAATATTGGTTACAAATGAAGAATCGCCATTGCTGACCGTCAGAGACACAAAGCTGTGCACCGGATGTCATCATAGGCTTCGGAATCCTCAGGTTCCTCTGCAGGCAAGGAATTCAGGTCGAAAGGAAAGGGCTTTCTGAAAGAAGAAGAGGCAATGTATTCACAGCCCATGTCGTCCACGACTGAGGAAGACGAATCACAGTCACTGTGACAATCATCCGGGACCACCAACGGCCGAGAAGGCGGCAGAAGCCGAGGAGGCCGGGGCCCACTGAAGGACTCCACCGTACTACTCATGCCGCTGGAGGTCGGCCTCTGGGAGATAATAGGATGATGATCGGAGTAAATTCTTTGGTCGACAAAGGACGAATCTTTTACCCTGGGGTTGAATTGAAAACTCTGATGATGGTGATAAGGAGGGAGATGAGGATGGAGAGGAGCAGGCGGCGACGGGAAGTTGGTCTTAGCTTTCGGGCCACGGAGGTTCCGGGCGGCGGCGTCATAGGCTCTGGCGGCGGCCTCGGCGGAGTTGAAGGTCCCGAGCCAAACACGGGTTTTCTTCCAAGGGTCTCTGATCTCAGCCGCGAATTTCCCCCAGGGTCTCTTTCTCACGCCCCGGAACCTGATCTCGCCAGATCCGTTGGCTTCTCCGGCGCCGCCGGCATCATCCTCCGGGGACACTCTGAACTGCGGATGTGCTCTGCCACTCCTCATCGTCCAAATCAAGAACTGGTAAAAGAAAAAAGATCAGATCTTTTTCTCTACCGATTGAGAGGAAACAGATAGATATATCAAGTAAACGTCATGGGTGATCGTGGGGGAGATCTTTATCCTATCCTCTCCCCCCTCTCTCTCTCTCTAAACCTCAGTTTCTCTCTCTACTGTGTGGATTGTTCGGGGGAAGAAGAACCAAGAGAAAAAGGGGGCAGTGGAAGATGGGGTCGGGGGTATTTTGGGTATTTCGGGCTTCTGTGGATCATAATGGTGGCCGGTGAGAGTTGGGGATAAAACCTCAGTCGCACCGCGGAGCGGTCAAAAGTCAAAACCACACTGCCAATTGCCAACCCGTCTGCTTTGTGGTTGCAAGCTGTTTGGGTTTGGGTTTGAGGTTGGGTTTGGGGTTGGGTTTGGGTTTGGGTTTGGGTTTGGATTTGGGTTTGGGTTTCGATATTTCAAAAGACCAAAATTGAAATCTATGTACAAAGGTAATAGGAGAGCTACTAGGCACAAATGGATTCCCTCAAAATAGACTAGAATGTGAGTTCATTTAAAAGAAAATGTAGCACTATTGCAATACTATATATAGAGTATACGTGATGTTGATTGTGTTCTCATGTGTTATTTTACTGTTGCGATCATGATATTTGATTTGTATCATCTGTCACTATCAAGTGAATTCAGTTGATGTGTATTGTTTTTAAGATGGAGTTGTTCGATGGTACCGAAAGTGCATTTCCCACTTGCACGTGTTGTAGCCTTTCACCATCAATTGATGTTCCAGCCCTAATTAAACTATAGATAACATGCCAAATATGATTTACCTTACCAAGAGGTTTCATGTGTTAACTAATGTGATTTCACGAGTCGTCTCGTCATGACCCACTTCATGCTCAATATGAAAAGATATAACACATTAATAATACCAGGGACACTTCAAAGACGATCATAATTGTGTCTCGTTTTTTTACACGGACACGCACTCATAAAAATATTGTCTGTTTTGCACCTCTATGAGAAATTCAACAAACTTGATAACTTCAGATGCCAAGCTTAATTCTACAGGAGAATTCTTGAAAGTGACCTCAAGTTTATCACGTTCTTCGCGAAACTTGACAAACTCGGGGATATCCTTGGATCACGGACCTAACTCCATAGCACATTAATCAAAATACTGAATGAATAATGCTATTTATAATCACATCAAGTTTACTAAAATTTGACATCATGTGTTCTATAGATATTCATAAATAATTATTATATACATCGTGCAAACAATCATTATTTATATATATATATTTGTGAAATATATATAGTTAAATTCGATGTGAATGGTCAATGGCCAGATAACACCAGTAATTCCGTGATTTGGATAATAGGCACCAGTACCCTACATATTTTCAAAATTTATTACTAAAATTTTTGTGGTTTCAAAATATTGAAAAAGGGGCATTGGTGCTTATTTTCCAAATCATAGGAGACACTAGTGCTAATTTCTTATTTTTCAGTTTTTTTGTTTTTCCCTTTATTTTTTTTGTTACTTTTCTTAATCAAGGTTTTTAAATTTCTTTTTAAAATTGTTTTTATCACGTATTTTAAATTTAAAATCATTTTTGTTTGAAAAAAGTAACATATATTGCATCTGTACCGACTGCACGTCTCAAATTAACATTTTTTATTTTTTGTTTTCCAAAGTAAAAAAATTAAAAACTTGATTTTAGAACTTCAAAAAATGGGGAATATAATAAGAAATAAAATAAAACAAAAAATAAAAATGAATATCCTTTCTGGACATTCCAATTCTAAAGACTTTTTACGCGTTCTAAAAATTCCTTTTTGTATAATATTTTTTAGATGTTTTAATTTTTTCAGTTCGTTTTTCCATATTTTAATTTTGTATTTTCTTTTTTAACCTTCCAAACACATTATTCTAGAAAACAACAAGTTAAAATATGTAATTTAAGATAGATGGAGTATATGCTAATTGTTTTTATTTTTATTTCAAACCCAAAGAATTTTAAATTTTTAAAAACATTACAGTATATAAAACTTAAAAGAAATTTTAAAAACTTTTCTAAAAAAGGGAAACAAAGATATAAAAAAGTAAAAAAACAGAAAAAAGTAATAAACGAAAAATAAGATACTAGAAAATATGCATCAATACTTTTTTTGTGCATAATTTAATTTTTTACTCTCATTCAAAATTTTAAATAGAATTAGGGTATTTTCAAAAACATGAATTTTTACGCGAAAATTTAAATGGATGGAGGGAGTAAATAAAAAACGTACGCGTGACTACTGGTGTGGGAATATAACAACTTTAAGAAAGCCGGGGTCCATGGGCCGTCATCTCTGACCGTCCCCCGCGTCAATAAAGAGAATAAATAAAAGCGGCTTTAATTTGGGCGGTTTTACCAATTAGGGTAAAATTACATCTAATCTCATACATTCCCCCGCAGTTTTTTTACAGTTATCGGAAACCCGCGGCAGTTCCGGCAGATAAATCCCAGCCGGGGTTACCTCAGGCGCGTCAGAGAGATGTCCGGCATCACGAACGCTACCGTTCCTAACCAGGTCTCCGCCGGTCTTAACCAGAGCGCCACCGGTCCTGACCAGAATCAGCAGGAGGAGAAGAAGCCCTCCACCGCCGAGCAGAATCATATCAACCTCAAAGTCAAGAGCCAGGTCTCTCCTTCATCATCATCATCTTTTTTTAGTATTAATCGTATGTGTGATTATTACTTATTATACCTCTCTGATTCGTATTTTGTTTTTATCATCAAGCACAACGTTTTAGTTTTTTAAATATTTATTTAATCTGGAACTAAAGCTGATTTTTTTTTGTGTTTACTAAGAGTTCATATCTGCAAATTGTTCACTTACCACGTTTGAATTTCTCAAAATTCAATTGACACTTTACCTTTCATAGAGAGGACCTATTCTTTTCGTCTCAATCGGAGTAATATTCCCAACTACAAGCCCGGACGCAGTAATAAATTTCAGTAAATTTTGTTTAATTTGTATGGCTAACGTCGATCGTCAATTAAATAAATATTACTCCGTATTACATTGTATATTAATAAAATAGAATCGTCTATCAAATGTATCTCACAAGATAAATGTAATTTAATGATTTTTATACTAGTACGTAATGCTATTTTTATTTAATTGATGATCAAAGTTTACCCAGCTTGGCTAACAATACAAACACATTTTGACAAAGGCAGTATCTTTTAATTTCACACTAACTTTGAGTTTCTCCATATGAGTATTTTTTAATCTCCACTGCCCTAAGTTTTAACTATACAAAATCATCTTTCTTAATAATTGTGCCGATAACAATGTGAAACTTTATTTTGAAACGAAGAGTGTACCTTTCATTAGTAGTAATAATATTAATAGTACTCCCTAATAACTACTCCATAGTCCATACTTCCTTAGGCTCTAAATTAAGTTTTGTGGTCTGTGATTGTTTTTCTACGCTATATAAATCTCAACCACTATAATGGACGGAGTGAGTATTACAATAGAAGCATAACATTTTCTAGGAATCATAAGATTAGACCATGGCTTGTTATATCAAGTAAGTGCTCTATTTAATTTAATTGATCATACACTTTTGGTTGTTAATTTAATTTAACGTTCCACTCAAAATAGTATTTCCTCTTCCGTAATCAGTGTTTGTTCCCTCCAATTTTTAACTCTAATTTCCGGAACTTCTAATTCCAGACTCACTTCTAGTCTCCAGATTTTAGCAAAAATTAAGGCAAAAATAAGAGACTCTTAGCCAATTAGTAGTGTTTGTTGATCTTTGTGTTTGGTCCGAAGGGATTATTCCCTGTTTTCTGTTTTGGCATGTCTCAGCTCTTGTGTTGGTTTCAGTTTCTAGAATTTAAACCTCTTCATTAATACTCTCTCTGTCCCAAAAGGATTTGCTCTTTGACTTTCACGAAGTTTAAGAAAGGTGTTGTAACGTAAGAAGTGTATGATTTGAATTTGTTTAGACGGGAGAGAAATGTATGAGCCACGTAGTCATTAATAAAAAAGGAACTAAACTATGTGAGAAATGTTTTTGAGACGTCTAAAAACAGAAAGTGGTTTAAGTTGTTGGGATACATTGAGTATCAACATTGAAGTTTTTATTTTATTCATCCTCGTGTTCAGTCAAAGTGTGCCCTATAGGTTGGTATGGTGAGATAATTTTATTAGGTAATCCTCAAATTATTTTTATTTCTTATATTACTCTTTCTATTATCAAAATTTACCCTAGGTTGGACTAATATACCCTTTGAAATTTCTTGTGTTAACTCTTATCTCATCGGAAGTTCATTTTTAGAATTAGCATAAACCTCAGGATGAAGTCACATAATATCCCAAAAACATATTGGGATCGAGCAAAAAAACTACACTTCGGGACGAATTACTATTTTACTATGAGTCAATTTAAGTTAAATCCACTCTGTCGGGCCTGAACTAATCCTCACTCTTTTTTGGATCGTCCCAAAATTATTTTTGCATTTTTCTACTTTCCTAATAAAGTAAAGAATATTTTATCTCCATATATATTTTAATGTATCATAAAAATATACTCCATGTATTTCAAGGCCAAATGCTCTAAATTGCTTAATTCGAAGGAGCAATTTTAGGTGCTGAATAATTGTTCTCTACAATAGGACTTAACTTTGTTTTTGCAGGATGGGAATGAAGTATTTTTCCGGATTAAGAGGAACACACAGTTGAAGAAGCTGATGAATGCTTACTGTGACAGACAATCTATGGAACTGAGCTCTGTTGCATTTCTGTTTGATGGTCGTCGTTTGAGACCAGAACAGACTCCTGACGAGGTAGGTATTCTATTCTCACCTCCATTTTCTATGGAGTTAATGCTTGGTTTGGCTCCTCTAAGTACATCTGTAAGTTAATTTGGTCCATGCATGTTACATCGAGTCAAATTAATTCATGTAACTAAAAACTGTAAACAAAATTGACTCACAAAAGTGCACTTAGAGGGACCAAAAGTCCAAAACGAGTGTTAATTATTTTCTACATTGCCTCCTTCACATGTTGGAGTTTTACAGTTTGACTTTCATGATCTGTACGGGAATACTTTAAATTAGACCACACAAAAATTGATTCGACTTGTTTTTTTGGTCCGATACTCAACACGAGAATAGTAATTTTGAACAAAGATTTTGTTAATCAAATTTGTAATAACCCGCTAAAAATGGGTCAACCCTCAACGAATTCGATTCCGAGCTGAGGCAAGGCTTTTTTCAAAATCATTTACTATTTTACTTTAGTATGAAAAGGATTGTGATAAAAATCATGTTATAAATTTATAATATTGTTTTCTTTTTACTCCTCTTTAGTGTATACACTTATCTTTGCAAATGAATTTTTAATAATATTGTACTGTTATCTTATTTAAAAAAAAAATTGTGCATATTTAAGCTTCAATTTTATTTATAGTATACTGTGGTATATATCTAAATCAAAAAAGCAAAAGAATATAGGAAAGGATCTTTCATATATTTGAATATTTTATTTTTATGCAAAATACAATTGACCGTATTCCAAATATAAGCATTCATAATTCATTGGGTTGGCCCGAACCCAATAATATTGGGACGTGAACATGCATTTTTCAATCCAAATCCTAATTGACACAACCCAAAGCAACTCGAAACCAACATGACTGACATGTTTGTCTGCTCTAGAACAACAACAACAACATTACCCACCCCAATGCCTCAACGGCTCCTGCCCATTGCGGGGTGGGGGGGGTCGGATGTACGCAGTCTGACCCCTATGTTGAAAACATAGAGCGGCTGTTTCCAGATAACCCACGATGAGCGTCGAAAGTTGCATTGACTAACTGCTACTTCACAATTACTTCACAATTGCAAGAAGTGCGGATAGTTTAAAGAGCCAATTTACTTTATTCCATCATACCCAAAGCCAAAAAATAGTGAATCTTTGGCTCTATAGGGGAATGGAAATTTTGTCTGCTCTACTCTAAACACATTTCGAAATGAATTCAATGATGTCAATGTCAAATTATAATTCAATATTTTCCAAATACAAATTGTAGTCAAATTTTATAAGTTTTGACCACAAAAGTCAAATTGTAAATTTCGTCCCGGGAGTGTGCGACGGAAGGGCAAAAGCGTCTCTCCGCACGAAGCTTTCTTTAAACACCCATAGTAATTTATTTCTTGTCTGCAGCTGGAGATGGAGGATGGGGATGAAATAGATGCAATGTTGCACCAGACAGGAGGCAGTTTTTGAGGTGTTATTATATATACCAATTGAGGAATGTGGTGGAGGGGAGCTGCCAAAAATAGAAGGTATTATGGTGGTATTCGTGGCGGTGCCGCCTCGGCCCATGGGCTTTCGCCATTGTTGGTTAGTTTGAACTTCTTATGTACCCTAATATGTGTTCCAACCAGAGTTTATTTTAACCTCATAGGGTTTTCTCCCTTATGTTTGTTTATCTCTGACCATGTTTGGTACCCTAACTCTTAGTTGTTAGTTCTCGTATAGAAAATAAAAATCTTGGACGCGAGTTGTTAGATGTTTGTTTGAGTTGGTTGTTTGGATATAAATGTTTGTGATTTCGAAAATGTTTATGATTTTTTTTTTGTAATTCAGCTTTTGAGAGCAAAATGTTGCTGGAAAAAGTTGTTTTCCAAACACTGCCAATACATGCTTGGGTCATGCTGATAGAATTTAAGATGTGGTATGGACAACTGCATTAGCAATAAGATACTTGGGCTGAACCACATTAAAAGATTGAATCCAATCGATTAGTTAGTTTAACTCAAGAGCTTATATACCGATTAATTTTCTCACGCTTTTCCGATGTGGGATGCTCTTTAACACTCCCCCTTAAGTGGACAACTGGGCCATTTTGAATCTAACCGGTTGACCACTTGCAAATCAACTCCCATTCCCTTGACTTTCTTTTTTTTTGAGCGCCAACACCTAAAGAACCACGAGCCGCTGGGTATGGACTTCCAGACGAGCAATCGTGTTAAACGGGCCACAGGCCGTTGGTACATACTCCATACGGACAACTAGGCTAAAGACAAACGGGCCGTTAGGAATGAACGTCTAGACGGACACCTTGACAAACGAGGTGGGCCAAAACCTGCTCTGATACCATGATAAATTTAGGATTGAGTGTGGACAACTGGATTGAGTAATAAGACACTTGGGTTGAACCTCATTAAAAGATTGAATCCAATCTGTTACTTAGTTCAACTCAAGAGCTTATATACCGATTAATTTTCTCACACTTTTCCGATGTGGGATGCTCTTTAACACATGTTCTCTTCAAATGATCTAAATAGTATTGATCCGATTAGAATAAGTTTTGATTTGGTCTGGTCTGATCTAAATATAGGTGTATTTAAACTGATTTGATCTAGTCTGATATGAAGTGATCCGAATCCAATAAAAAAAGTATTTAGTAATAAGTAATAAAAATAAATTGAAGTGAATATAGCCTTGATCAATCCCATTTTTTCATTTCTCGGGTCTTCCCAAAATTATTATTTTAGTTATTTTTCATTTTTTTCTATTCATGTGTTTTCATTAATTAATTATTTAACAAAATAAAATATTTTTTTTAGATTTTGTTTTATATACAGCAAATTCTTTAATGTAGTTGTAAAATTTATAATTTATACGGAGTACTTTTAATTTTGTATTAATTTGTAAATAAAATAATTTTAAAATATATTAAGTAACAAATAATATCCCTTTTTTCCTCGAGTATATGTTGGAATCAATCCACCTTGAATAAAAAGTTTCCCATTTAATTGACATTTAAATTAGAGCAGCTATTTTAAAAAATAAAAAAAGTTGACATTATTTGATGGAGAGTGATGTGAAAGATATAACTTTAATGTCACCTTTTATTATGTAAAAATTTAAATGTAGTCTTTGATTATGTACAAATTTTTATACTTTTTATTAAAACAATGATTTCTTAATAAATAATTTAAAATGTTACGAGATTTTATACATCGTTATAATACTTATAAATCATTTTGAAACAAATAGAAAAGTAAACTTTACGATTTAATTTTATGATATGTTTGAGAACTTAGATTTGAACTTTAAATCTATATTTAGCTCAAATTTTATATTGAAAACCCAAAAAATAAATTGGATTTTAGATAATTCTTCCAATTTATAATAAACCTTGACTTAAAATTCATATATCTCCTCGTCATTTAAAATTCAAGAATTTAAATTTTGAAATTGAAATGCGAAAATTGAAAATGTTGGTTTTAAACACTAACTTAAAGTTATCAAGTTTTCTTTGGAAATAATATATTGATTAACATTAATGTTTTAGATAATTTTTAAATGGTACGGAGTATAAATTAAACACTATCACTATATAACATTTTCATATCGATAAGAGGAAATTAATAGTAGAACTTAAGAAAAGTGTTAAAAATATAAGAAAAGTTATCCCGGATAAAATTTGTGTAAAAGAAAAAATAATGTGAACCAATGGTCATGGGTGATCATTCGTTCAATCACCTGTAATGTCTCACTACCACGGTAATGATTATACTTTTATTTTTAAAATAATTATCTATTTCTATTCAAATTCAATTATATCTTTTAGAGTATTGAAAATTAAGGTAAATTGATTGGAGATGAAATATTATATCAAGCTGGATTCTTGTAAATTTGAAATAGCGTTGCACATATTTAAATATTTTATGCAATGAACTTTAATTCTCTTCAGTCTCAGATTTATCTTCTTAACTACGGAATACTATTACTAATCAAATCACATATTTTGAACATTTTCACCATCCATTCATTAAAAAAATAATCATGTCACCTCTTATTTTCTATAAAAAAAATTGATGTACGGAATATTCCTTAAATGTGTAGATTTTATTTTCAAATATTACACTAAAAATTAACATACATTCAATTTTAAATAACTGAAGTCAAACATTTTGGCATGGGGAAGTTGCAAGTTTCATTTTTAAGATGTAGAAGAATTTCACAAGGGCATTTTATATATTTTAAAACAAAAGATAGACTGAAAAGGCATTACATCCACTGATTCACAGACCATAGTTTTGTATGTCTGACTAAAGTGCCAATCTATGAGTGAAGGAAAAGAAAAGTGAAAGATAAAAGAGAATAGATTTTCCACTCTTCTTCTTCTTCTTCTTCTTAATTACAGAATCTCTCATTTGTTTAACCATACTTGGCTCATCATCATCATCCATTTGCATTATCCTATTCAATGAAAATAAAGGTTATGGGACACTATTAATAATTGGTGGGTTCCCATGACATTGGAACCCATGTCATGGGATGACTTGGGAGCACTCCGGTGCCTCGTTCGTAAAATTGACAGTTCTTACCCCCCTAACCCCCCACCCTGCCCCGACCCGAACACACCCCCACCCCCTTCAATTGCACCCCACAATTTAATTTTGACTTTGGAGTCAAATTTTGACTCCAAAGTTGAAGGGGGTGGGGGGGGGTGTTTGGGTCGGGGTGAGGTGGGGGTTAGGGGGGTAGGAACCATCAATTTTACGAACGAGGCACCGAAGTACCCCTGGTCATCCCATGACATTGCCTGGCAATGTCATGAGAACTGTATACATGTTTTTAGGGTAATGGCTACATATGTTGGGGGTTCACTTGGCTAGCATGATCCAAAACCAAAAATCAATTATAAATAGAAGGGGAACCCTTATAAAAAAGGAAGCTGTGAGAATATTAAATGAGTGACAAGTGACCTAAATCACATACATACATACCATGATGGATAGAAAGACTGATGTTTTTCAGTTCATCAACAAATGATCAAATCCACCGCCTGCTTGTAGAGGAACCCGGGGCACTTGGACGTTGTGAAGTAACTGTTGTAGCCACCTTCGGGTTGTCGGGTCCTCCTGAAACAATACAACATAACTAATTATTACACAAAGAAGGGGGGGGGGACACATTCATCAACTGAACACTAGTCATTCCTCCCTCTGTTTCACCAATGTGTAATTCTAATATTGGTTTAGGCGGCAAAGTTCTTTTGACCTTAGAAAAAAATGACACAAGTGTTTTGGGGCACCTACAGTGCTCCGTTGGTAATATTGATGGTTCCTACAATCCTACCCCCCTCCGGAAACCCCAATGTAGCCCCCCCTTGCCTTCCTCCCTCCTCTAGCAAAATACTGCCGGTGGGGGGGTGGGGGGGGGGGTAGGAGGGGGGTTAAGGGGTAAGAACCATCAATTTTACCAACGGAGCACCATAGGTGCCCGGGTCATTCTTTCCTAAGGTCAAAAGAAGCATGGTGTAGTTAAGATACAACTACTAGAAATTTTTTTTTAATTGATTAACTAAATTTAACACACGTAACTTGTTGTGATGTTTTTTATTTTTACTAAAGAAGTACTCGTATTAAATATAATGAAAACTGCCAGCTTTTTGTTCAAATGTGACTTTTTTTGGGACAAAAGCAAGTTTTCAAAAGGACTCTTCAATTGGAATGGAGGGAGTAATAAATGAAAAATATATACCAAGTAGAAATGGTAAACTATACGTACTCGAAGGCAGCTACTGAAGGGAGTGGCATCCCTGAGCAGATCTGGAAGGCAACTCCTGAGTGCATCACAAGCTCTGCAGTAATATAAAAGTAAATACGGACCGCATTATAACTCCCGTTCAAAATAAATATTTTTTTATACTCTAAAAACTTTATATAGATTTGGTGAGGAGAAGAAGATGAACCTTGCATTATCAGACAAACGAAGGTAGCAACGGATTATATGCTTCAGCAGTCTGGAGGAAGGCTGCTCCGCGAGTGCGGTCACCATATTACCCAGCACCCTCCCTACGGCAAAGAACCGCTCGGCTGTAGTGCATATATAATCCAACCCCATATCATCTAGAAGGATCTTTTGCACAATGAATGTTGCAACCTATTAGCAGAAGCCATTAGTCAGATAGCATATTCATCAAAGAATCTTTCGCAAAATGAAAGTTGTGGTGAATCAGTTCCTTTGTGCCTGCAAATCCCGTAGAAACCACTTACTGTTTTTGAGAGTTCGCTACCCAACTCCATTGTGCGCAGACAAAGAGGAATTATTTCTGTTGATAGCAGAAAATTGATGACATCACTGTCATCCACCTACAAAGATCAGCACAAAAAGATGACATCTATTTTGTTTTGAACATAAAATTGAACGTTAGTTGTTTCTTTAACTAAATTAGGTGTGATATGCAAGCTTTTAAGTATTTGAGGGAGCACGAATGAATTTATATGAAAAATGAATATATGAGTGTTGTGTCATGAGGGTATATACGGAAAATTGTTACCTTCACAAGGGCACCGATGACGCCTAAGCTAGTAAGCCTAAGAAATTCAAAAGGCCTTGACTTGCTTGTTGTATTAAGGAAAGGATACAGGTAGAGAGGAATATGGGCTGCATGTAGAAGAAAAACCATTCAGAAGCAGTTCAAATGAACTCAATGACAATTTTGAGAGAGAAACAATACGTGCATAACATATCAACATGTGTGCAATTTATTTAGAAAGCAAGAAATATTGTTCCAAAAGCTAAAAACAACTTGGTCATTTTCGCTTTTAATCACCAACTCTCTTTTTTTTCGACTTCTCGTGTGCGGCTTTGCACTTCTTGCTAATTTTAGCCCTTCCAAACACTTAATTTCGGAAAACATTCAAATGATTTTTCACCAGATAGATAGGGATTGGAAAATGAAAGTTGTTGACCAAAAGTGAAAATGACTTGGTAGTCATGAAACCCAAAAGTGTAATATTTTACGAAGGATATGCTCATATGCCGCAACCGAATCCTTAACCAATATAGAAAAGTAAAATGCTTACCATTGAGAAACAACAGTCTGGTTTCATGGTGAGAGGCCACACACTACAAAAGATAACAAGACAGCTTAGCTCCCGACATACAAGGATCAAACCAGTTAATGCACATAAGAAGACATATCGTAATGCAAAATCCATCAAGCCACATTTTTTAGATTCTAACTACTCTCAGACAACATACCAAACAAAAAACGTACCTGAAGAAGAGCAAGTGCATTACAAACTCTATTTGATTGTGCCGGAGTCAAGTTTGGTGGTGACAAGACAGGGTATATGGAGACAATTTCCTGCGAGCATAAAGCACAATCTAAATAATTAAGACATCCATGGAAACCCAAACATAACCTGGAATCAGTTAAGCATTAACTACCACTTTTGGTCATTAAAGAGAGAATATTTGCTTCCAATTTTTGAATTTTGAATGGATGAGATTTATATGGGTAATTGAGCCAGATAGTTGACTACGCGAATCCATAATCACAGATTTTAATGACAACTATATTACATTATACTGAAACAGAAAACACAAACTTTTGTATGTTCCAATGATTATCATCAGTTAATTGCTAATTAAGAATTAGATGGTCAGATGATGATTCTCAGTGGTGTCCCCATATTCTTGAAAAGATTTGGCACTTTTCTTGGGACGAATTCGAGTATAACACAAGCCGGGTTTCGAATTTCTAAATCATATATTCAGATTCCTATCGAAACAATACGAAATATGATGCCCAAAATAAGAGATGATAAAGTAAGATTCAATTCAATAGGAGTTATAAAAAAACAAAACTGGAAGAATACCTGCAAAAGTGCAGCAATGGTACCAAATGAATTCCACAGTAACGGGGCCAGATCTTGAAACAGCTCTCTCTTCTTGGAGAGTTCGAGGAGAGCGTTTTCGCGGTGGTCGGGATTGCTGAGATCGAGCACCAGCTGCTCGGCGGATTGCATCTTTCGGTCCTTATTGGGCTGAGCTCCGACTGCGGAGGGGGATGGGGCGGCGGGGCCGCCGCCGAAGGCGGCGGCGCTGATCGAGAGATTCTGCGGGAGATTGGCCATGTGCAGCAAGCAGAGAATCACTGAGATTTCAATTTACTCCTCTTTGTGATCTGTTCTTCCTTCGCCCAATTTAGGTCTGCTTCGTGATTTCTTCTGGTTCTGTACAAGGTCGGGGAAAAATATGGAAAATAACGCTGTCGTCCACTCCCTATACTATTCTACCCATTATTTATTTTTCTTATTTATTACGGAGTATTTTTCATTAAATTAGTTCTAAATTATAAAACCAAAATAATAAAATATATTTGAATAAATATTACGGAGAAATAGAGTTAATAATGATAAGAATCAAATTGTCATCTTAATTTTTCATTCTGCACTTATACGGAGTACTATACATCTATGTAAAACAGACAATATTTAACCAACAAAAATAATTTTAATTGTGAAATATAAAAAATGATATTACATAAAATTAGATGAACATGTAAGGCGATCCTTTTTTTTTGCAATTTAAGAGAAATGGGGGTTATGTTATGCACAACACATACACATAAAAGTTCATGTACTTCTAAATTCTAATATAGAAGATATTATAGGATGGGTAGATTAATATGAGTAATAAATAAATATGATATGATAGTTATGTTAATAATTAATAGAGAGAAAGGTAAATTTTAATTAAAAGTAGAGGTATTTTTTTGAAGTGAAAATGTTTTTCTGAAATGAAAGAAATTTATAATTTTCATAGAAAAGAGATTACAATCACATGTTTCAAATAGTCTAAAATAGAGTTAAAAGTGTCAAAGTGTGTATATTTGGTGGTAAAATCATTTATAAAAAATTTATAGGAATGAATTAATTTTTATGATAGAGTGTGATTAAAAATAAAAATTCACTAAATTTATCTTTAAAGATTTTCTAGATTACTGAAAGACCATTTATTTTCAATAGGAATGAAATAAATGATTTTAAAACAATTAGAAAATAAAAAATTTAAATTTGCACTAATCAAAAACATATTTTAGTAATTTTACCACTTCCAAAAAGAAAAAAAATTACTCCGTATTACCTTATTTATTCATTGATAAAGAAGTTTCTATTTGATCTCCTTAAATTTGCCAATTTCTCCCACATATACAAAGCTCACAAAGTCAATATCGAAATAACCCATTTTGTTCGCGTTCTTCATCATCTGCTCATTAGGGTTTCTTCGACTCTTCGTTCCCAAATCTCAATCAGGAATTCAGAGGGCTATGGATCTGGACGTTGTGGGACGGCACGCTCTGCTATTCGACGACGATGCGATGGCGATCTTCGTCAACTCCGCCGATGCGCTCGTCGAGTGGAACTCTCTCCACATCGACCGCTACGACGTTCGCCACCTTCTCTCCGGCCCGCCGCCGCAGCCTAAGCGATCGCTTCATTCTCTATCTCACGCGATCGATTCGTCACTTAAAGCGGAGCTCGATCTGGAGCGTTATCTCGATCTGCCTCCGTCTGATGATGATCCAGGTAATGCATTTGGTGCATTTAATTTGTTTTGGTTGTCGTATATGCCTTTTTGTCTTTTAAATTTTGCTCAGCGATGGGAGGATATTTCATTCTGGGACTTTTTTCTCTGGTGTGCTGAAGTATGCTGACGCTATTTGCTGGATGATCGTTTTGATTTAAGATTTGATGTTCTCAAAGCACAGTTCATGTTTGTTCAAAGGAGTTCTTTGAGAAATGATGATAATGATTACTAACTATTCAATATAGAATAAGAACGATATCTGGTGACTTTAATCATTAGAATAAAGAGAGGAATGTCAGTAATTTCAAATTTGCAATCTGAAAATAGGAGTTTGCAGTATGGATTGGCCACATAACTGACAAGGTCAACTTGAAAATGTTTTGGCTTTCCACTTGTTAGAGCAAATGTATATTTTACTGTTACCGCCTCTATAAATGTGTTCATTTTTATATTTACATAATAAGTTTTCCCTGCAGAAAAAGATGAAGAAAGCACTTCCCATTTGCTTAATAATACTGGTGGATACCATGCCATTCCCTTCTCTTATGGAAATGCAAATGGTATTGCTGAAGAAGTAAACCCGGAGTTTGGGGTGGAGACTTCTGCATTTCGCCCACCCTTCAATGTGCCTGAACACCTTCTTCAATGCTTGGTAAGTTAGTGTGTTTCAGCCTACTTTGCTGTACTTTTATGACTGTTGGGTATTGCAGTTGCTAACGAAGTTTCACCGTGTGGATGTGACAAGTGCCTTAATTGTATATTTTTTCCTCACCGTGTCTAAGTTTTCAGAGCTCAGATGCCTGTAGCAGTGATGGAGTTATTGTCATCTAAGTTGCCATTCACAGGCACCTTGTTTCCTTTGATGTCATGATCAAGAGAGAGTGCGGTACAGGTGGGATTAGGAATATTAAGTTTCTTTACAAGGACAGTAATCTATATTGCTTGAGAGGGAATGCTCTACTTAATCATCATATTGTAAAAACTCTGCTTGTTGGCAATTGCTTCACACGCCTGATTGAATTTTGATCTTGTGATTATTGTGTAAGAATCAAGTTTCTATTTGATTTCTCATGTACTTCGAAGCCAACTTCTTGACAAGAAAGGTCTTGCTTCATTTATTCTTTCAGCCACCATCTGAGAAGGCTCATCAGATAATAGCAAGGACTGCTCAATTTGTTAGCAGACATGGGGGACAGTCAGAAATTGTTCTGAGGGTGAAACAGGGAGATAACCCAACATTTGGCTTCTTGATGCCAGATCATCACCTACATCCGTACTATAGGTATCTTGTCGATCACCAAGAGCTTTTGGATTCTGATGGTGACAGGAAGCCTCAGCATGAAGAAAGAAAGGCTGTTGGTGAACCAGATGGTGCATTATCCTTGCTTGGTTCTGTTTATGGATCAGGAGAGGACGAAGATGTTTTGATTGAGGACGTCTCTAACAAAATGACTTCTAATGAAGCTGTGGATGCAGCCCCTATTGCACAGGAGAAGGATGAATCTAGTGAATCAAGTGCACATGAGCTTAGACAAGAAATAGGTTTGCAACATCCACTTAATTTTGGTGGGTTAGATAAAGAGAAGAGTCAACTACTGAAAGAGAATCCTTCAATCAGTGGATCCGAGAATGGAGGTACATGCCATAAAAAAGTGAAAGATGATTCTATTTCTGCCTCTATTCAGGCAGCTTTAGAGAAGCTCAAGGCTTCTGGCCTTGGAGTAATCATAAAGAATGGACCTGTAGTTGTAGAGCCTCCATCTGATTTGAAGAAATTGATTGGAAGGATTGTTGAATTCATACTGAAGAATGGGAAGCAGTTTGAGGCAACACTTGTAGAACAAGATAGTAAGCATGGACGGTTTCCATTTCTCCTCCCATCCAACATGTATCATCCCTACTATCTGAAAGTTCTCCATGATTCCCAAGAGGTGATGTCCCTCTCTCTCTCTCTAACATCTGTGTAAAAAAGATTTGACTCTCGCCTCACATTTGGGTTGCATTAATACATCCGGTACTATTACAAATTTATGCATTCCAATTTGCATGGAGGTGTTTTACTCAAGTTATTATATTAATTTTGATTGGAACTGGGGCTGTTTGTGGTCATTTGGTTATTTGCATGAACATAGCTTTGCAAGTGTTATATATCTGGCTCTGATGTCATTTAATGAACACAACCTTGTTATCTAATTTGTTTATGAATATGAACATAATGCACTATCTCTCTTGCCAAGGAGTGGTACCTGAAGGCAATATTAAGATCAAATTCGATTTGACTCTTTTATGGGTTTTGGGCATGTAAATCCAGGATTAGCAATTTGGTAGCATAGATTATTGAAAAACTAACCTTGATGTTATTCTAAACCCTTTTTTTAAGTTACTTTTCTCTCCAACCTAAACAATATTTATCCTATTTTGTTACAGTCAAAAGTCAGTGGCAAGAGCTTCCCGTCTGGGAGAGATGATTCAATTTGGCGACCACAAGAAAAGAGAGCATCACTCTCTAAGGGTGGCAATGCTCTAGCTTGTGGATCTGGTGATGGAGACCTGCCTTGTGAAAATGATAAGGAGAAGTTTAAGATGGTGATTGGGAAATCAAAGAAGGAACCACAAGAACAATTGAATAAAGTTCCACAGCAAGAGAACGGGTTCAATTTAGATGCTGCTTCTGTTGCAGCCATTCTTCAAGCAGCTGCTAGGGGTATCAAGAATCCTAATATAGGAATATTCTCAAAAACTGATGTGAATGCTAAATCTAATGCAGAAGCTAATTTTTCTGAATCAAAGTTATCTAAGGAACAGATGTTGAAAGCAGAGAGACGAAAGAAGGCAAAGATGTTTGTGGCCATGTTGAAAAACAAGGCTGCTCCGTCTAAAAGCGAGCCTTCACGTGAGGTGTCATTCGAACCTCAGGATTCTGGTCAATTAAATGATAATAAGTCAGACCAAGATGGAAGGCTGAAGTTCATAGATGAATACAATGAGAAGCGGTCAATGAGAAAGTACAGGTCAAGATCCGGGATTGACGAAGAGGATGAAGATGGAGTAAAATGGAAACATCAGTCTGCCGGCACAGACCACAAATCTTTAAGGGTATGCTTGAATTTTGGAAAAGGAAAACAAATTACTCGTACATGTTTGCATTTACCTTGGAAAATACAAAGGATAATCTGCTTACTAGCAAAATACTTTGGAAGAATAGTCTTTGACATTTTCGCCCGAAATTGGGTTTAACAAATAGGCACTGAAAAATGATGGTTATTGTTTAAAATGTTGAGTATAATTGATTTCTTAGTCTTTTTATGTTAGAGATAAGTAAAAAAGAAGAGTTTGAACATTTATCTAAAACAAAAATTACTGAGCCTGAATATTTTTTATTATTATTATTTTCCCTTGAGTGTTATTATCTTCTAATTTGCCTTCATATTTACTTCCCATTGCATTTCATGGGGTCGAACAGAGCCCAATGGATGATGAGAAAGGAGAAGAAAGTGAAGACGCAAAAGATCACAACCGTTCCAAGAGGAAGAAGCATCACCAGTCACATCAATCAAATGAAGAGGAGGCTTCTGACGTATACGAAGAGGAAAGGATCAGGCATAGACACTCCAGCAAAAATCATCTATCCCATAATAAACATGATGATGATGATGATGATAGACACTCCAGAAAGAAGCATCGATCCCATAATAAACATGATGATGATGTTGATGATAGACACTCCAGAAAGAAGCATCGATCCCATAATAAACACGATGATGATGATGATGATGATGAGGATGATGACGATAGACACTCGAGAAAGAAGCATCGATCCCATAATAAACATGATGATGATGTTGATGATAGACACTCCAGAAAGAAGCATCGATCCCATAATAAACACGATGATGATGATGATGATGAGGATGATGATGATAGACACTCGAGAAAGAAGCATCGATCCCATAATAAACATGATGGCGATGATGGAGAAGGGAAATATCATAGACACAGTAGAAAGAAGCACAGATCTCACCATTCCTCGCATCACAGAAGCAGACATGAACAGTCAACAAGAGGTTCGAGTATTGTTGAAAGAGAAGACCTAGAGGAAGGAGAGATCAGTGGGGGCGGCAAAGTATCGGATCAATCCAAAGGAAGTCTTGGGGGTGGTGCCATTACAAGAAGCAGAGAAGCCTCCATTGATGTTTCTAGTCCACAACAAGTATCAGCTTCTCAACCTCCTGACGATCTCAAGGCCAAGATACGTGCCATGTTAATTGAAACAAGAAGGTAGTTTCCCATAGTTCGCTTTATTACTTTCGTGTGTTGCAACACATCTACAACATTGGTCTCTTGCGAGGATTGTTTTATACAAAACCCACCGTAGCATTGGAAGATATATTGGCATATCGATTATCTTCCCAAAATCTCATAACAATCCGAAACCGACACAGTTCTTGTTTTCACAAGTTTTAGAGCTAAATATCACTTTGGTTTTGTTTTTCTCCGATTTTAGTGGCGAAATGGGTTCAAATTGTTATGAAATTTTGGGAGGATATATGAATGTCATTTAAGTGTTGTAAAACACTACATGTTGTAACTTTAGCTGACCTCGCATATAAATATTTATTTTGGGTGGGATTCCGTTGACATTGGAATCCATTGTCAACGGATGACACTCGCCCAAAATGACAGTGACACCGGAGTGTAGTGTCACCGTACACACTCCGGTGCCACTAGAATCCCACTGATTTATTTTTATTTTAAAACAACGGATTTTAATGTGAGAATGGTAATACTTGAGAAAGGAGTACAATACATGGAATATTACAGATCACTTCAAAGACAATAAATATACATATGTACAAATGGATATATGTCTCCAGTTATAAGTGCTCCTAGTAGGGTTTTTACATGAAAAGTCATATATACATAATGAGTTTTATTTATTACTCCGTATTAGGGAAGAATTTATTTTAATTTTTTTGTAGCAATCTCCAAGTTTTTGCGTAGGTTATGTAGTTCTTCTAGAGCATCGCGAGTCCAGCTAATAACTATTGCCAGGAATAGAGAAAATCCTGCGGTGCATATAATCAAAAATATATTATTGGATTAGTTATACTTAACAATATTGAATACGGAGTAGTTACTAGCAACAAAAAAATGCACCTGAAATTATTTTATGGCCTGTTCAAGAACTTAAATTTGAATTCTAAATTCAAATTTCACTCAAACTATATGTTTGTAAATTGAAAAATAGAAATGAGTTTGATTTTCTCCAAGTCACTTTAAAACTTAATAATTCCATATCTAAAGAATTGGAATGGATTCTTACTTTCAATCACTTTATCAAATGGTAGATGAAAATATATTTAAAAAAACATGAAATAATTTGATGCATGAAAAGTGGCTATACATAATTTTTACAATACGGGGAAGGGAATATTATGATTATATGTATACACTCTCTTCATGAACCTAATTTGTTTAGGATGATTGACTGAAATCATTTTTAACATAATTTATTCAAATAATATTTTAAAATTATAAAATAAAATTTATATATTACTCCATAACAAACTAATTATTTTTTTTATAAAATAAAAAGTGATATGATTATATTATACTTCATATCATTTTAACAAATGATTAAGGAATTGCAAAGAAGTAAACAAATACAAAAAAATGTGACTTTAAATAATAAAGTGAGTCGATTAAGTATATACGTTCACGTACCTAAGAATGAGGCTTCGAGAAGATAATTAGGAAGAATAAGAAGATGATTAGTGGTCCTCATCTTTGACATGTTGTAGAAAATGGAGATTAAGATCATAAATAATGTCCCAAAAACAGAATTAGCAATGATTGGGCCCTTCCCTTTCTTTAACTTGCCTAATAATTTTACCAGTGGCTTCCTCAAAGGACTCTGAAACAGTAGAATTATTATCATCCCTTCTAAGAATACCAAAACATATAATGGTAGAATCATTTTAATTGATTTGTTTTAACTTATTTATATCTATCTATCTATTATAATGTGAACCCACTCCAAAATGGTTTGCAAACCTATATAGTTTATAGGAATGTATTTAATATGTTAGAGTTTCTATGGAATGGGACTATATATAATGTTAATATGCTTTTAAATTGCTTGCATTGAAGGAAAGAATGTGAAGAAACCTCTTAGTTTGGTGCAATTGGGCGGTTAGGAGCTCCTAATGCCAAAAGCATATTCCTTGATAAAATTGTTATCATGCCTTTGTGTTATTACATTTATTCTTATGTGACAGCATTTGAAAAAAAATGAGACATGATAAGAAGTTAAGAACATAGATATATCTCACACTCCTAATTTTAATAGCAAAAAATTGATTAGTTTCAATGTGAAAATACCAGAGAATACCCGACATTGAAGCAAATAAAAAGAAAATGAAATGCACCCCATGTGAATATTTAATCCAGGGGCGGCTCAAAGTAGGGGCAAGGTGGTTACTTGGCCAGAGCCCATTTTGAATGTGGCCCAATTTTTTGTATACCTACATGTATATATTTATTTATATAAAATAATCTTCATTTATTTTTAAAAATACAGTCCTAAATCATTAAATCTAATAAACTATGAAGAGGTGATCAACCTATTTTCTCTCAAGAATAATACGGAGTAGAACAACTTTACGAGTCTTTAGTTAGGCATCAGAGTTCGGAGTATATAATTGCAAACTCATAAGACTATGAGTCTGACATTTTATTATTACTACAATGTTATATATTATTAAAAAAATTAATTGATAAATTTTAATTTTTTATCACACAATGACGCATTTTCTCCGTGTCGGACAGGGCCCCTAATTCCTTGGAGACGGCCCTGATTTAATCTTCCTTTTTTTTATATGGAGTTTAAGGGAGGTGAAATATAATAATTAAGATTTGTGAGAAATAACCACATAGTACGGAAGTATATATTTTTTAAAAGTATGTCAAGTCAAAATAAGTAGACAAATTTCAAAATATAAAAAGCGTGACTTTTAAGAAACAAAATAAATTCAATATTTACTTTGGGTTAACCATGTGCGCAAGTAATTAATTAATCACGTTTCTTGCGTTTTGGTTAAGAAATGTATCCATTTTTTTACTATAGATTCTTTGCCAAATCCATTAAGAATCAATTAGTATTTGATATGGATTTTTTGGAATATTAAGAATAAGTTGGGATGTGTACGTCTATCGCTAACGCCTGTTTGACGAATTTTGTAGAATTAATGAGATATGAGTTTTAAAATCTAAAAGAAATTATATGACTTTTGAAATCAAAATTAAAATATTTTAGGTAGTGTTTGGCAACTAGCATTTCATTTCAATTCATGAATTTCAATTCCAAAATTTGAAATCTTGAATTTCAAATGACAAGGGGAGGTGCATGGATTTCAAATTAAGCTTTGTTTTGAATGTAAAGAATTTGATTCAAATCCAAATTCAAAATGCTTAAGTTTCCCAAACATGGAATTTAACCCAAATCCGGATTTGAAATCCAAATCCATGTTTCCAAACATACCATTAAGAAATTCACGGGAGCGGCTGACAACAAAAAATGAACAGATCGTTCTATGCCCACAGTTGCGGCCTGTTTGGTGAGTTTTGTAGAATGGATGAGATATGAGTTTTAAAATTTAAGAGAAATAATATGCACTTTGAAATCGAAATGAAAACATTTTAAGAAATTCACGGGAGCGGCTGACAATGAAAAATTAATGGATGCATGTGAACGACGATGGGAGATGTCAAAGCCCCCATACTAATATTATTGATATCTCCCAAGTTCAGGAAATATCAAAACTTAAAAGGAAGTTTTGATATCTTGTGATATCAAATCCAAAACCTACCCACTTACCTTTTTTATTTAGTTGCTTTACAAGGACAACAATCTACTTTGCTTAAGAGGGAATCCTCTACTTAATCATAAAGTTGTAAAAAGTTTGCTAATTGGCAATTGCATTAGAGAAACGTGATTCTATTTCTGCCTCTATTCAGGCAGCATTAAAGAGAAGCTCAAGGCATCTCCTCTTCTTGGAGTAATAGTAAAGTGAAAGATGGTTCTATTTCTTTTTAAAATATAGTATATACACTCATTTTCGAATAAATTCAATAAAAAATAGTTTTAGTCAAACATCGTAAACAAACCAAATAAAAAAACTTTTTTTTCTAGACAGAGGGAGTACATATATAATCCCTAGCTGCTAAAGTTCAGGAGGCTCCTTTTATCCAAGTTTGTGGACTCAAATGCAGGTTTATAAAGGCAGATGCACACCTTATTGAGAGAGAGTATACATTTACTGTTTCACCATGAAAGAGCTTTTACAGCTACATCCACCCACTGCACTTGGGTTTGTAGATACCTGCACATCAATGAGAGGCTCAGTAAAAATTTACTGTAAGATTTACTGGTTTTGGTTCAACAATGGTGCCAGATGATGCATTGGCAGTTGATTCAAGTTACAAACCTGAAAAGCAGAACGGATGAGCTCCTCTACGTAATCAACTGTTGCACCTTTGATAAAATCAAATGAGATATTATCGACCACAAGTTTAACTCCGTCCTTCTCAAAAATTCTACACATTCAAAATTTGGAAAACAGAAGAAAAATCAGTATTTAAACAAATATTGCATACGTCACAACGGGGCTAAAAGAAATGCAAGAATATGAATAACATTGAAATTGCGCAAAAAAAAAAAAACTTTCATAAACACAATATTACGGCAATGGAGGTAATGAGGGAAGCAGTTATTGGTGGGCAGCTACAAAACAATTATAACCTTTTGGGTGCAAGATAGTACCTATCATCTGCATTTGCCTTGCCATCTAGGGAGAATTCATACTGAAACCCAGAGCAACCACCAGCTTCGATGCTTAAGCGAAGCATCTTTTCATCGGGCTCACTGGCTTGCAACTCCTTCATTCTCTAATATCATGCGTAAACATATGAAAAATTTGAACTTCATTATCAGAACCAGTAATGCAGCTATGCATCACGGGTCCAACAAAAACAATCCCCTTTTTTTGCAGAAGTAAGATTTCTCCATGCACAAATGGAGTTGGGATTATACTTGGTTGGTGGTGGTGTTGATGTTGTACTATTAGAATCAAGCAAAATAAGAATTTTGGACACAGCTTTAGAGAACTATGTTATTCTATATGAGGGAGCCAATTGCCTTTGAAGCAGAACACAACCAAATTCATACCATAAAATCAGGAGAAAGAGCATTTGAGCTTAATGACTTGTTGGGAATGCAACCTAGTCCCACACCGGAAAAAAAGAAAGAAGAATAGAACCAATATTTAATGGTTCACCCAACTTCATTAGTATGAGGCTTTTGGGAGATGCCCAAAAACAAATCCGTGAGGACTTGGGCGACAACAGACAATATCATATTAATGCGGGGTTGGAGTGAGGGCACACACAGTTACAACATGACTTGAGCACACCAATCCAACCAACTAAATTGGCCCTTCCACGGCTCTTCGGCTAAACACAACTAATTAGCTAAAATGATTGAACATGCTACAAAACTCTCCAGCATGAATTCAAATGGCCAGGAAACTTTCCAACTCAATTTCTCATATCACAACCCTATAATCAAGTCACATTAGACCTCTTGATTTTTGTGCATGATAATAAAAAAATGGAGGAACATCAATTACAAACAATACCGACAAGGAAATGAAACAATCACACGAAATAAAATGAAATTTGTCCAGAAAAAAGGAGCAATGAAAAGATTTCTCATACCCGGACGCAATTCTCAGTCATGAAAACGGAATCGTTCTGAGACTTGAGCTCCGGGTGCTGTTCCGGCGTAGCAGAGGATGAAGATGGTCTAGAACGAAGGAGCGCGGCATTTAGGCGGATCCGGGAGGTCAAGAAAGGGGCGGCGCGGAGAATCAGAGACCTGGACTGCGGCTTCATCGCCATGGATTATACGGAGTAATAAGCAGCGGACCATCGTGTTCGTTAGCGGGGAGAGAAGACGGAGAGCTCAGACCGTAAAAGCCTTATTTAAAATTCCAGATCTACCCCTCCTCAATTACTCCTGGTTAAGGCTTGAAGCGTCCTTTCAATGCTTTTATGTTAAGAAAGACTTAAGAAAGACCAAATTATTTGTCTTTGATTTTCAAGTTATTACGGAATATTAGCTACTCCATGTCCCCCTCATTCTAGAAAATTTTTCATATTTTAACCTTTTTTTGGTCAATTAACTATAAACTAAACATAATTTGAATAAATAGATGTCATAATAAGTTAATATATCAAAATTATATCTTAAGATGAATTTAATTATAATGAATTTACATTAAAATTAAATACGTAGTATATTTTTTTCACATTTTGTCCGTTTCATTGTTTGACAAAAAAAATTAAAACAAAAAAGATTTTCTGGAACGAAGGGAGTACAAATTAAATATTCCCTCCGGTTCTAAATACCTTTCATGTTTTGACTTTTTTATTTAAATAGTGACACTTTTGATCATAAATTGTAAAAAAAAGTATATTTAATTATAATACAAATTCAATATAGAGATTCATTTTAGGATATAATTTTGATATATCAAATTTTTATATCATTTATTTATTTAGATTATGTTTAATTTATGATCCAAGAGTGTGACTGTTTGACCAAAAAATCAAAACATGATGTTTTTTAAGACCAGAAAGAGTATAATTTTAAATAAATAAAAGTTATAAAAAATTGATATACTTAACATCACAACTACTCCGTATATCTTAAATCAAATTCAATTATATTAAATTTACATTATAATCAAATATATTTTTCTCTCAATTTATGGTAAAAGTTTTTTAAAAGTGAAAGACAAATAATTTGAAACGAAAAGAGTATATTGCAGAGTACTTTTTTTTCTTTTTATAACTTTTCAAAAACAAAAATATACTCCGTATAAAAGTGTAATAAATATTATCATTATTAGAACCATAACTTTTATTTCAAAAAAGATATTGTATCTTATGCTCTGCGTTTAAAAAAGATCATATAACACATACTCTACACTTATTTTGGAGTAGAAAATTAAAACAAATAAAACTATATTTTATTTTAAAATAAAGAAGTATTTTTTCAAAATGTTAATAATTTTAAAATGTATATAAGTCAATACCAAACATGGGATTAAAAATAATTTAAAAAATAATAGAGTTAAATTAGTGTGTGAGCAGAGTTTAATTATGTAACACAACAATGGGGACAAGATTGGGTGTAATCACACACTCTAATTACACTCTCAAAATACGAAAGTGTGCAGAGAGTAATTACAGTCCGATGACCAAATAATAACAATTCAGGTAAAGACTACCTTAATCACTTGCCATTATATATGGGTACCCAAAGAGCTCTAAGTGCCCGTTTGGCATCAACTTCAACGTGCTTAGTGTTAGCGTTTTTAAGACTCTAATGGCAGTGCTTAACTTTGAGATTTTCCAAGTTAATCTGCACCATTAAAAAACACCTGAAATTAACACTAAATGAAAACATCCCCCCAAATAAGACCTATAAAATTATTTTAGACAACTCTCTAACCTCTTTTAGATTGGATTATCACACCGATAATCGCAATTCCAGATGCTGCATCAGGCATTTCTTGAAGCTGTCTTCGCATCCATTAAAAGGCAGAATTTGTAGGCGCGAACAGAGCACATGTACGTCATAATCCAGATGTTCAAAAAGCTTGGGATCTCTATAATAGTCCTGTTAAACACAAGGGTAACTCTAAGGGTTAGTTTGGGAGTTGGGATTTTGGGTTTGGAAGGGATGCCTTTCGGATGCTTAGTTATAGAGAAATAGCTTTCAGGAACATCGTGAGAATACACCTTATCGTGAGAATGGTGCATTTTTATGCCGTCACGATGCATTATTACATTGCGGTAGTGCATTTTCGGAACTGGGTTTTTTACCATAATGCCACCGCGTTTTTTCAGATTTTTTTCAATTTTTTTTGAATGTTTCGAGCCATTAGATCTTACATCTAATGTACGAGATGCATTCTTATTTCTTTCGTTAGATCGCATTCTCTTTTGATTCAAAATCTATATGTATATATATTTAAGAGTATATAGAAATTAGTAAAACCATACTCCAATTAGTCCTATAACATTTTAACCACCGTTTATTTATTAGGATTGCGTATCCATTGTCAATGGAGCTAAATGTCATGATTGACAATGCATTTGCTTTGGATATATAACGGACTAAATCGAAATGACACATTAAACTTCATTTGCTTGTTACTTTCAATGAAGGTTTGGGATCAAGGCACCAAGCCTCTAATAAGGCTTTCAAAGTCTTCCACTCCAGGCTAATCTATGATGTACTCAAATAGATCCTAGAGGAAATATGTTTTGAAGGGAAATAAAACTCTAGCACCAGCTATAGTCAGGTTTGGAGTTGCATCTTACTGCAAAGAACTTAAATACAATTGGTATGCAAAAGATAAGCTCACCTTCTCAGTTATCACCATAATTGGAACTGCAGAAAATTCAGATTGCAGTTTTTGTAGTCTCTTTTTTATCTTGTCAATATCCTACAGATATTAAGAAACAAATGTTTACACAGCTCATCAACATAAATACGGGACTAAATAAAAAGATCAAGGAAAATATTTGGGGATCAAAGAATGATGAATTTTGCATTTGATTATGTGCAAATGAAACACAGGAAATGGAATCCAAGGGAGATTACAGAGAGATTAAAGCCTTAACCTTGGGTTGAAAAGGATGGTGGTCACTGAAGTCCAGTCTATCAACATGCATTGGTCCCATCTGAGAGAAGCCAAGAATCTCTATTCAAATAAAGGAAAACTGCTCTTTGGATCCTTCAATTGACCCGGATTCTGCAATGCAACCCATCATTGTCGATGTGGCGCAATTCAGTTCCTCAATCATTTAAATGTTGAAAATTAAATCTCTCGCATCCTAATGCTAACACCATTATTGAGAAAACAACAGAAAAGGATACACATGCTTCTACGATATTGAGAAAAATGCGCAAGTTGAATCATTCCAGGGGTTCGCCTAATCTGGTCTAGTAAATGTTTCTGAATTTCCCTAATTTTCTTGTATGAAATATAACCTTTGTTCTAGCCTGGCTTCGTCTTATGGGAACCGTTCTGGTCTCAATGTTGATGGTGTTGTCACTCTTGTGTGATCTAATTAAAATAAAAAACAAGTAATAAGAAAAAAATGACCTTGTACAGTTGTCTAGATAATATATTAAAAGATTTGGTTTTCAATAAAGCACAATGGCATCGTGTGATCTATGTGGTCGATCCCACCTAGTGGGATTTAAGGCTCAATTGTTGGTGGTGATGGTGGTGTTGTTATTTTGTTATTAGAAATAAATAGGTGAAGAAATCATCACCTTAGTTGGCAATGTTTGAAATAATTGAGGATTTGAGGGACTAGATTTCACTGAAAAGATAATGAGAGACTACATTGCATAATCAAGAATAATTGAAGGACCAAAAGTGATTTTCCCTGTCAATAATGTTGGGAGTGTTGCTGTGAGCTCAAAATAAATGTGTTAAATCTGGAAAGAGCAGTGCAGTGAAAAAAAAAACCTTCTCAATCCTCCGCACAAAAGAATCAGCAAACCCAATGGCAGAGACACATAAGAGGATTGCATGAGATATGTCCTTCAAAGACAATTTGTACGATATGTTTCCTACTTTCACAAAGTGCAAAGGAGCCAGCACGCTGAAGAATATTGGAACCAGTTCATTATATTTTCGAACCATTGCCTCTATGGCTTCAATATCGTGCTTTGATACCTGCAAGATTTGTTCAGTCATTTACCCATTATTGCAGTTATTTCATATTTATAAACATTAAGAAAGCACTTCAAAAGCATCAAAAATTGGTACCATGTCTGCATGATGGACTACAACAACATCGGCACGGTTAAGGGCTGAAAATGGTTCTCTTAAAGGTCCGAGAGGAAGTAAATGATGGTTTCCCCAAGGCACCATTGCATTCACCATTACGATCTCAATGTCACGCTCCAAACTAAGATGCTGCCTTTCAATTTTGATAACACAAAAACATCAGGAATAGCCTTGCCTTTAACTAACTAGCCAGTCTTTATGAACCACATTTATGTTTAAACATCATTTTTAGTAATATGCAAAGGTATTATAAAAAATGTTTTCTGAAATGCTTGATCGAATAAGGCATTGCTTCTAAAGTTCTCAGAGTAAATAAGTCATATAAAAAGCTGGACATTAAATCAGAGAGATGGAAGCTGTGTTTAGAATTCAAAAATTGTAGGAAAATGAAGAAAAAATGCAAAGGAAAAAATGTTATTAAATGTTCGCTTTTACCTTGGAAAATATGAAGGATAATCAAAATTGATTAAAACTTTTACCACATATTTAGATTTCATAGAATTTATAAAACAGAAATATATAGTACGGAGTAATAGAATGAGTTTGAACAACTGTCTAAAACTAATTTGTGGAGTACAAGACGATTTCTTTTTTCCCCTGACATTTTCTTCCTTTCCAATTTTACCCTTCATCTTCATCCCCATTTTCTGAATTCTAAGTGGACCCTAAAAGATCACCGTCCATACTTGTGACAGTAAGCATCTCAAAATAAACAGGAAATATACAGGACTAGGAAAATGGCGAGCAATGGATGATATAAATTCATCGACCTACCTGCATTCCGTCATCTAAGATGGCAGCCCCAATTTGATCTTCATAAGAATTTGCACAATTACTATTTTCAGACGAAATCTTCTCACGACACATATAACCAAATCTCCGGAAGAATTCGGAAGCAACTGCAGCCCTGTTCGCACCAACGCCTATCTTAGCAGTTGTCCCCTGAAGATGCCTCTCAAGCATCTTAACCTCATCTGCACCACCATAACCCTGCAAAAAAGTTGTTCATATGATCTTAGTAGAGAGTAGTACTGAGAGAGTGTATGGTATATCGGCATTGTGTTTCAACATAACTTTAGAGCTTCTACTTCACTAAAATATTTGGAGTGTTCGATAATCTGTTTTGGTTTATGGATTATGACTTGAGAGAAGTACTTTTCAACAAAGCTACGAGTAAGTGTTTATAGCTTCTGACTTATCAGTCATTTTCCAAGGAGCTAACAGACCACCGAAACACCCTCAAAGCTTAATTGCATATTCAGCGGAACCCTAATATAGAGCATATGGATATGAAATAAGGAAATCGAATACCCTGGTGAGAATAAGAGGCGGAATTCGGGAATCAACCAGCAAACGAGCGATGAACTCAACCATCGGAGTCTTGCCATTGCCTCCCCAGGTCAAATTCCCGACGCTAATCACCGGCACCGGCAACCTTCCGAAACAGAACAAAACAAATTCAAGCCGACTATTCGGAAAAAAAACAAAACAACAAAAAATCGAAGGAAGGGATAATCGGAGAGAATACCTGTGCTGGCGTAAGATCCCAAGTCGGTAGAGAAGTCGCCGGCAGTGGAGTGCCGGCCGGTAGAGGACGGAGGCGAGGGACAGAAATGGGATCAGAGAGAGGTGGAGCGGCGATAGGGTGGATAGGCTCTGAGAGGGTGGAGTGTTGGCTATTTGGGTCACCAGTTTTGCCAGTTTGTCCATTGATGAAAAGGAGGAGAAAATAGGGAGCTCAAACTACTCAATGCAGAGTAGCCTACCGCCACCTATTATGGTTATTCAAATTTTAGTTTGATTTTATGTAATCAAATAACATGAACTTTGATCTGTTTATTGTATCATTGCTGTCCGTGGATTGTGGTTTGGTAAATTTACATTGTTACTCTTTATGATTTTAAATTTATGTTGTTGTACCTCATGGTTCTAATATTGTTATGTCGCAATGTCCCTTTAGACTAAAATATAGAGCTGGCAAATCGGTCGGTCAGGTCGGGTTCGGGTTCGGTCACTTCAAGTTCGGGTTATTTCGGGTTCGGGTCAATTCGGGTTCGGGTTGAGAACTGTATGTTCATGACCCAGTGTCATCGGGTTCGGGTCGACCCAACGGGTTATGACTTTGGTTTTTTAAATTTTTAAATTCACATTAACAATTACATTTTTTATTAAATAAATTTAAAATATCAAAAAAAAGTGTTAAATCTATAAAATTATTTTATTTTAAACTCTAAAGTAGTTTTTAGATATATAAATCAATATAAGGAATTTAAAAATGCTTAAGTTTTGGAAAAAAGTAAGATAATTATGCAATATCATTAAAATTTTGTCTGAAAATATAAATTTATACACTAAAAACGAGTAAAAAAAGTGTATAATTTTGAAAAATTCTTACTTTAGCGGGTCGGTCTGGTCGGGTTCGGTTTCGATCGGGTTTGACCCATTTTTAGCGGGTCATTTCGGGTTCGGTCAACTTCGAGTTCGATCATCAAAACCTTTGTTCAAAACCCAGTGTTTTCAGGTCAGGTTTCGGGTCAAAAACAAGTCGGGTCTCTTTTTGTCAGGTTTACTAAAATATAATTCAAATATTATGTAAATAGCTTTATTGCCCCCTATGGTTTTGAAAATTGGCACAGACGTCCCCTCTTTTCTTTATAGTTTTCTTTTTTCTGCTATTTTTTCATAAATGTTTTTAAATTTCTTTTTTAAAATTATTTTTTATAATGTTTTAATAATCAATTTGTTTTGTGTTTGCAGTAAAAACCAATTAAATGGCAAAAATTAACATACACTTCATTTGTCTCAAATTAAACACTTTCATTTTTTGTCAAAAAGATAAATTTATTGGTTCATTTCATTATACGATAATCAATTAAATATTCTCTTTTTTTACTAAAGCTCAAATCTCATTTTATGTTCATTAATATTATATTGTTTCTTTTATTTTAATCAAAATTAAAATAAAAGAAAGAAGAATAGAAATGAAAATAAAGAAAAAAAGTATATGACAAAATACTTTTATAGGATAGAGAAAATTAAGTAATGAAGGAAATCTTTTGCGCATTGGTCTAAAAAATATTATTAATATATAATTAAATATATATTAAAAAAAATGTTATTCAGTATTTTTTGAAAACATAACTTTTTTAAACAAAAAACGAAAATATTAATTTTACAAAATAAGTATATGTTGAATTTTTTATTTCAAACACAAACATTTTTTAGTTTTTAAAACTTTCTAAAATGTAGGTTTGAAAAAATAATTTTTCATTATTTCACACACAAACATTTTTTTTCTTTTTATGAAAAAAAAGAAAAGAAAAAATAAAAACAAAAAATAAAAAACGAGAATGGGCATTGGCGCCCATTTTCAAAACCATATGGGCACCAGAGTTATTCACCTAATATTTGAAGGCTATTTTGGTTTATAGGGCATTGGTGTAGCAATATCAGAACCATGAGGGACAACGACGTAAGTTTTAAAACCACGAGAGTAACAATACACATTTACTAAATCACAGGGGGTGTTGGTGTAATAAACTCAAACTTTGAGCTTTAATTATTCTCAAATTGTAATGTATTTTAGTATAAAAATAATTTAATTAGGTTTATGAGTTCATCATTTTAAGAATTTTTAAGATTGTATTTTATTATACTAATATGAAATATAAATTGAAAGTAATTGAAGCTTAAAGTTTATCTAATTTGACTCGATCAAACTGGACGAATACACTGTATAAAACTGATGACTAATTGAGAGTAAGAACATCAACAATGGCAAGGCAAAAATGATATGCCACACGATGACGTGGAACATTTTAACAAATCAAAAATTGCCCAGTCAGTATGTGGCAAGTGAATGGAGTGGCAAACTCTACAGTGGCAAGTCATTTTTTTATCACTTTTTTTACATTTTTTTTATGTTTTTTAAACATAGAAAAAATATTTTTATTATTTATTTTATCAAAAAATTATTCTTCTTTCTTATACATTTTTTTCATAAAGGAATTTTTAAAAAAATTAGAAAAAAGAAGGGTGGAGTGCCACACTCATGCCTCACCAAGCAAGGCATTTTGGCTTTACCATGTAATGATATGAGTGGAAAGAGCTGATGTGGCAGTGCAAGACATTCACTTTCTTTGCCACTGCACATGCTCTAATAGAAAGCATGTATTATAAAGAAATATACTACGGAGTATATGAAATTACTCTTAAAAAACTCCATGTGCCCCCGTTACTTTTGTAAAGAATGATATTTTTTATGGAATTTATTTCAATGTTAATATATAATTAAGAAAAATTATTCGTTTCGTTTTTAAAAACCTCTTCCTCTTACTAGTTTAGGCATTCAATAATTTTTCCTTACGTGTGATTTTTTTTTGTTATTTGATAAAAGATATTTTACATCACTTGTTTTTTAGAATTTTTGATATAGTCTTAAGTACGTTAATTATATTATTTATTTTAATAGTATTATGTAAATATAATTATTTATGAAATGAGATTTTACACGTTATTCGAAGTAAAAAAATATTTTTGAACGAAGAAATATATATTTAAAAATCACAAAAAATATTCTACAAAATAAAGCGTGAGATAATATATACTCCGTACTTTTTAACAAATGATAAACGAAAATGTGTATTTAAAAATAAAATCTAGTTTGACAAAAATTTGGTGATTAGACATACTTGCTGGAGACTTCGAGAATTTAGAGAGCTTATTAAAAAACTCATGATATAGGCTAACCTTGTCAATGTTTGATGATAACACTAGAAAAGTCATCCAATAATAGAAAGAGTATTAGTCTTCCATGGTTTGAAGCCCAATATATTTACTCTAACTTTTTGTCTTGATCATTCTATTGTTAAGTACTCTCTCCATTTCATATCTTTTTTTCAAAGAACTATTCCAATTTCATGAAAACTTTTATTTATTTACATTTTTCATTGTCTATATGATAAAATAAAATTGTGATCACTTATTTTGTTAAATTTTTTATGCAGTTTTTAAATATATAAATTTTATTTTTTATTTCTATATCAATATTTAAATAAAATAGATTGAAAAAACATAGGATTTTTCTTTATTTTGAACAACGGGGAAGAAAGATAGATGTAATGAGTACTTATTAGGTCAATAGGTGCATCTTAGAAAATAGAGTATTTCGTATAGACTTTTTCACACTTCATCAGACTAAAAAAATTTTTACGGAATGCATTTTAATTATCATAAATTTCTTTTCAAAAAATGATAAAAACAAAGTGTGTAATAAATCATTTTTTTAAATAAGCGAGAATTGCCGTAAGTTTAGATAAAACTCATAAAAGTACCTCGTAGTACGTAATAAGTGGATGACATGATAAATTTTACAGATGGTATCCAAATTTTGAGCGATATATCATTCTGAACCTAAACTTATTTTCTATCGTAAAATATGTGAGCTTTAAAGAAGTTTCACAAAAGTACTTGGAGCTTGTTTCTAGGTTACGGTTAGATCACTTTGGACGTTATTACAAATTTATACTCTCTATATTTCTAATTTTTTAATTTTGACCTCACCGTTTTTATATCAGATTCTCTCTTATTTCTTCTTCAACATTTCCATTTCCACCCTTTTTGGAGAAGAAATAGAAGAAAAATATAGTATGAGAAAAGGAAAAAGGAATTGGTCAAAAGAATAATATAAATTTTAATTATGATCAGAGTAACTTGATAGTAATCTAAAAACTGGTTTTAGATACTTTTGCAAATTTTTTTTAAAGTTTAGGTAGTTTGACAAGAGGGGACAAGTTGTAAGTATCAAAATGATATAACACTCAAAGTTTGAGTGCCATGAGTGAAACTTATCCGGATGAAATTGAATAGATTTTGAAAACATTTTATTTCAAGTTAAAACATCAATAAAAAACAAAAATTACATATTAAAAAAAATATGTCAGTAGTTTTACAAAATTAAATTAAAAAATAGTTTCAATTAAATTTCGTAAATCCGAGAAGAAAATTTTAAGATAGAGGTACTATCAAACAAACATAGTTACAATAAAATAGTTTCAATTAAAAAATACGAGTAATTTCATTTTCTAACATTTTTGTTACTGTATTAATAGGCTGCATATTAACGCCGGCTACTGTGTAGCCCCCGAGCCTGAGGCTCGGAACCCCAAAGCTACAGTATGCTACATGGAAAAAAGCAAAACGCACTAACACACACAGAGCGAGAAAATGATAATCGAGAAAAGGAAGAGAGAGAAAGAGAGAAATGCGATGGCGAGAATTTAGGGAGGAGAGAGAGAGTTTTGAGGGTTTTAGAGAGAGAAAAGGAGTGGAGATAGAAAGGATGGGCCAGATCGTGAGGAGGGGGAGGAAAGGCCGCCCCCCCAAGGCGGATCTCGGCGGGAGCCGCCGAGCCGCCACCGCCGCGGAGACGGAGGGAGAACTCCGGCGGAGTAGCCGGCGGCGAAATGTCAAGTACACTTTCGACTTCGACGATTTCCTCGACGACGAGGATTTCGAGGAGGAGGAGGAGGAGGAAGACGACGAGGACGACGGCCGGAAGGAGAAGAAGCTCGAGCTGCTGCTGAAGCTACAGGGCGAGGACGAGTTGACTCGCAGCCGGAACCGGCAGTCTTCTCACGCTCAGCCCGCGTCAGCGTCAGATGAGGAGGACGACGAAGAAGATGACAAGCCATCTAAGAAAAGAAGAATCTCGCGCCGCCACGATGATGAATACGAAGAAAATGAGGACGGAGAAGAAGGTGATGACGCTGATGATAACGAAAATGGAAATCAAAATGACTTCGAGGTATACTAATTGTCTGGAATCTCAGCTGAAATGCTCAAACTTTCTGATAGATGAATGGTATCACTGACTCACTGAGGCATGATGAAATTAGCCATAAGCAATTATGTATATACACAGACTGGAATTCTGGAAGTTCAATTCACACAGGTTTTGTATGTGGCCCAAAACTCTGCATAGTTCTATTTTGGGAACTGATTAGAGGGAGTGTATATGTAACTGTCGGGTTCAACTGTCAAAAGGAATTCCCCACAGAATCTGATCACCCTGCCCATTACCTTTTGTCTTTGTCTATCTTATGCTGGCATGCTTCCTCTTTCTTTGTATGAAGCATGCATTTATTTAGCTTAAGACTAGTCTGGGAGGTTTATAATGTTTCCATTAAACTTTCTACAGGAATGTGGAAGAAAAGCAGAAGCTAGAAGTTTTGAATCTTCTCCAGGTCTAGTAGCTCTTACTTGTTGGGTTTTGATGTCCTTCCATGAAATCATTGTTTCCGGCAATGGCTTAATTGAATACGGTTCCGTTTGAACAGGAACACCATCTGGACGTCCCTCCCCGTTTCCGCTACCAGACAAGAAGATGCTAGAAATAATCCTGGACAAGCTTCAGAAGTAAGCTTTAATATTTTCAAAGAAATTGTAAGTCTTTTTGTTGGTTAATTAATGTGCAGTCGCATAATTGTTTTATTTCAGGAAAGATATTTATGGTGTCTATGCAGAACCGGTTGATCCTGAAGAGGTAAGTGTTTGAGGTCATGTGAGGGAATGTCAATCTTTTCTTTCCGGATTTAGTGTCTAAGAATGTTGGATTGTTTAATTTGCAGCTTCCGGATTACCATGACGTGATTGAACATCCTATGGACTTCTCAACCGTGAGGAACAAACTTAGAAATGGATCGTATGCGACATTGGAACAATTTGAGGTGAATATTGCAATATGCTGTTGTTTTAACGGGTTTCTGATTTGGTTTTATGCTCTTTGGAGTGGAAGTCAATTTCTAGATCCCCTGTTGTTGGGAAACTAAATTTCTACTCTATTTCTTTTATCTCTCTGCATTAACAAAGTCTTTACTCTTAACGAATCAGCTAAAATGTGCTTTAACTATATATCCTTTTGTATTGTGGTTTCTCCAATATTTTAAATATTTCGGTGGTTCCTGCCCATTACTATATTTCCATTTTAATTTTTATAATTTCATCAGAGTGAAATATAGTTCTAGATATGTGTTTGAAGTTGAGCATTTTAAATTAGTATCGCATTCAAATAATCTGTTATTGTTTCAGAGTGATGTCTTCTTGATATGTTCAAATCTTCTATTGTTTCAGAGTGATGTCTTCTTGATATGTTCAAATGCAATGCAATACAATGACTCTGATACCATATATTACAAACAGGTAGACTTTCGTCATTCTTTTACCCATTTTCCTTTTGATGTTTTTGTTTCATCTTCTAATTCGCACCAGGTCATTATTATTCAATAAATTTTATAGGCTTCTTCAATCCAAGAACTTGCCACACGGAAATTTCAGAAAATACGAGTCAATGTTGAACATACAGAGCGCTTAGAAAAGGTCAAATCAGATCCGAGGCCAAAATCAAGCCCTCTTGTGAAAAAACATATAAAGAAACCTGTGGGCAGAACAGTGCAAGAATCTGCTGGCTCCGATTTCTCATCTGGTGCAACCCTCGCGAATGCTGGAGATGCACAAAATGATTCAAATGCCTTCCCGGGAACCTCGGGCAGAATAAACAGCACTGATGGGCCTACGGATGGAAATGTTTTGTCACCTGACAACTTGGACATGGAAGAATTACATTCAGGTGAATGCAGTCTCCTTTCTATATGTAATTCAGATATCTTATTATTTTGATCTTCTGCACTACTCTCTCCATTCACTTTTAATTGTCCTTGTTGCTTAATTTTTATACATTGAAGAATGGGCAAATGTGCTCATAAATTATGTACACAAATACACAATCATCCGTTTTCAATGTATGTAGTATCAACAAAGCAAAAAATAGGACAATTGAAGGTGAATGGAGGGAGTTAGGAAAAATTTTATTTCCCTGTGGGTTTGATTCATTGTCTTTGTTTTGAAAACAAAATTGCAATAGGGAAGGGTCATCTCCATAGATGTGGAAGAAAGTCAGCCCTACAAGATGAGAATCGGCGTGCAACTTATGAGATATCAACTCAATCTGCTTGCACAAGTTTGGAATCATTGTTTTCGACATTTGAAGCAGAAATCAAGCATTTGGTTCCTGTAAGTAGACTAGTGGTCTGTGGCATAACTAATGGTATATGTGTTTTAATCATAAGTAGCTTCGCATTTTAAAACTTCATAAAGTGCTTTTCTGAAGATCAGAGCACCAATTTGCTGCTTTCTTAAATAAGCACTAAAAGTTTTTTATATGGTTAGAATCATTTTTTCATCATCTGACAAAAGCTTTTTTCTGAAGAAAAATTACTCTCTGTCCTCTACACAGTTGTTAATAATATTGAATGCATGACTTTAATGCTTATATATTATTTTTTTTCTGGATTATCAGGTGGGGCTTTATGCTGATCATTCATATGCAAGGAGCCTTGCTTGTTTTGCTGCAACACTCGGGCCAATTGCCTGGGAATTTGCATCTAGGAGGATCACACAAGCACTCCCTCCCGGGTTAAAATTTGGTCGCGGTTGGATTGGGGAATATGAACCACTTCCCAGCACAGTATTGATGCTCAAGAACCATACCCTGAAGGAACCTTCGTTTCTGGCCAAATCCACACAGAAAGTTAAGGTTGAGAAGAAGAAGGTGGAAATGATGGAACCTAAGAGCATGTATGAAGTGAACCAACAGTATGTTTGTCCAAAACCTCCCACTCCGAATAATATTGAAAGCAAACCTTTTTTCCTCGGTTCTGGAAAGAAACCTCCTAATTCTTCTAGTCCCCGATACGATCCTCAAAACTGTCCCTCCCCAAACTTCATTAAACCTGAGAAAAAGCTTATAAGGCAGTTCGAATTGAATTCTCAACCTCTACCCTGCAACCAAAGTAGCTTTGAACCAAGTAAGGTGGCTAATAACATTATTGAAGTACCTGCCGGTTCAAAGAACAGAAATCTATCATCTTCTTCTGCACCTTCCCAGCTACTCGATGCAAAAGGAAAAGATAATAGCCGCCATAGCAATGCGGCTACTCGCCTCTCATCTGTTGGTGGTTCTGATAATGTTAACAAAGGTGTTACCTTATTTCCTCATGGACAAGGACATGGGCCAAGTGATTCAAATAATGCTTCTGCAGTTGCTGCTCGCGCTTGGATGTCAATGGGGGCATTGGGGGGTTTTAAACAAGCCAGCGAGAGTCAAATTTCTGCAGAGTCCTTGTATAACCCATCTCACAATTTTCAACTGCAAAATTTACAATATCGTCCCTCTTCTGGGATGCATTTCCTCCCCGGGAAAGGAATCTATCCATTTCACGCCTTCATGCCACATACAGCTAGAGGGGTAGTGGGGATTGAAGGCCAGGTCCCTAACAGACCGGTGATGTTCCCACAATTTGTAGGACCCATTGACCCGTCTAGATTCCACCCACGACAGAATCTCAATTCACATTCTGCCGTTCAGTCAAGACTGAACCGGGAATCAGTCCCTCCCCCTGACTTGAACATTAGTTTTCAGTCTGCCGGGTCCCCTCCCAGCAGGCCATCTTCGGGCATTTTGGTCGACTCTCAACAGCCAGACTTAGCCTTGCAACTGTGACAAGTTCTCTTCAAGAACTATCATATGAAGCGACTCGAGAGCAGTTTCTAGAACTACATATCATTCAATCACACATCGTCCCACGTCTCCTGTTTGGGGTTCTCGGACAACACGGTCTTTTCGTAATTGTGGAAGCATATATAGTCTGAGGTTGGAAATTGGAATCAGGTAAGGTAGTAGGATAATAGGGAAGCATTAGTTAGGGGTGGATGAATGTTGTAATAATATACTGTAGTTAATTTGGATTTAGGTTATTTATCTGGGGTTACCCCCAAATGGAAATCAGCATTCTTGTACATTTGTTCACAGGAAGTTTGCTTTCTTCTATATTTATTGTTCTTTATTTCTGATGTTTTAGATTATTCGTCCAGTTTGCTTTGTTTGTCCATATTTGCTGTTTTTATCCTTTTATATTGGGGGCAGTTCGGATGACATGAACCCCCCATATCCTATGACATTGGCCCCGATTAGCGAATCTACGATGCTCCGTTCGAAAAATTGATGGTTCTTGTCCTCTCTAAAATCCCCCACCCCGATTTGGCCTGAATATACCTCCGCACCCTTGTCAATTGCATGTCACAAGATTTAGTTGACTTTGGAGTCAAATTTTGACTCTAAAGTCAACTATGCGGGGATATGTTCATGCTGGGCTGGGGTGGGGGGGTTTATCGGGAGTGTTAGATGGGGGTAGGAACCATCAATTTTTCGAACGAGACATCGTATGATCCTTGGGTCATCCCATGAAATTGAATTTCAATGTCATGGGAACCAAGATGTTTATTTATTTGGGGTGCAATTTGTTTTTCCTTGTCATCGCACCATTTATTTAAAATCTAATCAAGTTTGATGATTTTGGAAGTTTGCTTGTGTGGGTTGTTTTTTTCTTTCTTGTTTTGTTTCTTGCTTCCAAGGATAGAATTGTGTAGCTATTTTTTTCATTTAAAATGAACCTCAATCACATCATGTCTCATAATGTCTACTTTAAAAACAACACACAATTTTGTTTCATCCTCCGTATTTGGTTCATTTACCTGTGAGTATTTATTCATACAAAGATAATTCTGTTGTATCACTATTTTGCATTATTCACACCTCTGTTTACTCTAATACCCCTTTTGTCTCGAACTATTTGTTTTTTTCTTTTTGATTGAAATTGACAAATTTTGATAATAAATTAAATGAAAATGTAATTAGATATTGATACAAAAATAATTTTATTAGAAAATTTTAAAAAATACTTTCAAAACATTATTTTATCTAATTAATATACAATATATATATTTTATTTGATTATAAGTTAAAAATTAAAAAGAGTTGGCTGCAAAAAGTATAACAACATTGTTTTTTGGGGTTTATATAATTATTTGAAGTAAAAGAGTTTTTGACACCAAGGGTAGGTGTCATAATACCACTCATGTAATTTGAAAGTTCAACCATGCCTAGGCGTGTTCCTTCAAGAAATGTATTGATATTTTAACGGTTCACACTGACACAAAATGTTAATTCACTTACAAAATTTTGCACCGATATTTTTTGTTGATGTAAACTATCACGCTAGCATAAGATGTTGGTGCATGCATTTAGGGTACCAAATAGGGTACAAATTTTAGTGTACAAATAGTTTAATCGTTCAATTCTGAAGTGATTCTTGTAAAGGGAGAAAAAGATCAAAATGGTGAGATATGTATGTGCAAATAGAAAGATTAGATGTAAGATGTAACAACACTACATTTCCACAAGTACATTGGATTGAAAATTGTTCAAAAAAATAGAAAGGTCTTTTGACACACATACACTCATAGTGGAAAGGCCTAACATTATTTCACTTGCTTCTCAAATTCTTCACAATGAATAGAGGGATATTCATATCTGCTGAAGACCCTAAATGCAGAAATCACAGCTAAAGAGACAAAACAGCAGAGCACAATGGCAAGCAGAGCCAAAACCAGCTTCAACCTGCCACAGAACTTCCCATAAGAACTGCACACTTCCATCCACGTCACCTCTTCATCGCCGTTATATGCCAAATAAACGATCTCTGCAAACGCTCCCACGGACGTTACGGTCACGTACGCAATAATCTGCGCATGTTAAGCATAATCTAAGATAGGATTCGGTTCGAAAAGCCAAAGTCTAAAACCGAATCTAGCTAATTATTTTGGATTAATATCTAATACTAATTTTATAATAAACTACCCTAAATAGAAGTAAAACAAAAAGTAAGTACAAAAATATTAGCACTATGTTTTTATTCCAAAATAAAAGTTTACATTGTGATAATGTGAAACTATATATTGACATTTTATAATACTCCGTACTTTTTTGTATAATTTTCTGAAGAGAAGGCAATTGAATTCAATGAGGGGATTTCAGATTTGAGCTGTACTCCAAGATGGTATATCCACTACCTTCTCGCAGATACACACAGACACCCACAGTTTGTTTTACACAAACAATGGATGTCTGTGTGTCTGTGAGAAATTGGTGTTCATATTTGAGGTACACTTAGTTTTTTTCCTTCAATGAGAGAGAGGGAAGGTGGTACCAACCTGATCAGAGAGAAAGAAGAACCATGCTTTGGAAACCAGACTTCTCATCCACAAAGCCACGGCGGTGAACAGTGCATATCCGCCACATGCAACGCCCACAGCCACCGTATACCTTTTTAATTATATTCCCAGAGTTCATTTATTTATATGTATATTTGTATAAGTCCAATAATGAAATCAAAGTGACTTTTCCAAACACATATAGAAATTACCGGAGAGCCCCGAGGTGGGCGAAACTGAGGAGCACTCCGTAGCTGCTATTGGCCTGCCGGTCACTCACTGCGAGCCAGACGGCGGCGGCCAGCCTCAGACAACAATCTACGATTTTGAGCCGGGAGCCATCGGAAGCTACAAACCCCATGTGGAACCAGAGCTCCCGGGCCAGAATATGGCAGAGGATCGGAGTGAGTTTTAAATGTGGAGGCCTTTTTTTTTAAACTATTACTACTACGTATTAAAGTAGTAGGACCGGCCGAAATTATTTGTTCAGTTTTGATTTTTACAATTAAAATTAATAAACATTGATCACTAATTGAATGAAATTGATACCGAGTACTAAATTTTGATACAAAATTAGTTGTATTAGTTATATCCTCTAAAATATTGTTTTTATTTAATCCATGTACGGAGAAACATATAATTTTCATTTATTTATACGTCAAAAGTTTATCTTGATTAACTACAAAAACTCAAAACCGAACAAATACTTTGGGAGACAAAGAGATTATAAAACTATCCCATCCGTCCAAATTGACTATCTCAGTTTGACTTTACAAAATGTAAGAAAAATATTGAAAAGTAGAAATTGAGTGATTTGATTAAAGAAAAAATTGGGGGCCATATACTCATTACTTCCTTCGTCCCCTATAGATCTTTCTATTAGTTCTTTTTATTCATCCCCTACAGATCTTCTCATTATTTTTTTTTTAATATTTAAAATATCGCAATTACCTCCACTTACTTTATTCATTACACCTCACTCTATTTAATACGGAGTACACTCTAGGATGAACTATTAGTAGGCGGTAAACTACGAGGTGGTGTTGTTGGCTAATTACCGAGTATGATTATGAATATCTGAGATATCTTAGTTCAAATAAGAATAGAATTATGGAGGTTTCTCGCATCTCTTCCATTGGATCAGTGGAGGAGGTAAATCGCAAAATGTGCCACGACCGATCAAGATAACAAGATTTTTTTGTCACGATTACTCCAGAATCCAAACTTGACCCTCCAAATCACCAACACGACTCAATTGAGATGTGTCTCATGTGGAGTGTTTTGTGTGAAAGGAAGATGGTGGGGGGGGGGGAGGGAGAGAGAAAGAATTGATTTCCCTTTTCACAAAGGCAATGATGATAATAATGTCAGGAAGTGGGTGCCCTTGTCTTGTTCACAACACCATGAAAGTATGAAACCAATTAATTAAGCTATTGGTCAAACCACAAATAATAACACCCTCCCCCACTCTGTGTAATGGTCATGACAACTTATTTTGGAACAACAAAAAAACATGCAATTTAAAATGGGACGAAATGAGTATTTTGGAGCCAGACTATCTGGTCAAACCATATAATAACACCCTCTCCCACTCTCAAATGGTTATGGCTGAATGTACAGAGAATGAATGCAAAAGTATGCTGTGCTTGGGTTCCACTCTTACCCCGGGTGTCCCACACCCCGACCCAATAGCACTTTGAGTGGATAAATTATGGTATAATCTTAATATGGTCTTTAAAGAAGTCACCTCTGTCCTGCACTTCTACTTGTTTTAGCTCCATCACTATAAACGCACAGTAAAAACCAAAAGTACTGTAACATGCTGAGCGGTACAAATCCTTCCTTCCGTAGACCGTACTCTTGTGGGATGGATTGTTGTTATTGGATATCCAATTCAAAGCCATTGCCTATGAGTGTGTGGATCTGAAGCTGTCTTGTGATCTCTCTCTTTTAAGAGAAAAAAGTATTATGGTTGGAGAAAAAAAAAATAAGTTAACTTCAGTTGCAAAAAAATTGAAATAATTAAAAAAGAAAATTATAAAACACAAAAAAAAAAATTGACTTTTGTCTCAGTTCCATCTCGATATAGGACCTAAACCAAAGACACAAAAAGACCACTAGTGCAGCATTGGTCCAGGACCGAATCAGTCATCTACCTCAATTGAAGGACATAATGAGATCCTTGGTCTTGGACCGGACCGGTCTCAACTACTCTTGTCCCGATCTTCTCCGACCCCGGTCTTGAACATTTTTGTTTAAGTAGAAAATGTGATATTTATGTAGCAAAACAGTCTAATAGAGAAACTGGCAACATACATTTTCAATTAACAAGACAAGTTTGACACTTACCAATCTACCAACACAACATTCTTTTTTTTGCATAGGTAGTATCATTCATCTGTTGTTGTTGTTTTCAGTCCTAAGAGAACACAACAAGTCTCGGAGGCGTCTGTCAGTGCAACTAACCTTTCCAAAAAACACGAATCCTTGCAAGGAAGGCAATCATAAATCTTCAGTTTCTGCAGAACGCCGTTCTTCAGAAGATAATCAAACAATTTGAATTCATCTTCTTCCCCTTTAAAAGCCCAAACCTCAACCTTTTTCAGATGCATTTGCAAACAAATAGGTGGCTTTGGAAGTAAAGACTCGAATTTCTCATATCCTCCTTTGTATTCCGTAAATCCCTGCCATGAAAAAGATGGATAATTTTACAAACGGAATACGGGTACGTAGAGTTGAACTAGAGATATATGAGCATGAAATCCACATTGTATTCAAGACACAAACCAGACCTCTTCGAATGTGAGCTTTTCAAGATTAGGTGCACTGAGAAGCATGCATGCCAAGAACTCCCATCCATTCAGTCCTGGAAGGGATCCAAGTGCCAACCAAGTCAGATTCTGGAATGGGGGAAGTCGCGCTTCTGCTCGAAGCAAAGCCTGTAAACAAGTGGAATATGGTCAGACAATTTGTTGCTAGATAAAGAGAACTAATAGGATAAATTGCTCCTAGTTTAACAGAATATAACTAGTTGGCAAAACAAGTTCAGACTAGTTATGTGAGCACCCAAAATGGAAACACACAAATAAACAAAAGTTATTGAAGGATGGGAGAAACAAAATTGTAATCAATTGTGGGACAGAGGGAGTATTAAGTTCTATTGTCTAGGAGTCATAAGCAGACACAACAAAAGCAGGAATGAGATGGGAAAGCTCACCCCAATCGAACACGAAGCTAGATATAGGTTGCTGGTGCTGGAACAAGCAGTAACAAGCTTGGTTACACCATCGTCATACTCAAAGAGAGCTTCATCATCACTGTACTCATTTATCTCATCAAGCAGTTCTTGATTGGGCCCAACATCAATGTGAACCGTAGTAAGAGACTTAAAATCACTCACATTATACCCCAAAGCGACGCAATCAGAATACAACAACATTTCAAGATTTGGAGCATCCAGCTCGAGCTCGCATGAAGAATTGGTCCAAGAATCCTCTATGACCAAGTTCTTGAGCAAAGGTGACTGAATAGAGAGAACTACCAAGGATTGCAAATCACAACTTTCCACCCATAAGTTCTCAAGCAATGGACATCCAGTAATCAACTCATTGATAGAATTTGTCTCTTCATCCGACAACGACAAATCATTAACCTGCAGCCTTTTGAGGTTTGGTAAAGTGAAATTTTCCAGAATGCGCAAATCAAAATTTTTACCCACTTCCAAACCCAATAATGTCTCGGAGCCATTGAGACAGCAAAACAAGTTTTTGGGAGTGAGTGGATCATCCAAGAAGACTTCAATGTCAAGGTCTTGAACCTTAAGCTTCCTTGCAGCTAGAACCCATGATAGAATCTTTGAATCCTCATAGTGCTCTTTACACTTGAGAACAAATTTATTCAACAAAAGCCTATTGCACAAAGCTTCTGCCAACAATTTATCCACAAAATCTACGAAGCTACAAGAGAGCGACTCGGACTGAACCGCATTGGGGTTTAGCAGTAATGAGTCATCGAAATCAATATTAATAGGAGGAACTCCAAAAGGGCTGATGTTTCTCCACCTTGCAGAGAGAATCCGGGCAGCCACCGCATTTTTTACGGGCAGATAGGATAAAATTGTGCTCAGAATCGGGTCGGGCAGGCCGCTGATTCGATCTACGCCATCATTTTTGGATGTTTTCACAGCTAGGGTAAAGTCCATTCGATAGATGTTCCTGATTTCTGGGAGAAAAATAAAAGGACAGACTGGAAATCGACAATAAATAAAGAAATATGAGGCTAATAATCTCAGGAAAAAAATAATCAATCATTTCATTTTGCAAATCGATCTGTGTGACTGAACTCCAGCATCATCGTCCTCAAGCAAAAAGAAATATTCCAAAAAAAAAAGAAAGAATGGAATTCGTACCTGAAGTGTGAAGATCAGTTTCCACTGGAAGAACTTATAGACATGATTGTTTTTAGCACAAGAGCGGAATCAGAGTGGCGAACAGTTAATTAGGGTTTGAGCATAAAATACTTCTTTTTCGCGAGTTTAAATTTTGCCCCCAAAACCTTCCCGGTTTTCTTTTTGTTTTTGATCACTTTCCCGGCATCAGTATAATTCGCACACGTGTCCTGGCGGTTTAATTAGAGTATATTTAACGCATGGGTCATGCTACACTTACACCACAAATTGTACCCCATTTGTACACCGTAGTTATACACAAACATTTTGATACTTTACACCGACACAAGTATTGGTGCGTTAACAAAAATTTACATGGACACAAAGTATTAGTGCATTAACAAAAATTAGGTTTACACCAACAAAAAGTATTGGTGCAAAACTGCGGGGTACAAAGTGGGGTACAAAAACATGGGGTACATATAGCTTTATCCTTAACGCATTCGAGGACAACAGTACTCATCAAAGTAGATTCCTTTCATAAGACAAGGGAAATTGACAATCTCCATTAGCATGTACTACATGTTTGATTACGAAGTACTTCTTGGTTCTTAAAAGATTTCTTTTTTTCCTTTTTTATTCATCCAGAAAGGAAGTTCAATATCTGTTTTAAGAAAAAAATGTTAATTGACTCAAAATATTTCTCTTTTCAGATTTTAACCGTGTTTTTTTCACTCTTCAACACCTTTCTTAAACACTAGAGAGGGTAGCAATCTAATTTCGGTCAGAACAATAATTTCAATTATCGTTAGCAATTTGGAAGGTATGACATCAATGCGAATTCATCTTTGCCACAAGGAAGACACAACAACCACAGTAACATAAATTATAGTACAACAAAACTGCAAACAAGAACACAAGAGGTAGGAAAATATGGAGTAAAAGTGTTCTGAAAAAATCAGATGAATATTCCAAGAAATACTTAATTCTACGTTAATACTCCAAAATTCAACAAATGACATCACTGTTCTCGAGAATACAGTTTGTCGACTGAGTCTTCTTTCTAGAAGGGTATATTTGTACTTTACCCAGACAGCAAGCAGTCTGAAGTAGCCAGGTCTCTAGAAATGCGCCAAAGCTTTACCGAAGAAGATTCGATTGTTACTATCATACTCGCTCCAATTCAAAACCATTGCCTACAATTGTCGGGGTACAAAGCTGTCTCTTTATCTCCCTCTTTCAAGAGAATTTGACATTTTGTTGAGCATTTTGGGCAGCCAGAAAATCTTGATAGAATATTGGGATCAAGAGGATTTCGATAATAGACTATTACAACTTCCTGGAGCACTCTCCCATTCTTCAAGAAATACTCTATCAACTTGATTTCATCCTCATGCCTGTAGAGTTGTAGAAACTCAATTTTCTTCAAGGATCGTTTCAAACAGACAGGCAACTCGTGGAGCACAGACTCGAATGCTGCAAAGGCCCCAACATCCCACCTCGCATGCACGTCAAATTCCTTTTAAAGAAGAGACAGAGAACAAAGTATGACCAGTAACCTTTGGAACTTTTAAAATGGGAATGAGGCTGAGATGAAAATGACATTATTTACTGCCTATTTGTGATGAAATATTGGTGTGTACCTTTTCAAACTTAAGCGACTCGAGTTTGGGTGCTTTCTGAAGAAAATGTGCCAGCATTTCGAATTTGTACCAGCCTCCAAGACTTCGGAGAGCCAAACTTGTCAAATTAGGAAACGTACACAGGGGAACAGAGTCCAGTGCCTGTGACAAATAAGAAACGAAATGGATACAAAAGACTCTTAAGCAGGCATAGCAAAGACTCTCAGCCAGAAATAAGCACATGTTTTGTTACATTCTATACACAAAAATGGATACAAAAGACAACCAAGTTGGAGATTGGCAGAGAAGAGAAAATTGACAAAGCAATCTCACCCACACGGCTGCACCATACAAACACAAACGATTGGCAATCGAACATTCTTCAAAAATCTTGGCTTCTCGAGAATAAGAATCGTTAGAAAACCCTCCCATCAGGTCAAAATCAAGTGAAGCTGAATGAAGAGACTCAAAGCTCTTAATGGCAAAATTGGCAACTTTAGACCCAGCATACACAAAGTACTCAAGATTTGGTGCATCAATTACTACAGTACATTCATCTTCTCGTTTGCAGAACTCAATACACAACTTCTTCAGCAAGTCAGACTGAATGTAAATACTATCCATACCCCCAAAATTCACTTCGACTATCGATAATTCCTCGAGCATTGGACAACCACGAATCAGTTCATTAATCGAATACCCATTTTTGGGCAGAGACATAGTAAATAGGGACAGCTTTTTGAGGTTGGGCAGGACGATATCGTCAGGAACATACAAATTGTATTCACTTTCAAACTCCAAATCCACTAATGATCCGAACCCATTAAAAAAAGAAAAAAACCCATCCAAAATACGCGGGCTGTAGGGCAAAATGAGATGAAGTTTTTTAACATTAAGACGAACAATGGCACCAAACCATGAAAAGATCTCTGCATTGTCATAATACTTTTCACAGTGAAGAACCACTTTCTCCACACCAATACCATACAGCAAACTCTCATTGAATAACCTGCTCACAAAATTTGCAAAGCATTTGCAGTACCTTGGAGGGCCTCGAAGCAGCTCTGTGTCATCAAGATGGATTTGAGTGAGGGGAACCTTGTGCGGGAAAACCTTCCTCCACCTGGTGGAGAGAATACAAGTGGCCGCCGCTTTTTTGGTGGTGAGGCGAGACAAAATCTCGCCTAAAATCTCATCCGGCAATCCGCTAATTCTATCAACACACCCATCATTCAATCGCTTTTCATCAAAAGCTTCCATCTTTACCGGAGCTATGGCCTATTTCTGCAAAATCGTTTCGAATTTTGGGAAAGATTAGGGGAACGAACGGTTTAGGGCTTTCGGGAAGAAGCCACGAGAGAGGAGTAGCTTTCCCGCCTTCTGAACTCTTTTATTTTTAGTGTGGCTACTTTGTTGGGTTTCACATTTTTATTACTCTCCCTTTCCTCCATTTGTCCCAAAATAGATTATAATTTTTTTTCTTTTTAATAATTTTTGTTTGTTTGTATATTTTTCGAGTAGGGACAAGGTCTGCATACACACATCCTCCCCAGACCCTACTATTGTGGGATTCACCTGGGTTGTTGTTGTTGTTTATTTGTATATTTTTATTAAATATTTAGTAAAATAAAATATTCTTTTAACTTTTTGTTTTGTAAAAATTTTGACGTAATTTTTTAATATATAATATTTAATTCTTATTGATATACCAATTTGTAAATAAAATAATTTAAAAAAGAGAGATTTTGTCTTGTAACTCTCAATTTGTAAATAAATTGGGGTTGGAACCAAAACATTCGAATCTTAAAAATTACTATGATAAAATGTGTGTTTATATTTTCATCTCCAATAGTTAATGCCAAACTGCATTCATACAAAACGATGGAACCAAACCAATTGATTGAATAATCATCCACTGTGACAACCAAAAAGCCTATAAGACCTTCTCTGAGTGGTGCTCTCCCCTACTCTTTCCCTTCCTGCCTTCATCTACTCCGTATTAGCTTAACTTCTTGGGTTTCTTAAACTCAAAAAGGGAGTCTCGCTGGCGGTTGCCTGGTCATGAGCACCACGTCTATGGATTTCAAGCCTAGCCCATTGTCGCAACACGCAACCCATCATAAAGGAAACGAAAGCTTCCTTGTCGGGATAATCAGGGATGTCTAGCTAAAAGCAATTCCATTCGAGCAATGTTAAAGAAAAGCACATGGCTAAGTTAGGGCATCCTTAACAAAGGGAAGCAATGGCCTACCATAAACACAACTAGAGAAAAGCTCAAATAAATCAAGCACAACAACTAACAACTAGAGGAAGAATCAGTGCAATATATAGAAAAAAAGTACTTGTAATACTGATGTATCCAGTAATCAAAACAAAGTTGAAACATCATTTGCCTTACCATGAAGCCTCCAACAACATTCAAACACAATCTACTTTTAGGGTCCGTTTGGTACACGGAATTGACGGAATGAGAATTGAATTGAGAGTAAAAATTCTATGGAATTCATTTGGATGGTATTGAATTCTCCAATTCTAAGTCCACATACTTTTGTGCTACCAAACAGCAGAATTGGAATTGTTGTCCTCAATTCAAATTTCATAGTTTGAATTTCGTATACCAAACGGAGCCTTAGTCTAAAGAGGCACAACAGAATTTCTCCAAAAGTTCTATCCCATCAGCCAAAGGAGAAACAAAAGAAAGTTTCATGTTTCTCTCATCAACACTGCATCCACTCATTTGTGTTTCTACACTTGAGGAAATGTCTCTAACAGGTCACCAGCAATAAACATGTCAAACTGAAAGTACAAATGTTTCACACAAACATAACCATCAAAAAGCTTTTTCCCCATATTCTAAATAGGATTTGGCTGTTGCAATGTCCCCAAATACCCAAAAACATGACATTTTAGGGAAAGAAAACAACACTTACAACATAAGCTGAATTTACCTCCCAAAACAGTTGCCACAATACACCCAATTCAAGCAGCTATGACCCCGTTTGGGAATAGCGTTTTCGATTAGCGTTCGTATTTTGAATAAAAATTTCAACGGTACATATTAACTTTGAAAACACTGCCCGTAGATAGTTTTTTTCAAAACGTTGACGCTAACATCTATCGTTATTCCCAAACAGGCGCTCTAAATCCCACAGGCCAAAACAGCTTCTTGCAAGCACTAATACTCAGAAATGCATCATCTTCCATCCAATTCTCATAAGGCCCCGTTTGGTACACAGAATTCAAACTATGGAATTGGAATTGAAGACTTCAATTCAAATTCTAATGTTTAGTAGCACAAAAATTATGTGGATTTGGAATTGACAGTGCAAAAAATGAATTGGAATTGGTAAATTCAATTCTATGGAATTGAATCCCATGGAATTCCAATTCCAATTTAATTCCAATTCCATCAATTCTGTATACCAAACGAACCCTAAGAGTTTCTAATTTCACTGTACAACTGAGAGCAGTCCGGCTTCGGCTGCCTCATTTTCGTCCAAGAACAAGTCCTCAGTGCCCCTAAACGAGGCGTGAACAAAAATCACAATCACAGAAATTATCAATGCGATGAGCACATTCAGACCAACGTGAGTGAAAACCAAAGACACAACCGTAACGAGGATCAGGAAAACCAAAACGGCACGATCGTCCACGATTCGGCCAAACACAGTTACCGGCGCCTCGCGGAAGAAGTAGAGCCAAATCCAGGCGGCGGTGGCGAGGAGGAAGACGATGATGGAGATCGGGTGGTAGACGAGGCTGCAGAAGAGGATCACGAGTGCGATTAGGGCGTAATTGACCCGGAAATAGCTGGCGTTCTGTCGGATCCTGGACATGGCCTCGCCATAGCCGAAGGGCAGAGAGAGGGCGGAGATTTCGAAGAACAAGCGCCACGGTCGGCGGGTGGCGTAATAGGTCCCGAGCGGCGGCGGTGGCGGATGAGGAGAGGGTTTCGCGGCGTGGCTCGGGGCCATCGGCATCGCTAAAATTCAATTTCCTGCACGTTTAAGAGCTCAATCCCAACTAGAAAATGGCATTAAGACATGGGCCCCATTTCATATGAATGTTAGAATTTAGAAGTTAGAACCTCACATCTTCTTTTAAAAAACCATCTAAAGATATATACTCCCTCCGTCCCACTTTCTTTCTCTAGTTTTGACTTTTGGAACTGTTCATCTAAGCACTTTGACTCATCAAATTCTCTCAATGTCTAAGCCTAAATATAGTCATGTGTGATCTTGTTTGATTTGTCTTAACATATAGATTATTACTCCCTCCGTCCTATAATGATCTTCTCAGAGCACTATTCCAATTTCACGGAAATTTATATTTATTTGTGTTTTTTCATGGCCTATATGATAAAATAAAATATTCTTGTCACCACTTATTTTGTTGAACTTTTGGTGTAATTTTTAAATATGTGTTTTATTTTTTATTTCTATACCAATATTTAAATAAAATAGATTGAAAAAACTTGGGATTTTTCTTCGTTTTGCGAACCAGGAAGATCATTGTAGGACGGAGGGAGTAATATATAATTTCTATAATTTTTTAATATACAAATTACAAGATAAAATGGATTAAAGAAGTGCATTGGATGGTGTGTAAAAATGAAAGTAGACAAATATTCTGGGACGGAGGGAGTAGCTTTTAACATTTTAAAATTAATTTACACTATTAAATGATTATGTTATTGTTAATTGAAACCAGTGGCGGACCCAGGAATTCCAGTGAGTGGCTTCACATTTTGTGCACGAAAGGAAAATGTTGATATTTGTATAGCAATAAATCTAAAACCTTAAAGGTAAAAAAGTATCAATAAATATCATTCTGAGATCAATATTGTGAGTGGTATGTAATATTTTTAAAATACTGTATAAAAAATATAATACATTCATTATTTTAGCCAAAAAAAGAAAAAAACTAAACAGGTAAAGTATTAATTCTAGACATTTCTTTAGATACAAAGTATATTTTAGGAATTTTTTTAAAGCAATTAAACTTGTTTATACATTTCAAAAAAAATTGAACATTTTATAATTAAGTTTCATAATGAAAGTTAAATCAGTTTTCCAAATCTAAAGGAATTAAAACAAAAATTCTACACAACTATAAATAAAATCAGTTTTTCAAATCAAAGAATAATACCTAATTACATATACTACTACTAATAAATACGGAGTAAATTTTTTTGGAGTGGGTGCAAGTGACCCCACTTGCACCACCCTAGGTGATTGAAACATGTTACGTCATTAACAAAGACATTAAATTTTTTAATCAAACAAAAACGGTCCAAATGTGGAGCAAGTGAGTCAAGTGGCATATACACTGATTGGCAAGTCATTCTTTTTTACAATTTTAACATTTTTTTTTACGTATTTTAATTATTAAAATTATTTTACTTATTTTTTTATTAAAATGAATGTACAGACGTACTTTTTTAAGGTTTCCCTACACACGCTTGTCGTGGAGGAACAAAGAAGCTCCACGAGGCAAATTATTAAGAAAAACAAACTTTTTCTTAAAATGAAAAATAAATCCTTTTTTGAACGACGAAAATGAAAATGTATAACTTCTTACAGAACAGAGGGACTACCAATTTTTGTGGACTATAATTGATAAATTATCATCATGTTTACTATTTTAGACTTTCAATAACTTTTGTTTACGTGTGCATATTCATTGAGTACTTAATAAAATATAATAGATATATTAAAAGTGAAATTTGCACTAAATAGGACTAAAACATAATGACTTTCCTAATGTAGGACTTAAACTTTTTTATTCTCCAAATAGGACTTAATAATCACCTTGTGGGAGGAATAATGTCCAGTAATGATGGACATTTACTTTAATAATGACTACTTAATAATGACCAAAGGTCCTACATTAGGAAATAAAAACATATGGTCCTATATTGGGAAAACCATTATGTTTTAGTCCTATTCAGGTAAATTTCTCATATTAAAAATGTTGTTGTAGTTTTTAAAAATAAAATTTATACGAAGTACTTTTTATTTGAATGACTTTTTTGAAAAATATTTACTTCATATAGGTCCATTTATAATATGAACGGAGCACTTCATACAGGGTCCATTTGGTTGGAATGAAGCAAATTTCAGTATACTATTTAGACAAAGGATACAAGAATATAATGAGTTAATAAACAACACAAGCTAGCTATTAAAATGATCTATTTTGATTTTTCATGACAAGAATTTAAAATGATTTAAAATATAAAAACTACACCATAAAAATTGTATTAAAGATTAATACGTTTAATATGGAGAATATCATTTTAAATAATTTTTACTAATATATTCTACGATTGATTATTACTCAAATATTTTTTCATGGAAAACAAACTGAACTAGTTTAAAACTAATGGAAGAAGAGAAATGTTTAAAGACAATAATTTAATACTGTTTTTTTCCAGATCATGTATATAATGATGGTGCTTAATAAAGATAATAAATCAATAATTTACACCCATGGAAGAAGGTATTTGTACCCTAAAATAGACCAAATCCTATGGTAAGCATAAACACCCCCTGTTTACAAGGTACATACTCTATATATTTTGTTGCAAAGAAAGACCACAAGGTGAAATGACAATTATTGCTCTCTTTGTGCCTAATTTTTCCATTTGTAGAGAGAGAAAAATAATACTTAAATTAATCATATTCGTGACCTCGTTATGTTTTTTCAACTGCTCTAAAAACAAGTTTTTATTCTATTTAAGACATAGATATTTATCATACATTTTCATTACATTTCGTGGAGAAACAGATAACTACTTTTTAGGAGTGAAAGGATCTAAGAAATAATTATAGAGAGAAAATAGAAAGACAATTATGCCCCTAGAATAGTACCTAATTAATTACTCAAGAAAACCAGTTTTGGTCAAGACAGCATTCCTAACTCTGCTAATATCCCTTCCTTTCAAAGTCCTTCCAACCCCTTCACAAACAGAGAAGGAAGAAATCTTATGATCCCTTGCATACTTCTTGGCCAGCCATTCATGTGGAGGCTCAATTTCTTCTTCTTCTTCTTCTTCTTCTTCTTCTTCTTCGTCTTCATCTTCTTCACCAGCTCCCCAGCTCTTCACAGAACCCTCCACTGCAGAATATGAAGAGCCTCCATAGATTTTTGACCAGTCTGGTATGTGGACAGGAGCAGAAGCTGTTCTGCTCTTGGATGATGATGATGATGATTTGGTGATTGGGATTGGGGCATGTTTGGCTGGTGCTGAAGTGGTGATCAATCTTGAGCTGAATTCTTCTCTTTCTTGGAGCCCATCCCAAACATCCCCTTCCTGAAGCTCTTCCTTCTTGAATGATGTCCATCCACTGCTTCCTTTGCTGTATATCCCATACCCTTTTTCAGACATTTGGATTTTTATATAATTAGAAGAAGAAAAAATGTTTAGAAGAAGAAAAAAGAAGTGTTTGACAATAATGTATGTGTATTCTCTTTCAGTCTTTTGATGATGAGATATATTTCTTATAGGGAGAAAGAGTGAAGGGGGGAGAGGGAGCAATAATAAGCACCACAAAAGGAAAGCCCACTCTACTCAATACTATGTGCCTAGGAATCAATCTCCTAGTGTAAAAATGATAGGAAAAAAAGAGAGTTGGAGGTAATAAGAGGATAATAATGTTCTCGTTCACTATTCATCGAGTCAAACTTTATTCATTTTGTTGACGTATTTTCGTTGACCATTTGATAAAATAATATAGTCACATCACATCTAGTTCTGTATATTTTTTCGTGTACTTCTAAAATATGTAAATTTTATTTTTTTTAATATTATACGATTTTTCATATAAAATGATTTGAAAATAACTTCAGTCAAACATCATAACGCGTAACATGAACATTATTGCTAGACAGAAGGACTGCTCCAAATGTAGCAATTATCAAAACATTTAGACTCGGAACGTAAAATATTCGGCCTGACCCGTACCCGTTTGCCCACCCATACCCCATATAATATGCTCCGTAATAATTTAAGGGTCATTTTCGATCATTCAAACAAATATAAACCGTATATAATTGATGATATAGGCCTCCAAGTCTAAGGAAGTAGGTGCTTGGTCAATTTCTCTTTATGTTTTTCTTTTGTTTTGTTTGGTGTGGCTATATCAAAAGGATGAACCCTATCATATGACCCCTTAAGAATAAGGGAGAGTAATTTGAAAAAAAAGCTAAATTAAATTTAGATTGGTAAATACAAAATGAGATATATTACTGATACATGTAAAAATCATATGTTATACTCGTATATGATTGTTAAAATTTACTGTAAATTAAAATTTTTCTTCCACTATTGTTACTCTTGCGATAAAGTAAAAGTGTCTCGTTGAAGTTTTAAAAAATATGTTTTCCTCTCATATAAATTTTTTATACGAATATTTGGTAGAAGTTATTTTTATTTAAATTATTAGATATTTTGTACTATGTAATTGGTCTAGTTTCTAGAGTTAAAAAATAAAATTCACCCCCTTTAAAGAATTATACGGAGTATAAAAAATTTACAAAATTATATATATGGATTAATCACTTGACATTTTAACTATATTATTTCACAAATGACCAATACAATTTTGTAAGAAATGTTTGAGTATGTAAAAGGGAAACAGGTAGAACAAATGAAAACCATAATATCTTTTTCAGGGAACCAAATTTGACACATACCTAAGTTTGTATTGTAGCCCATGCAAATTGGAACAATGGATTATACAAATTTTCATCAAAATACATCTAATTTAAAAAAAGGTTGATTAATTAATTCTCATATATATATATTTAATGAAAGTAGAATGATTGAACGGCAAACAAAGGTCATCTATTATTTTACAATAACATTAAGGCCCCGTTTGATATACAAAATGGTGATGTAATTTCACGGGACATGATTTTCAATAGTGCACGGTCCTTTGACACTTCTCAACGGTGTCACTAGCGGTGTGGGGCTTAGGACAGAGCTAGAGTGGAGGGAACGAGTGGCCAGTGGGGCTAGGGCGGGGGGTTTAGGGGGTGGGTTAGTGGGGTATGAACCACCAAGTTTCCAAACGGAGTACTGAAAGTGCTCAAAAAAGGTAGTAGCACCAATAGTGGGACGGTTGGCCACTGTCAATGAAACTCCACTCTTTTTAATAAGATAATACGGAGTATAAAAATGTGGCACTCCGGATGTAATTAACATTTGTGCGATTAGCCAACGACCTTATAATCCAATGACACCGCTCTTGCGCTCCGAAATGAGAGGTCATGTATGTGTTTGATCCCCAGTGCGGGTTGTAACTCTACGAGTTTTAATAAATTGAAAATGTATGAACAAAGACTATGTTATAATAGAGTCATTAGTGTTCAAAAAAATTATGCAATTAAAAAAGCATTTGTGTAGACACTATAAAAAACATATGTGTAGACGAGAAAAAAATTGCGAGCCACCAAAAATTTTTAAATAAAAATTTATATTTTACTAAAAACGGAAGTACATAAATATGAGTGAATTAGAACATACACTATACCCTTGTTGATTCATTCTTCATCCGTTCCAGAGTATTTAACTAATTTTGACTTTTGACCGTCAGTATAATCAAATCGACATTTTACTAATAATTAAACAAAATTACATGGCATATTAATTAGATAAAATTACATTTTAAAAATATTTTACAATATAAATATAATAAAAACATTCTTGTATGAGTTGTATCGATATCGAATATAGCTTTTATTTAGTTAATGGTCAAAATTTATCAACTTGATTACTAAAAATCAAAACTAGGAAAACATCCTGAGACAAATGTACTATTTTAATAAATTTAAAAAGTCCTGATAATTTTTTAAATGAGAAATATTACAAAACATTGTAACACCCAAAAGATAAAGTACCCCATCTGTACCACATTCATTTACACGGTCTAAAAAACGTGCAAAACCTTATTCTTTTTTAAATGATTTTATATATAAATTGGTAGATAAATAAATAATACAAAATATAAATTTAAAAATTATATTAAAAACTATTAAGAATATTTTATTTTATTAAATGACTAACAAAAATTAGTAAATAAATAAAAGTTATCAAAAACTCAAATATCACATTAATGTAAATCATTTTGAGGCAGAAACATATGTTTTGATGTTACTGTTAACCTGGAAAAAAGGCATGGGTGGGAATTAAGTTTAAAGTGGGGCTTATCACTTAGGCAGTATGAATTAAGTAGGTTTTAGAAGAAAATCAAAACTCTTTTGACACTCACCCTTGACATAAAACGTTATACCTCATTCGTCTCTAATTTTATTTATAAATGGTACATATATCATAACATCAATAATAACTAAAAGTTACATATTAAAAAACTACATTAAAAGTTCTACAAAATGAGAGGTAACAAGAATATTTTATTTTATCAAATACTCAGTGAAAACACGTAATAAACAAAAAGTTATCAAGAGGAGAGAAAAAAATATTGTAATCTATTTCGGGACGAATTAAGTATTATGATACCGAGTACCATTTGTTTGAATACACTAAGATGGTCATTAGACAACTCTACGAGAGTAAGGACTAGTGGGTTATTTTAAAATTTGTCAAAACACTGTAACATTCTAGAATAACATTATAACATCATATTTAAAAACTGTAACATTCTAGAATTACATTACATTGTCAAAACACGTACTAATAGTTGGCCAAAGGTTTATGTTGCCTTTGATGGTTTAATTTGAGATATTTTCTTATTCTTCTTCTCTCTCAATCATGTGATGGGATTATGAGATTATGCTTTTTAAAACCCTTTTTAGCACTTGTGTTAGTGGTGCTTATTGAGTGCATTGCAGCTGTTCTTTATCTCTTGTACACTTGGATCAAAAGAGTGATTATTGGGGCCCAAGACAAATTAGGTGTACATAATTTGTTAATTACCCGTACTTGTTAGTGGTGTTAAGTTTGATGGATCATCCAGGTTAAAAATTAAGGATTTGTTATTAAGATTTTTTTTTAAAAAAAGAGATGTATTAATGTCAAGAATGGAGGAGAAAAAAAAGTGATGGGGATGGCCTTGTTTGGGAACAGCGTTTCGATTAGCGTTAACGTTTTGAATAAAATTTTAATGATGCAGATCATTAATTCTAAAAATGCTAACACTAAAAGCTACCGTTGGATAGCATTTTCAAAGCGTTAACGCTAATATCTAACACTGATGCCAAACAGGACTGGTGTCTTTTAAGGCATTTGAAATGACTAAAAAATTCTTAAACAAGCTTTCAAAAAAATAAATCAAGAAACTCCCAAGATAAAAAAAAATATGATTTAAAAAGTTTATCATAACTTAAATTAATTATCATATTTAAAATATCTCATTTTCGAGTTCAATTCTAACAATTTTTTTTAATCTTCTCGCATGTATCTTCAATGCTTATTTTAAAACCACACCAATTTATCTACTTTATATACTTTCTTCTTTCTTTTTTTTCTTGTCCAAAATTTCTTTCTTTTTTCTATTATAGAATCATGTTTACCTATATTAATTCTTACACTAACTCCAGACCTTTTAGGAACCCAACTCTTACACGTTACAATCTAGATTGAAGCGCGCAAAATTTGAGTTCAATAAATCTTTAGAGGGACTGCTCCAGAGCCCCGATGACATAGAGACCCGACTCAAGGCCAGTCTATCATACAAGCGACTCAATCCAACGAGCAATAATATGTGGCGCTAGATTGAAACGCTCAAGAGTTGAGTTTCTAAAAGCTTAGAGGGAGTGCTTCGCGGCACCCTTGTAGCCAATCAATGAAGGGAAGAGATGCAGGGGGCAAAGGTGCAAACTGCAAAGGAGTTAGAAAAGTAAAAATCATTAAGTTTTCGAACAGAATTTCGTAGAAGGCTCGTGTTATGTAATGACATTGATCTCAATGTCTAATTGATTGGCCCGAAATGACTGCCAATAAATCCCCACATTAAAAATCATTTTTTTTTGTGAAAGCAAAAAGCATTAAATAGAAAAGCATGTTTTACAGTGCAAAAAGATGCATTTTTTTTCCTTTTCTTGGACGGTCACGTCATTGGGCCGTGCCGGCCCAGTAAGAGGTCATCAACTAATATGGTTCGTTGGATATGAGCCTACCAATTAAATTGTTTTACTTTTTCTCGAAAAAAAATACTCCGTATTTGTTTTACTCATCCTTTGTTTTAAAATTATCGTCTCAATTCCATTTTTCTCCCGTGATAACATTTTCTATTTATATTTTTTGTTTATTATTTAATAAAACAAAATATTATTAACACATCTTATTTTATAAAAAAATTGTTGTAATACTGAAAAATTTATATTTTTATTTTCTATATCAATTTTTAAATAAAATAAATTTTTAAAAATAAGATTTTATATGAAAAGTGTACATTAAAAATTCTGGTACTATTCAAAAATCACGCCATGTATGTTTGAATACAGGGCCAGGCCCACAGCTCTTCAACCACCGGAGTTTTTTGCAAATTATTTTACACCGTTAATTCAATAATAAATGTGTTATAATTCCTTCAAAAAAAGTGTTACTCCGTACAATGTTGTGCCACATAAAATTATTACTACTACTAAAAACTGTATCGGAAATTAATATAAAAATGATTTAATTAGATTTATGTTGTAAACAATAATAAAAAATAAATTTTTTAAAATACTTCTTCTATCCCAAATTAAATGACTTGTATAATATTCATATTGTCCATTTTTTTAAATTTTCTTTACCTATTTATGGTAGTCATTTGCTTAACTTATAATTCTACCACAATTATCTTTACCTAGATCTTTACCACAATTTTCTTTACCTATACACTATGTTTGATTCAAAAAAATTTGATTAAAATAGTGTAAATTTACAATGATTAACCAATTTTTTTAATCAAATTTTTTGATTAAATTTACATTGTTAATTGATATTCCCTCTATGCCAATATATATGGTCTATTTCAATTAAGATGTATGACTAAAGTTGTTTTCATTCAATTTATAAGATAACTGTGGTAAAATTATAAGAGGAAAAATTATTTTTCATGTTTAGTTAAAGATTATAGGTAAAGATACTACTCATTTCCCTTTACACTATGTTCGATTCAAAAAATTTTGAAAGGAAAAGGAAAAGAAAATAAGAGGGAAAATTATTTTTCATGTTTGGTTAAAGAGGAAAAGTGAGAGGAAAGGAAAATGACAATGCAAAATATATTAAGGGGGAATAAATCAAAATCTTCCCATTTTGGTGTGGAAAAGGAGATAAAACCATTTTCTTTTCTTTTTCTTCAAAATTTCTTGAAGGCCTTGAATGGAACATTTTCACCATTAACCTTTATATTCATTTGTAAATATATACTCTGTATTATGAATAAAGTTATTTTCAGCTCAATTTATATGAGGGTTGGGGTTGAATTAAAAATTAAAATTTATATATTTAAAAACTACATAAAAAGTTTTTACAAAACAAGTGGTGAAATAGCCATGTATGTTTATCAAATAATTAGTTTGTTCTTGACTTCTATGTACTTTTTGCTATCTTTGATACGAGTATATACTTCGTCATATGTGATCTAATTTTATCTATGTTGTTTGGGTAAGAGATTTCTTGAAAACAACGTCTCTACTATTGAGTAGAGACAAAATCTGCGTACACTCACTTTTTCCCAGACCCTATTCTCGTAAGATCTAACTGAATTATTGTTGTTACAAATTGTGTGTCTAGTCGTGTTGAACTTAGTATCGTCGTAAGCACGGAAAGGAGGAAGGTCGAGATGATGATTGGGTCCTCCATTAATGGATGGTGAAGTTTTCATGAGTACAACGAATGCTCTCATTTTTGGTCTATTCACAGGTTTCAAGTGCAATAGGGTTTCTAAATGTGGATGAAGGAACTTGGTAATCCCTTCAAAAAAAAATTGGTGAGATTTTGAAATTTTTTTTGGAGACTTTACTTTTGAGCCTATACTCCATAATTGGAGTCCATAATTAATGCAAGAGCTATCTAGTGGACACTGTTCAGTCTTCCCATTCTAACTCTTACACACCCCACTTCATTTACTCATTTGTTTAAACATGAGTCCCTATGGATAGACCTCATTTCCTATAATTCATGCTGAGATTATAGTCTCTTTACCTTCTTTCAAGGAGGAGAGAGAATAGGAAATAATTTTCTCTCATTTTTCTCACCAAAATGAGAAAAATTTGGTTTTCCTTTCACTTGGTACGTTTTGCCTTCTCATTTTCTTTTCCTTCCATTTTTCTTTCTTTTCCTCTCTAACCAAACAAGAAAAACTATTTCTCATTCATTTTCTTTTATTTTTCTTTTCAAATTCCTTGAACCAAACATAGTGTAAAACAAAAGAGTAACATGATTATAAACTATAAAAGGAGTTTTTAAAGAGAGGAAAGAAGTACTTTGATCAATGAATCATAACTTGTACTCCGTACAAGTAAAATATGATCGATATAGCAAAAGTAAATGCAAAATGCATCTTAATACCAGTATAAAAGAGTATAAAATAAGAAGTGACATGACTATATATTTTTTGTCTGAATTTAGTTTTCCACTCAGTTTTGTTTGTACGAGATTAGTTGGCCACTATCCATATCCAATAAAGAAATTATGACCAATTGTCCAAAATATGGACATGGAGGGCGTATGTAAAAAACAAACAAAAAAAAGTTTGACCAATTAACTGTAAATGAAACCAAGCCAAACATACATGCATATCCCTATCAGAAAGAGGGTGTAGGGAAGGTAAATGTACAGAGACCTTACCTTTGCTCCAAGGGGTAGAGAGTCGGTATTTGGTAGTGATTGCTAGCTCCGTATGTGCAAAGATTTGGTTGCTTGGGAGGCTAGAGCCAGCGCCTTCGCATTTGTGCTCATCATCACCCATTCCTTCTCAGCCCGGCGTTGCCTTTGCCGGGCATTCTTTGCCCGCTTTGGCGCTAGCCGGTTATCTCTTTCCAAGTATGCAAGTCTGAATTTCTCAGCAATGGGCAGTTCATCGGGTCGGCTTGGAACCAGTGTGAAAGAAGTCCTTGGGGACAGTTCCCAAGTTTTTGGGTCAATATCTTCAACTACCTGATCATCCAATGCCACATCGGGTAATGCTTCGCGAGGAACTTCAAGCCCCCTGAAAGTAAAAAGGGTGTTCTTTGGGTTCACTATGATGCGAGGGCATTCAGCTTGCAGATGCTCCAGGGAATCATTCCCAATCTTTGGCTGTAGGTATAAAATATTGCTTCGTAAAATTTATGAAATAGACCTAAAAAACATATTTGACGGGGGAGTTGTTCCTATGGTGCAAAAAAAATATATATTTGAAGGAAGAGTAATTCTTTGCTATTCTGGTAGGCTATTTTTGCCACATTACCAAGATTTTTCACCAAACATCAACTTATTCTACAGCGCATCTCAGCTGGTATTGAAGAAACAAACAAATATTACTTCTTTTTTTTTTGCTGAGATGGACAAACATGATAAAAATGGCAAGCCAGTCTCCATTTTTAGATTTCTTTTCTTCAATTTCAGCCACAGATTGAGCAAGTTCAACCACTTAAGCCATTTTGAGTCAACAAACAGGCTCTCAGTTTCAAAGAACATGTCATACAGACAGATAGTGATACAGACTTGCAGATTCAAAGAAGGGAGAAAAATCATACTACCTCAGTCCCAAAAAGCATTACCTAATTTTGATTTTCACGAGGTTTATTAAGAAAAATGTTGAAAAGTGAAAAGTGTACGTTTGAAATTTATGAGAGAAATCTTGTGAGCCACATGTTCATTACTTTAAAAGAAAAATAAAATATGTGAAAAGTGTTTTGACTTTTGAGACATCCAAAAAGGGAACGCGGGCAGTGTTTTTAAAGGGACAGGAGAAATAACTAATTATGAATCGAAAGCAGCATTCTTACCCACACTAGCCATCGCAATAAATGGGCACCGCGAGCTAACTCTGAGGCGTCAACCTCCTCCCAAGACTCTCCCTCTACATCTTTGAGGCTTGGTTTCAGCATACACAAGCATCTGCGTGCAGTGTCCTCACTCCTTGAGCACCCTCTGAAACATTAACGTTGGTGCAATCCTGTTATGTGATTTTTCACTATAGTCAAATATCTATCACATTCATATGGCTTGACAGGTATAATAGCACAACACTTGCCTATGTCTGGATCCTGGAACTTAAAAAATGGCAGGGAAAAGAAAATGGCCCTCCATTATTAAGCAAATGGTTTTTTCCTAATACTTGGTTTTACCATGAAAATATAAATGAGAATCAATTTGGATGAAAACGTTTAAAAATAATATATATAGTTGGATTTTATACAATATGTTATAATAGAAATGTTTAAATAAAATGTGATTAACACAAACATAAAAATAATATATATAGTTGGATTTATGGTGTTTGATTTTGTTATACTTTCCATACCCATTTTCTTTCATTCCAAATTTCCTCCAAAATTTTATCTCATAGCATTCTTTCGGCTCCCAATGGAAACTTACAGTTCTCAAAAGGGAGAAATATGAAAGAAGGCATGGGAGCATTGATACCTAAAAGTATAAATTAATTAGCCAAGAAAATTGAAGAGTCGTGAATAACCCAAAAAGAGCATGCCAGAATGTCCCTATTTCCCCCCTTTATCAATTTAAATTTCATTATTTCACACCACATAAGAAACTAAATTAATGGTTGAACAAAAAAACAGGCTTTTAAAACTTCAAGGTTGAAACCTTAATAGCAACTACAAAAGGTAATGCATACCCCCATCTCAATATTTCCAGAGACTGACTATGATGGAAGAGTTCAGAAACACCAGCCCATGTGACTTTGCTGCACCAACTGCACATTACATTTCAAAACCAGCCTCAGGATTTGCTTAATCTAATGTCACGTCCACACAAATGAGAAAAGAATATTGCCAAATGCAGCTTGGAGTTGTAAAAACTAAAAATTTAAAAAAAAAACATGTGAAAATGGAGAAAATAACACCAAATTGTTCACAGAACAGTGCGGCCGGATAATACTGAAACTCAAAACTTGAGAGAACAAATTTGTGGTAAACATTAATAATAAGCAGCTTGGTTACAATTTTACTGGTGATAGCGAAAGTGTGAAACACTGAAAGCAACATGATGAAGAATAATGTCACTACGTGAAGTGTGTAATAAGAGTGCACAATCTAATAAAGAATGTTAGTTGCAGAGGAACGAATTTACAAACCCAAACGAAGAAGACGATGCTGATTAAAACACAGTATGAGATACTTTAATACCTTATATCTACTGTTTTTAGATATTTGCAAGTCTTTACCACTTCCGAGAGGCCAAAATCAGAAACATCAGATCCAGATATATCGAGGATTTCCCATGAACTATCAGCTAATGCCAGGATGACATCATCATCCATCAACTTCCTCCTCCTTGCAACTGCTGCAAGTGCTATCTGTATAAAGAAAATTTATCACTTGATCTGTAAATACAGAGCAGTACAACATTGAGACTTCATGGGAAGTCTTAACCAGAGTTTATTCATGTACGGGAAATTTATATCTGATATTGTTCATGAAATTTATCATGAATGAACATCCTTAATTCCTAGCAATATAACAACACAAATCCCAATTTCACTTCCAAAACACCTAAATATTTAATCAATGGCCCACAAATATCACAAAAGCTGAGAATTAATGTTAAAAGGTTGCATCCAAAAGGAGAGACGTGAGAAACAAAACCTTAATATTAGGGGGGAAACTAGAAGCAATATCAGCCAAATCCTCGATGATATCTTCAAAATGCCTTCCGATGAATCCAATACACAAACTCACTAAGCTCGGAATCTGTCTCTTCTTCCTAGATGGAGTCGATGATATCGGCAACACTGTCACCCATCCCAAACCAATAGTTAATTTTCCAAAATCAAACACTAATTCAAGAGAAAAAATCAGAAAAGCACGTGAATTTCATACGAACCGAAATAATTCAAGCATAAAAAGATCATATGATTAGAAGAGAAAAAGAGAGGCGCACCCGAAGATTGGGAGGGCTTTCGAGCAGGCTTTATTGCATTCACAGCCTTTTGAGGTCTTCCTTTTTCCATGGAATGGAAGAGAAGAAGAAGATGGTGGTAGATTCAAGTTTCTGCAATTGTTTGCGGATCGTCTTCATCGAGTCGCCGGAGGACACAAATTTCGGCTTCTCTCCCACCCAACTGGCCCATTTGGAACGGAGGTTCTGGTTTAGCCCACTTCCCGTCCTAATTGGGCCGTCAAGGAGATTACCATCCATCTCGAATGCACATTGGTCCATTCTCTCCAAAACATTTTTTTCATTTGTTTTTGTCGTTACGATTCGTTTATTAAAATCACGTCATTTTATTCGGGGGCGTAGCTTAGATGGTAATAAGAGGTGGAAAAGAGCGTTATGACCGAGCTTGACTCCCAGGCCCTATCAAACGTAATGTGAGATGTTTTATGCTTTATATTACGAGTCTTGATTGGACTAAAATTGAGTTTATTCTCTCTTGCTCCCTTGAACGAATGTTGGTCCACTTTCTCGGAAACATTTTTTTGGAGTATTAAAACATAGCTAAAATACATAAGAGTGTATGACTATGTGATGAAGAAAAGATGGCAGTGTAATATGAAGGTGTGATCAGTGAATCACCGATTAACCACCGATCAACGTCTGTAGCGGCGATGTATGACTGTGTAATAAATGTAGTGTGACAATGTAACGAATGTGGCAGTGTAAAAATGAAAGTATGAACTTTTATTTTGATATTAATATACTTAGGATTCTTATTTGGTGTTTCCATACGAGTTTTTTTGACTTATATAGTTATATCTATGAGTTCTTCCTATGAATGCGATTAGGGCATGTTTGACAATATTCCCTTTATGGTTTAACTTTATCGCCTCGAAAAAATTATCTTGTAACAATATTTAATTTTAGCATTTTCTAAATTAATTTATATTTTTGAAAATTTCTCAAAGAATTATCACTAACTGAAAACATTATTCTCAAAAAATGCCAAAATTGAGTACATGACAAAATTGATCATCCGATAAGGCCAGGAAGTGGGCTAAATCAGAACCTCCGTTCCAAATGGGCCAGTTGGGTGGGAGAGATGCTGAAATTTGTGTCCTCCTGCGACGCGAGGAAGATCCGCAAGCAATTGCAGAAACTTGAATCTACCACCACCAACTTCTTCTTCTTCTTCTTCTTCTTCTTCTTCTCTCCCATTCCATAGAAAAAGGAAAACCTCAAAAGGCCGTGAATACAATAAAGCCTGCTCGAAAGCCCTCCCAATCTTCGTGTGCGCCTCTCTTTCTCTTTTAATCATATGATTTTTTTATGCTTGAATTGTTTCGGTTCGCATGAAATTCACGAGCTTTTCTGATTTTTTTTGTTGAATTAATGTTTGATTTGGGAAAATTAACTACTGGTTTGGGATGGGTGACAGTGTTGCCGATATCATCGACTCCATCGAGGAAGAAGAGACAGATTCCGAGCTTAGTGAGTCTGTGTACTGGATTCATCGGAAGGCATTTTGAAGATATCATCGAGGATTTGGCTGAAATTGCTTCTAGTTTTCCCCCTTATATTAAGGTTTTGTTTCTCACGTCTCTCCTTTTGGATGCAACCTTTTAACATTATTTCTCAGCTTTTGTGATATTTGTGGGCGATTGATTAGATATTTAGGTGTTTTGGAAGTGAAATTGGAATTTGTGTTGTTAAATTGCTAGGAATTAAGGATGTTCATTCATGATAAATTTCATGAACAATATCAGATATAAGATGCAATGATATCTTCACTAAAAGTTCACCCATTCGAGGCTTTGATACAACCCAACCAACTGGTTTAGTTTTAAATTTATGTGAGATAAGTGATTTTTTTAGTTAAAATCACTTAATAGTACGATCTGTCATTAGTTTTAAATTTATGTGAGATAAGTGATTTTTTTCCTGTTTCTAGTACGATCTATCATTTGTTGTATCTCGCTCGTCACCTGGCTTTGTGGACAAACTAGAGCACACCAATCTGGTTAAGTTTATGTTTATTTCTCCGTGTTTTATAAGCCATCTTATTTTCCTATCTTAATACGTCTTATTTTTGTGTGTAGGATGAACTGTTGGCCCCCGTTGTGAGATCTTATGATCAAAATCAGCTTCCTTAAAGGCCTATAAATCAAGGGACTTCAAAGTGTGTTGTAGAGGAAGAGAAAAGTGATAATGCGTGATATTGAGGGTCACTTAGTTTTTTTCAATACCTAGAGACAACTTAAGTAAATATGATAATGAAACTGTCTTTTTATAAATAAAAATAATAATACTTCTCTTTCTTTCAGGTAGAAAGAGCAATGAAATAACAGTATTAAGTCTTGGCCTCCCTGATTCCGGAAAGACAACAGTTGTAAATCAATTGAGGATGAACACAAGTCAACTGAGGACCAAGTACACCTTTCTTGACCCTTGCAATGGTGACTTTTTGGAGAACATTATCAAGGAGATGTCTTATGCCAACTATGCTATATTATTTTTTGTTAATGATTTGTAGGTTACTAGTTATTTTGCTTTTTTGTGAAGGTGGATCTTCTATCATATCCAAAGTTGGAGTATTAAGGCGTTAAAAACCATATCCAGAACCACATGGTGTATATTGGCTTTGAAGAAAGGAAAGTTCAAATTCTGCCGGTTTTATTAATGAATGGTGATACCATTTTAAGGAAGCCTAACCATTATAACTCGTACACTAGATCAACCTTGATGGAAACACTTTTACGGTTAATTCTACCATTATCCAATGATCCTTCTTTAGAATTGGTTTTGCATGGATGAGCGAACATGACTGAGAATGTTGCTACAAGTATGGTGCATCACGAAAAGTTGGTGTTAAGTGATGATGTAGTATTTTGTCCAGGGAGTTAGACGTCGTGTGTGGATGATAGATATTGATATTACATGTGAAGAAGATGAGAGGGTGGAGGAGATACACTAAATGGAAAGTGTAAAATTTAAGTTGAGAACTACTCTCGAAGGACTGCCCAAACCAGAAACTATTGTCTCTTCTTTGACACAAAACCCAACTCCCAGCAAGAGATGCTGAGGTTTTCAAGGCCTAATTTTTTGTTATAGATGAGTTAATTAGGGCAGGATACTTGGAGTACGAGTTGTGGTGTCATATGGCTGAGACGAAAGTAATCTTAGAAATAATTTGCAATGTTATTGATAGACATACGGGAAGACCGCCAGCTATAAATCCTAAAAACAGCAATCTTGTAACTCCCAGCAAATGTTTCCAAGGTCAGAACATTGTTGTTTCTAGGATTCATAACTGCTAATCTCCCCGTACGCCTATCAATAACATGGCAAATTTTTTCTAAAATTACTTTGGTCTCCGCCATATGAGACCACAAGTCATACTCCAAATATCCAGCCCTAATTGATTCATCTATAACAAACAACCGTGCCATGAAAACTTCAGCATCCCTTGCTGGATTTTGCATAAGAGAAGAGATAATTGTTTCTTGCTTGGGCACTCCACCAAGTGTAGATCTCAACTTAAACTTTATAATTTCCATTGAGTGCGCCTCTTGCACCCTCTCATCATCACATGTAATATCATCCACACTCGAAGTCCAACCCCTGGACAGAATACAACGTCATCCCCTATCTTCAACTTCCCGTGATGCACCTGGCCTATTGCTAAATTCTCAACCGCACTTGCCCATCCATGGAAAACCAAACGTAAAGAATCATTACATGATGGTCGACTTAACCGAAAGATTGTTTCCATGAGGCTTGATCCAGTGTACCAATGATAATGCTTAGGCTTCCTTAGTATGTTATCCCCTTCACTTAATGAAATCGGAAGAATGTGAACCTTCCTTTCTTCAAATCCAATGTATACTAAATGGTTCCGGATATGATTTTTAACGGCATGATACTCCAACTTCGGATTTGATAGAAGATCCACCTTCAAAAAAGCGGAATAAGCCTCAAGCCATGCATTGTCATTATTGGAACGCACGAGGTATTGCCTTCCGATTGATGCGTACGCTGGCACTACAAAAAAAAGCTGGGGAAATATGTTTTCACAAAGATGATTTGTTTTTTTCTGTAGGTTACAAGGAGGTGATCATGGAGAAATCAAGTCTCAACAAGAAGAGCACAAAGAGTATGAGATGATGCTGGTAAGGGATGACGAGGGTGATGGAGAGGATTTGGAGTTTTGGAGACGATAATGGAGTTTTGTGTCGGTGTAGAATACCTAAACTTTCGTGCTACGTGCAAGCAATGTCACTTAGCAGCACCTATGATCCGATGGAGTAAGGGAGGGCAGTTGCACAACGATTCATTAGCTTCACCGTGGCTGATGATGTTGGACAAGGATCGAGGCGTTATCTCTTTTACTTATACGAGGTTTGGTTACAAGTACTTAATAAAGACACCTCGTGAATTCATTGGTGATGTGGAGATACACTGTTCCATGCATGGTTGGCTGCTGATACGTAGACGTAAACATGACGAACCCCTGATGTTCTTTAACCCCTTCACAAATGATATGCGTCAGCTTTTGTTTCTCGGCACCACCTACTTCCTCCCATTGTATGGTTATTGGATTCACAACACGTAGTGAATGGAATGTTTACATCCACTTTGTAGCTCAAGAACCTTCTTGGCGTAGATTTCGTCTGATAAACTTTTGCGGTGATGCCTCACACTGCTTCCATTTTGCAACACACTAGCGCCGAAACCTCTATGCTGTGTATAACATTGGAGGACTTGCTTTCATAGATACAGAAAACCAAGATTACACTGTGCAGGAAAGCCCAAGTAGTTTGAGATGTACCAAACAAAATTTCCTGATGAGACGTGATCAACACCTTTTACTAGTTGTTGCGAGCGAGTTTGGAGAATCTGTTGAGGTGTTCAAGCTAAATGATTCAAGGGAATGGGAGAAAGTAGAGAGTTTAGGAAGGCACGCAATTTTTGTTTCTGGCAAGGCATGCCTATGCGTTGAAGCCAAATCGCCAGAAATGGAAAACAAGATCTACTTTTCGCGCTTGCATTCTGTGAACAGCAAGATTGTTTTCTATTCTCTCGAAACAAGACGGTACCACACATGGAATGTCGAGGAAAGTTTTGGGGATTTCATGGGAACAAAGCATAATCTCAACCCACATGTGTGGATTGAACCTAGTTGGTCTTAGCCATAGAGAAGAGCAAAGAGATTGGGACTGAAAAGATCGACTGGGAAAGATTGGGAGCAAAGTGGTCCTTAGGACTGGTGCGGTCTTAGACCGGTACTCTCATTTGGTCCTCTAAATTGAGGGAAGGACTAGACTAGACCGGTCCCGAACTTGTGATCTTTTGTAAAAAGACTAGATCGGGGCCGAATTAGGACTAGTTTTCAGAATGGGAACAAAGCATCATCTCGGGCCGCGTGTGTGGATGGAACCATGTTGGACTTCGGTAGCGTTTCATTATATTATGCATGCATTGTTACCACCACCACTGACTGCCTGCCTTGTCACATTTATCCATTTTAACTATTCAATACACAAATGTTTTTTTGCATCCATCTTCGTGTGTTTTGAGTTTTATTTTTTTTTTTGAACCGAAAGCAAATATATTTTATTCCACCATCAAAATGTAAGATACACAATACAACTTAAGAGAAACCACAATCAAGTGCCAAGTAACATCCTATTCAACATTTACTCCTCTAGAATTAAGAAACATGGTGACATGGGACTTAATTCTTTTGAAAGTAGCTTCTGGGGTGATGGTGGAGTTCGGTGAAGTATATCATTCCTGTCCCTCCAAATATTGTAAACACAAGCAGCAAACACAGCTATACTCCTCATTCTTCTCTTAGTTGGGGATATTGCTAACAGCTTTTGGGTTATCTCCTCAAAATTGTTAGTCATGAACTTAAACCCAGTCCAATTAGCAATCTTCATGTGTACTTCTCTAGTGTATGAGCATCTGCAAAGAAGATGATCTCTGTCTTCTTCTTCACTTTGACAAAGTTGGCATGATGTATCCATATCTAAAAATCTACTCAATCTCTTCTTAGTCTGCAACCGATCCCTATAAGACAGCCAAAGAATGAATTTGTGTTTAGGGATGGTCAATTTATTCCAAACAATGGGTCTCCAGATAACCTTCTGTCTTTGGCCCATTAGCCACTCATAGCCTGCAGTANTTGATCCATAATATATCTTTTTTAAGAGCTATATCCCAGATCAGCTTCATGATGCAAGCAGAATTCCACTTGGACAGATTCTTTAGCCCTAATCCTCCATATTTCTTTGGTATACAGATTTCATCCCAAGAAACCAAAGGAATCTTCTTATATTCATGAGAGGACCCCCATAGAAAGTTTCTGCTTAAGGCTTGAATTTTATTCATGACTTTGGCCGGGATGATAAATAACCTACTCCAGAAGCTAATGATACCATAGAGGACAGAAAAAGAAACCAGTAGTAGTAGTATGGAAATATACTATAAAATTCCGAGGATGACATCCTTGACCGCTACAACAAAAGCCATTTGTGAATAGAAGAAACCGTTTTACATGTAGAGCATAAAGGAAACACATCAGTTGTGCTTTGAAAAAAGAAACCATTTTACTTATTGAACTTGCGAACACCTCTATTGCACCATATCTGCATTCAGAAATGTAGAAATCAAAGAAACAGCACTTGTCTTAGAATGCGTTATGGAAATCTAATAATGGACGGAATGCGGTGTGGAACTAAGAGGATGCAGGGTAAATTAGGGGTGAGCAAGTACCGAACCGAAAACAAAATTTTCCCAAAAAAACCGAGAATACCGAACCGAATTATGAATTTTTGTGTCTTCGCATGCTATGTGAAAGGAAAGTATGTGTTATCTTTAACATAATTTGAGATGAAAACTTCTAGAATAAAAAAATAGGCATTGATTTTTACAACAACGAAATTTTGTTTATTCTCATATCATCTCACAGTTTATTAAAAGCAGAAGACAAAGAGGCCATAATTTTCCCCAAATTCTTAGAATCACATTATGAAATGGACTGTATTATGTACATATAACATCACTTGGTCTACAAAGTCATACAGCATTTTTTTGTTACACAATTATGAGGTTTTTTTTTTCAAATGTTTATGTTACAAAATGTTGTAGAGCTTGATGACACCAAGTCCAATGCACACATATAATTTTTCGTACATAATATACTCCATAACTTTAGCTAGAAAAGCTCGTCGGAACCCGGTTAAAGATGAGGCAACCTTTGGGAAGTCTCTGTTAGAACTCTTAGAACGGTTTGGTTCCCGATCTCATCATCGTGCAAAATTCTTCGTAGTTAATTCTCCCATCCTATTGAAATTTTTGAGAAAATCAGCAATGATGGTTTTAATTGTAAGTTTTGAGACTCGAAGAGACAACAAAACTTACATGGTCTGTGTCCACTTCGGCTATTATTTCCATTATGCCCGCTGCGTCAGCTATTCCGTGTTCCTTCATCGCAGTCTCCAATTCGTCTCTTGTGATGAATCTAGAACAATGTTCAAGAAAAGTTTGAGCATTTTAGATTATTCTCTTTGAAGCAGATTAGCAGCAAGTTAAACATGGACATTCTCACATACTCCCTCAATTTCATATCTATTAATGCTTTCTTGATACATTCAAGAATGAATGAACCTAGACATACTTAATGTCTACATTCATCCATTTTTGTTTGGCTTACATTCCCTACAATCACAAGCTTGAGTGTTTTCCGTGAGTTGATTCATGCATCAAAACATTACCTAGAAATCACGTATTCGAACTTCACTACCCACAAAATTTTAGAAAGAATTAAAATTCAAATATAAGACTCGAGCAAAAACAAATCTCATCTACTGCCGAGAAGGCACACTATAGTATAAAAAACATTTCATTGGCATACAACTACAAATTTGTTGAATTTCAGGTTGGATTTGGTTCCTTAACATCGAGGATATGCATTTACTTTTTAAAAAATTATTTAATTTTTTTTAATTTGCTTAGGTGAGAAGATTCATGATGCATCTCAAATCAATGATAGAAGGATTCCTGCAGCAGATACTACGTACCCACTATTGTCCGTATCGAAATACTGAAATGCGTTGTATAGATTTTCTTCCCTTTCAAGCTTGTGCTTGTGCATTGTAGCGGTGATGAACTCGATGTAGTCAATTGAGCCATTTCCATCTACATCAGCCTACACAAGTACATTAAGTTACTAGTTGTGAAGATAATGAAATTGCTTTTAAATGGGAAGATTTTGTTTTTGACAGTTAACTTACGGCTTCTACCAACTGCTTGGCTTCATCCTCGGTGAGCTTCGACCCAAGTTGAGCCAATCCTGTCCTCAGTTCATCATATGTGATTGTGCCACTGTTGTCTGTGTCTATGTTCGCAAACATTGCTTTCAATCCATGAATTTCTTCTTCTGAGAGATTTTCTGCAATCACCTGGAGTCCAATAAAAAGAGCCACTTAAGTTGGCCGTTGGCAAGAATTATTTAACTAAAAGTACTGAATTTTGGCTGTTAGCGAAGCGAATAATAAAGGAAATGCAAATGGTAAAATCAGTTTCAACCAAGGTTCAGTAGATTCTCAAGTTTACCTTGAGGGCGAGTTTTTTAAGTTTGTTCATTGCTCTGAACTGCTTCATTCTTGAGAGGACAGCACTATCTATTGGTTCATCAGACGCTTCTCCACCTTCCCTTATCCATGGGTGCTCTGAAAATAGTCCCAGATATTGAGGTTTCAAAATTCAATGAGAAAATCCTCTAACTATCATTGAATAAAACAAAAGACCCATAGTCGCATAGACAAAAGAAACCATGGAATAGATTCTGTAAAGCATACCAAGAACCTGAGCAGCAGTAATGCGACTTTGTGGGTCACGCGTTAGCATCCTTCGTACCAAGTCCTTGGCACTGCTTGATATGGAAGGCCATGGTTTTGTTCCCAAGTCAAGTTCTTCTTTTTGTATTGCCTCAAATATCCCCCTCTCGGTTTCTGCACAAACCAAATCCATAGAGTTATTAAACCATAGATTCATTACTCCATCATGGAGGTGGAGCTCGCTATGAACCATAATTATTCCATGTTGCATGTTAGAGACAGAATATTCAATGACAATTAATGTTCTAAATTCACTTTAATATGTGTTGCTTATGCTATCTCTTTTAAAAATGTGTATATGTTGTTTTCCTTACACTATCAAAAATTTCTTTGAACTTGCGACTATTTGCTTAATTACAAAAAAGTATAGTGTCTTAATTCCAAATATATTGGAATATTAATATTGCAAAGTTAATAGCAAAGTAATGTAAATGCACTAAAAAATATTTCTAAGAACTTTGAAATAAACAGTGCACTATGAACTATAGAAACCTAATTTTGAATTTTGGAGCAACTCTCTCCAGAGCTAAGTTTCTTTTCTCCCCAAAAGTAATAACTACTTATTTGTCTGCCTAACAATACATGCTAAACAAGATCAAGAAGATTAATCTCTTTCTTTGAACAAGACAAGAGAAAGGTCATCTGCATTTACCGTCCCAGAAAGGAGGAACACCACTGAGTAAAATATACAAAATCACGCCGGCACTCCAAACATCTGCTTCCTTCCCATACCTCCTTTTCAGTACTTCAGGAGCAACATAGTATGCACTTCCCACCAGATCCTTGTACACCTTTCCTGCAAAAAGTTCACCATGAAAATTGATAAGCTTACAATGAAACACATTTTGCAATCAAAATGCCCTTAAGAATGCAGAGCAAGTAATTACATTACAACAAAACATCTGGCTCTATAAAGTGTCAACTTCGAAAACAATAACACTTCAAAAGGAAAACATCATGCAACAACAATCACACCAAATCCAATAGATTCCCACAAAAAATAGGGTTTAACAAGGGCATGTGTACACAGAACATACCCCTACTTGGAACTTCTTTATTTCAAAGTTGGAAATAGAGAGACCGTTTCCAAGAGAGGCAGAGACTCAAATACAGGCACTCAAACTAATTAAGAGCACAAAAACATGAAGCACGCATACTGACACAAGCAACTAGACCCAAAGTAAAAAATATCTAATGTACAAGTTATACTCAAGGGTAAAAACTCACCAGTAACTATAAATTAAGGTCCAAAGGTCTATCAAACTAATCCAATCTTAGATAACATTTCAATCAAAGATCGTATCCTCCCTAAGGTCCTGAAATTGCAAGTCTTGTCCAATTGCATCCTTCCCACTCTTCCTAGGTCTAGCTCTAACCCTAATAGTTGATAATTGAAGCTGATAATTGAAGCTGCAGATGGATTCTTGGGAAACATACCTTCTTCAAGGAACACAGAGAGGCCAAAATCAGTGGCCTTCAAAGCAGAATTCACACTCTTATCAGACAGCAAGAAATTTTCCGGCTTCAAATCGCGGTGCATCACCCCCATGAAATGGCAAGTATTAACAACACTGACAATATCCCTACAAACAGAGGCAGCTGCCCTTTCACTGTAGTGACCCTTGGCTATGATCCTGTCAAAAAGCTCCCC